TCGAAAAAGGTTCAGATAAAATTGTGAAAAGGATTTACTTGTAGTTGTACAATCTTTGTGATCAATTACCTAAAACAAGACGCTTGGGACTATATAGCAAAGCAAAGTCAAGCGAAAAATATTCAGCGATGTTGAAACGCTCAGTTCAAGTATCATAGAAAAAAGTGAGGCGATTTCGTTTCAATACTTGCAACAATTTATTCAAAATTCTGTAAATCAGTTGGATAACTGCCTTAATCAAGATTATATCTCGGGGCTTCCTTGGACTCGATCAAAGAGCTGGCCATGCTAGTTTTATATTCTGACCATTCCCAAAAGACCGATCCATACATTTTTAAAGGTCGATCACCTTTTTCAATAAAAAAAAAAGTTTCCTAGTAGCAATGAAACGACTGTAGTTTTATTAGATGACATTTATTTTTTGGTTGTAGACATTAAATTTTCTTAAAATGACAAAATTTACCGTTCTCACTAACATGGGTTGTATTTTGATCGTCCAAGTTATTTAATAATCAATATAAAAACTAATGCACGTTTATCTCGTACAGAACGTTCATTGTTCAAATAAAAGATGGCCAGTGATTCTAAAAATGAGAATTACACCGACAAATCAGTAGAGGGTTGAACAAGTTTATCGAGAATCATGTCCATGGATAGTGTCAGTTCCTTTCTTACTAGAAAGTAAATATATTTTTATGTTAAAAGGTCGGTTTTTTTTTTATTATTATTATCATATTACCCTCTATCTAAGTTTCTGACTGGTACGGTAGTGCGTGATGCATAAAATTACCCATACTAATGTAGTGTAAAGTTTTTTATTATATTAAGCTATTTTCTTCAACATTGCGTGAAAGAACTGAAAATCGCAAACGCACTAATTTTTTTTGCGTGACAATGTATGTCTGATATTGAACACATACATAAATGTTATTTTTTAGAAGTTGCTATGCTTTCAAAAGTAAGCTACAGTCAGCTGCTCACCAAGATAAGCGAATGTGCCTGGGTCTTTACTATTGTCATCTTCGCCTACAACTTTTGCTGAAAAATGAAGTGAAGAGAAATGATTTTTTGGCTGCATTTTTATCATGATGTTAAATGATTCACTACTGTCACTCCTCTCAAGGTTAAATTCTTGTAAAACGTCATATGATATGCCTGCAAAGGGAATAATGTCGTCATAGTTGGCTTCCTTTAAATGCCTGAAACTCAATAAGCCTATAAACAAGTTAGAAATAATCAAGTATAACGAGTGGATATGTAGATTTACGGAAGTCAATTCTTCTACCAAAGTTTGGGCTTTTGAAATGTACAACATATGTCGCTGTTATGCCTTCATTTGTAATATGTTGACCTCTTTGTAAAATGACAGCTATTTGGTCACATTCAATCATATTTTCCATAGGTCCATCTTTATAAGCAACTTGACATTCTTTTTCTTTTCTTGTAAAATAGAAGTCTAGACCGTAGTTTTCATGTGACACTTGATGTAAGCAACCTTTATGAAAAATATCATGTAAAAAATGTGGATAGCCTAGTTCTGGTTTCAGATGATAATTTGTAGGTTGTAACAGCACGAAATTGATTGTCCCCAATTCCTTTTTTTCAGTCCCAGTATCAGAAGCCGTTTGAAGTGCTGACTCAATTTTTTGACGAAGAGATGGGTTTCCATATATACTGAAAAAATCTCCCAAAATAAATTGGGTTTTGACAATGTACTTACCAAATATTAACTCGTCCGCAAGTGCAGATGATATGACTGATGCGACATCTTCTATTATTGGTTTAAAGGCCACTTCGAATATAGCATTGATCGACAAAATGATTGTGCAACTGCAACAGCTATTCACTGGTATTATTTCCGCTTCATCTAAATTCGAACCGATTGAACTGAAGGAAGAAAACTGTAAAAAGTAATATGGTTAAGATGGATGTCATTTTTTGTTGTTGTTGTTGTTGTTATTATTTACCCTTTTAAACACAAATGAATTAATTCTTATTTTGAACTCCCTGTAGTTTTCCAAAGACAGAAATCTTTTGTTATGTGAAGGACAGTTATTCATTATTTCCTTGTTTGCTATCATATATTTCCAGACATTTTTTGGTAAAATATCGTAAATGTTTTCGATTCGAATAATCTTGTCTTGTATAGTAATGGCGGCAACATCCTCTTCATCTGACGCAATTTTTACGACCTGCTTTAAAGTAAGTTGTAAATAAGTTGCATGTAGCTGTGACAATACAAAATAGGATTTCAGTGGAAGATCCAAACTTAGACGATGCAAAAGTAATGGTAGCACCTCTTCTCCTTGGGTAATTATTTGCACTTTTTTCGAATCATTATTTTTCTGAATAAAGCTGCTCGCAAGTAAAAGTTCCCTCAGATTTTTTTTGGTTCCAACAATATCGTTCATTAGCCTTTTCTCCATTGACAATAAATAACCTATTTTCTGCGATCCAATATATCCAGAACATTCCAATAACTTCTTTGACACAAGTTCATTCAGGTAGCCTAAGTACATGAACAGGAACACTTTTATATACTTTTTTTGCTGTGTCCGAATTACATTTTCATATTGAGTTGGATTTTGGTTAAGGTGCAATTGTATTTCAGCCATGAGTTTTTTTTTTCTCACTGAAAAGAAATCCCTTGGTTTACCAGTTTTCTCTTTACAAGATTTTGTTTTGATGTATTCTGATATGTATTTTATAAGGCTATTTTGATTTGGATGATCGATGCGATTTTTTGTCGTAGATGTTTTGACTGATGAAACTGCTTCTTCTTTTACGAACTGTCTATCGTACTGGGAAAAATAGTTTAACGCATCACCAAAATTCTTATCCAAAAAAACAATAGTGCTATATCACATGTGTTATTTGCCATAAATGAATTTTAAATTAAATGATATTACCTTTCCAAAACTCTTAATATCGGCGGATCTGATTTTATGAAGAAGTTTTCAAGAGGCTGTAAACTACAATTGTTGTTAATAGTGGCATACTAAACATTTAAATTATATATACCTCAATACAAAATTGTCACAGATAACTTTTTTTACTGTTTTTTCCCCAATGTGTATACAAGATAATAAATTCGTTTCAAACGAAATATCTACATAACGGCTTTAAAATCGAATACTTCAGCTTTCTTCTACAAGGGTTCTTACTTATAGTCACAATTGTGTTTGGATTTATATCTGGAAATATAGCAGCCAGAGACACTTCGTCGTTAAGTGTGTTTCTACGAATCAGTTTAGGTGCTAAAATAGAATCCGCAATTTTGATTTTTTCCAATAGTTTACGTCCAGCGCCTTCAATCACGTTTGTGGGTCTCAATTTTAAAAATAGCCGATCGTCTTTGATTGGTAAAATCTTATAATTGAATTCTTCGCCAATTTTTTCTAAAAAAATAATAACCCATTCAAACAAACTCGGCGCCACTACTCGTCGTTTGAAAATAACCTCTTTCAGTATAATAAGTGAACGAATCTTCCTGAAGTCATTCGAAAAAACGCTTCTGATACCGTCTTCTATGTTTGTGACAATAGGTGCAAAAGCCGCTTCGTAAAATTCCGTTGTAGTGATAGATTTTACCAGCTTTAACTGCATGCTGCTAAGGCGCAACGATTGAATCCCATTAATTTTTTTGAAAGGAAATTCCTCGATATCCTCTTTTTCTAGTTGCTGTTTTATGATCTTTTCAATTTGGTCGAGTTAACACTCCCTGTCAAATTTTTCAGAAATAAGAACTTTACCTTTGCTAATGGGAAGTGACGCAGTAAAAGCTGAATAGTTTCTTGTAAAGCAGCTGCTTCGTCCACCAAGAAGCCTTTTCCCTCTAGAAGCACATTCAAATTTCTTGTTACTTGCTCATTATCGATAATTAATATTTCAGATTTTGATACTCTTGAGTCAAGTGTCGACCGGGTACTTGAATCAGCCACAGAATCTTTAAATTCGAATGCGTCCAGATTGAGTCTTAAACTATCTTCTGCTTGAACTATTCCACACATGAGATACTGGGTGCTCTTCTTAATTCGATTGCTGATCTGAAATTTCGGATGCTGTATCAACTGCAAAATTGATTGTAGTTTTGTAAAAAACAATAATCTATTTGGATGATCCGTTTCGGATATAAGCCCAGATTTAATAAACATAGGTCTAAGCATATCTTCTCGAATACTATACTCCCATTCTGTTGGTACTATAAACACGTAATGAAACTTGAAGACATTAGCGTTTTCATGTTCTTCTGTCACGAAGTGTTCATTTTTTATGTCGTCCACCAGATGTAGTATATAGTCTGTGACACTTTGTAGCACATTAAGAACATCCCTGTCATTTTTGTCTACCTTGTATTTAGGGTAAACACGAAATAATTCATTCATAAAATTATCCATGTACACAATATCACTGCTATTACTTTCCAGGCGTTGACTTTCCCGTGCTTTAGACCCCCAGGATAAAACTTTAGTCCGTTCTTTATTGTGAGCGATACAGGCTGCTTCCCTTTGTTGTAGTTGATAAGATAGCTCTAATCATATACGTAGATCATACATACCTTACTGTATTTAAAGTTGGGTAGTTTCGTTGTCTATTAAAGATGGATTTGGCGTATGCATGTCGCTCTCCCAGGTCTACAAAAACAAATAAGCTTGGTGAGTAACATTGGTTTTTTGGTATGGTTTGTTATATTACATATATTGATGCAATAATTGTACTGGTAATAATCAAAAGCGTTGTCCATTCAGTAGTTTAGCTGGTCTTATAATATATAATTCTCGCGAGACAAAAAAGATAGATAAATAAAAGAGAGAGTTTATCCAAATTATAACACCAGAAATGTATCACCACCACGTGTAACTTAATTCATACTCATCCTTTCACTAAATTTAACTTCTGTGCTCTTGTTGTCAAACTCAAGAAAAAATTGACCAATTTAATCAGGTGATCGTCCTTTTTTCAAAGTCTTCGCCCAACAAGATCTTCTTCTCCCGGATAAAATTATACAACCCATGCTTGGCATACTGCATTGACCACAATCGGATATATTTGTCTAGATGTGGCGAAATATTATCATTAATGCAACTAAATAAAAGACTGTTTGTAATATTGCCTACCGCTTGGTTGTATGAAATAGAGCTTAAGTTTTTTAAATTATTCAACAGACGCATGCTTGTAGTGGTCAGCTATTGTTTTCAACATCGCCAGCAGGGCAAATATACCCTTTGAGTTGTCAAATGCTGTTTTTCCATGGTCTTCAACATTAAAAGCGCCCGCTGTTTCCAAAATAAGGACTTCTAGATCTTCAAGTTCTGCTAAGCGTATAATTCCATCAGCCTTATATATTCTTCTTTTGTCAACTTTGAATCCCATTTTCCTTAGCTGCACTGTCATGGCGGTAAGCTCATCTTCACCAGGAATGAAATATGGCTTATGTCTATTTCCCTCCAATATAGCAAGCATTGATTTTAAACCAAGGATAGATCATGTTGACATTGTATACACTTTCTGATCGTGATATTGATGGTCTTTTCTTATAAACTTTGGCCCTAATCCAAATAAAAGGTTAGCTTATTATGGGAATGATTCTGATGATATTATACATACATGATTTTACAGATATCATTGATACATCGACATATTTCTTTTTTATCTGTAAGAAGTCCTTTAGCCTCAATCTTCTCTTCAAACTCATCAATATTAGTCTAAGAATAATAAAAAAAAAAAAAAAAAAAAAAAATGGGGCTCCCCTTCGGGTCGCTGATCCCATTTTTTTACAGGCGTATCAGACTTTGTCCTCCGACCACATATTTTTTGACGCTACGCTCCGGTAAAAATACGCGGTTCCCGGAGGACCCATCAGATGATAACATTTTTATTCTATTAATATGAAAACATTTTATTTAATTTACGTTAATAGCCATAACGGCTCGTGAAAACTAGTGAAAGAAATATATGTTCCAGAATCGACAATTTCTTTGTTTGTAAAAATATTATCGATAAATGTCTTTTGCTTAGTAGTGGAAGTGACGTTACTGGGAAGAGATGATTTTAAACCTTTTAGTTCTAATAAATTCAAAATCGCTGATTTTTTGGAAGATTCTTCAGTAAAATGCACGTTAAAGTCACCACCAATAACAATATAATCATATTCTTGATCTAAAACAAAATTCAATGATTCCAATAGTAACTGCTGACTTGTACGCGGAGAAGCATATATGCTGCAAAATAAGCTAGAATCAACATTAACAAATGATACACTCACAGATGAATTATTGTCTCCTATAAAAAGTTCAGATTGTGAGGCATAGTTGTTACCCAATTTATCAGATATATAACATCGAGAGCCTAGAGGCTTTCTAACAGTACCAAAACAATTTGCTGAAGATACCATTTTAAACCCAGGAATATCAAAGCAATCATCACGAAGAGTCCAGGTTTCATTCAAAAGGATAATATCTGAAGAGATATAAACTGGATCGTTTACAATCTGATCAAAATGAGCCTGCAAACTTTGGACATTATGTGAAAGAATTTGAAAACTCTTTTTTTCCGTAAGTCTTGTAAATACTGATTTGAGAACAATAGTTTTTTGTCGTTGTATTTCCAAATACAAATCGGATGTTCTTTCTCCTTCTAAAGACTTCGGTGCTAAAAATTTGTTGTTCTTGCTTATGATTACAAGACCTGCAGCGGTTGTAGCTCTTGAACAGGTAACATAAATTAATGACCTGCTCATTTTCGAACTCGCATAATTATAAACAACCACGTTGTTGTAAGTACCACCTTGCGACTTATGAATGGTAAGAGCTTCGGCAGGCACAATGGGAAACTGTTTTCGACTAACGGTAATACCCAAAGAAGCAACTTTGGTTATGGCTAAAGATACCGGTTCGATCATGGTCCATCTATCGTCTATAATATTATTGGTTTCACGCAATAATTCTTGTTTTTTTCGAAGGCCTAATCCACTTCGTTCATCGTCAAACTTGATCCAAAGCCGTAATGGCTTTTTATTGACAGCTGCACTAGATGAACTTGCGCTTGTATTCTTTAATCTCCCGTAATCAATTTTTTTTAAATAACCAGTTGTTCCATTAACAATGCCATCTGCTGTACTTATATTGGTCATGACCATGTACTGTATTTTGCACTGATTTTTAATTTCAGCTGCTTGAGTAAACTGAGATTTTTTAAAGCGTGTATTGAATTATCATCACGTACTAATTCGAGAGCGAACTTTTTCTGTGTGGCCGTAGTCTTTTCACCAGTGGCACGGTCAAATCCAACGGATATTGCTCCTTCGGTAGCCATGCTATCAAGAATTGCATTGTTCATATTTCTTACGTCTGCATTTCGATGAAATAAACAAATCGGTCTTTCTTCTGAAAGCGGATCAACATTTACGCGTAAATGGGGGTATATATTCTCTCCGCATGATAGCAGGTCCATTTCTTCAGCTGTCATAGGCAAAACTTTGCTCTGAAACAAATTTATGTTTTGAGGTGTCATTTTTTCTACCGCCATATTATTCAATGCAACAGCAAAAAGTAAATCATCTCTTTGTCTCATGATTTGTTCCAATCTATGCACCTTGAATAGGTCGTCCCAGATGTTGATACCAAATAGAGCAAGAGCAGCATTTTTGGACATACTACTAGTGTACAATGGTTTAGCTGCCACTGGGGACCACTGGAAAAAGTCACCAAGAACAATGACCGATATTCCACCGAAAGGTAACGTGGCATCAAAGATAGTTCTCAACCTTTGATCAATCCAACCAAAAATCTTAGTTCCAACCATACTGATTTCATCGATTATAAGTACTTTTAAATCTTTTAGGCCGACTGACATAGAATGGCTAACACTTGCTGACAGCGCGCTTAAAGCTTCGTTGTTGTTTTGGGATACCGGAAACTGAAATGCGTTATGCAAAGTTTGCCCTTGGATATTGAAGGCTGCCTTCCCGGTAGGTGCGGTAAGTAGAACTGCGGGAGTGTTTAATTCCAGATCTCTATCGTTATCAAAGTCGAGATACAAGGCCTCATACAACGCCTTTATGAGCATGCTTTTACCAACACCCGCGCCACCAGTAACAAAATGATAGACAGGTTGGAAGGCTGTGACAGATTCAGAAGTGGTACTAAACATTCTAAACCTTACTCTGTTACGGTTGTAACGTACATGATTAATGACATGCATAAGATACTCGCGTTGCTTTGTGTTAAGCTTGGCAATTAGAGCATAAAACTCTGCTTTTCCTAATCTATCAGCCAACGTTATTTTTCCAAATATGTCTTGCTGCCATTATTGGATCTTGAATTGCTTCCATCAAGGTCATCAAACAAATCGTTACTTCGATGGTAATTCCCTTCACTTGGATCATCTACGTCTAATGTGTATCTTTTAAAATCATTGTTTTTGTCATACAAGTTGTTACTGAGCGGATCAGCACTGTCCGTATCTTCGGATTATTGTCCTCCACCTCTTCCTCCTCTCCCATTTCTTCGTTCAATTGCTGTATATAACCATCCAAGGTTTCATCGTCAATCGAACAAAATTCTTGTTTGTTATTAATGATGCAATTTTGATTTTCTTTAAACCGATCTTCGCTGTTCACGTCCAATAATTCCTGAACCTCTTCACTCCACGGTAGAAATAACATTAAAAGGGCCCTGAAATAATCAGAGCGTTCTTTTTCGATATTAAATTTATAGTATCTAATAACTTTTGACTTCGATCTACGTTGAATGTAACCAGAGTCGTTTTTTAATTCAAAGACCTCGCCGGGAGATCCACCACAAGTAAATGAGTCACTAAGACCCGTGGCTGCTTGAGCTATTTCTTCGGCTTCCGCCTCGTCTTCGTCCTCATTTTCTTCATCGTCATCCCGTTTAGTGTTTCTTTTTTTTCTTGGATGCCTTTTACTAATTTCGTAATAGGAAGCAAATTGAGCAAACGTGATATTGTCCTAAGGAATCAGGCCGATTAACATAGTGTTCAATAAGACCAGAAATGAAGCAATCGGTTGATTCCGGATTCAGTTTCAGAAGATCTGCTTGGCTTTTTAAAATATGAGTTCTATCTTCAGGTCTAGATGTCGGAACAAATACAGTGACAGTGCTTGATCCGACCATTCGAATTCCAATGATATTGTAGGCTGCTTCTTGAGCAGATATTTCACTAGCATTATAGTACGTAGTTACCAATGTTTTCAGCAAATCGAAAGCTTTTGATTTTGGATCATCCTTATGCTTTGCGTATACCCCCTCCATTGCTTTACTCATTCCCTTGTCGGTTTTGTTAATATAATCAAGCACGTAGGCACAACATGCATATGGATCAAGGATGAATTGTATGTCCATGTTAGACTTGAATAAGCTTAATATTTTTCTGCTATAATTATTGATCATCACTTCATTAGGCTCCCTCTTAATGTAAATCTTGTTTATCTTGAGTACTGATCTCAAAACAAGAAAATATTCAGCAGGACAAGGAACATCGACAAGATTTAAAAAACTTTGGAATGAAATCTCAGAATTTGACAGCATGGTAGAATTCTCGTCAAGATAATCCTTAATACTCTTATGTACTTTCTTGTACTCAGAAATATCCTCTTGTGTATAATCAGAATGATCCAAAGGTATCATAATTTTTGTGTACGGCATTGGCATAAACGGTATGTTAAAACGGCAAACAATCTCATTTCCTCCTCTCTTCCGTCTGCAAGTACTGGTATGCTTGTGGGTTTGTCGTGTTTTCAACATGTTTCTCCATGTCTCTATGTTAGACTTAGCCTCATTGTCGTGATGTGGGCTACCATCCCATTTTTTACTACAAGTAATTATTTTGTCGACAAAATCACAAATCGATTTTTTCATATCTCGTACTTCATCGATCGTTTCGCAAGCTTTGTCTTCATAGATAGGTGCGTCTTTTAACCAGAGCAGCATATGGACATGAGGTGAGCCTTCAAAATTATAAAAATAATGAATACAAATTATAAATTTTGTAATTCGTATAAACTTTTACCTCTATGCTGAAATTCAATTCTGAAGTAATACTCATTTATAACATAGCCACAAAAAGGACCATCTTCAGCTGCCCAAGTTTTTTTCAATTCTCTAAACCTGTGATCAAAGTATCTAGCTGTTGTTATGGGATCACTTTGAATCAATCTTGCTTTTTCATCGTAACTCAAAGTTTCAGCTTCTTCTTCGGTCATCACATCATCATCCACAACCTTCTTCAATATACACAATAACTCGATCCATTTTGTCTCTGCGGCAGAAACAGTAACAAACAAGGATGGAATACCATATTGTCTAATCATAGCCATCGAATTTTTTTTCTGGTTTTTCCAATACTCAGACGAAGATCTTATACCAGCAAATGTTTTGAAGGCTTGGTCCTTGCTTAATAAATTAGTGACATAATTGTCATTTGAAACGTCTTTGGCAGTAAATGGTTGATTTTCACTCGAAGTAGTTTTTCTTTTCCTAAGGATAGTGTTGACGTTAGAGCACAATTTTAATAACTGAGATTTTCTATCCATGTAAAGGAGATAGTCCAAGCGTTCCACAGCCCTTCTATCGAATCTCCGTGCCATTGATTTTGTCATCGAGTTGTATGATACTGTGTCAATGCATTCTAATCGTTTTCCATAAAATATCTTAATAAAAGACAGGAAATCGCTATCTTTATCTTTCAACAAAGATAATGGCGTTCTACCTTCTCCAGGAGCAAGTCTGATTGACATGTTACTGTCATTGTTGTCAACAATTAACGTATCTGTAGCGTCAATATTTAAGGGCTCATCACAATCTTCCTCCACCAACTCGTCATCGAAGGTTTCATCATATGTAATATCCTCATCATCCATTTCTCCTTCCTCATCCATTTGTCCTTCCTCATCCACTTCTTCAAGGTCTGCTAAATTATCTCTATTTTCTTGCTCCTGATTGAGATTTTGTTCATCCCACGCATTTCTATCAGCCAACGTAACATCATATTCTTGATAAAGGGTAGTGGTGGCTAAGTACTCGGCTGCAATCCAAACCTTTGATGGGCTTACATTCCCTTTGATATAATCTTTCTCAAAACACAGTTTTCTTGCTAAACGAACATGTATGGTTTCGGTGTCGTTGTAGTTTCTAGGCAGACAACTGACCGTTGTATCCACATTTACCGGGACATTGACAATACCACCTTTACTCTTATATTGCCCACTAATACCTTTGTGAGTCCATAGTTGTTGAAATGTATGTCTTGGTGCAACGAGCCTTTCCTCCAACCTTGTTAAATCTGATATGCATGAAACCTTTTCTGGAAAATGTAGACCATTTTTTAAAGCAATCTTCGATACTTTGTTCAGTTTGATTGATGCCTTGCAATTAGCACAGAAATAATGCTTATCACTACCGGCTTTCGTAACCGTTAAATTATTATAATTGTCAAAAATATTGCTGTCAATCGTCCAAAATGCCGCCTCAGCAACATCTGCTTCACACTTCCATTTAGCAGTATATCCTCTTTACCAACTAGAGAAACATTTTTTGTAAAAAACAATCCACCACAGCAAATGCATAAAACAGTAGGTCCCTCCCTGATGCTTTTTTCGTATGCTCTTCTGGTTTTTTCCCAAGACGAAATCTAGTCATTAATTAAACGCGTGAGCATTAAAATTAACATAACTATAATGAATATTTACCTCTTCAGGCGAAGTATTGTTACGGTTCTGACGATATGATCGTTGATATTCCCGCTGGTATGCTCTCGACTCTTCGGATTGTTGATATGCCCTTCTCTTGTCCTGTCGGCTTGTCGGCTGATTGGATCCATCCTTATAACATTTGTATCATCTGTGGGTGTAGTTCTGCTACCTTCGTCTTCGTCATTAGAACTGTGCTCTTCCTGTTCCTCTGAAATGCGCCGTTGCATATCGTCGTTTCTTCGCATTCCTTTCAGCAATGACTTCAAAAACATCTCTTGGTCCTAATAACTTAAGCCTTATAAAATTTTTGGGTGGTTGGTTTGAAGTGACATTTTTTTCAGAACTTGATGGGCCATTAACGCCGAGATCTGTTGTTTCTGAACCTTCCCCGGTATTTGTCTCTGATGATGACTCTCCCATTGTGTTTGGGTTTGTCTGAATTTTCAATCGCAAGTAAATCTTTTGACCAGGGTTGCTTGGTCCCATCTGATTTTCCAAAACAGCCGCATGAGCTTCCCTGTCTCTCTTTTTTCCCTTATTCTTTTTTTTTTATGTTCTTTAGGCATTTTCAAAACTTGATTTCTTAATTGAAGTTACAGATGTACGTTTTTATTCAAAAGAAGTTTTTGATATATATACATGTCCCAAAATGGTAATTTTTGGCTTTTTTTTTGTCCCAATTCTAAAGGCTTTTACACTACGTATTACATACTCCGTCTAATACGCCAAAAATTTAGATACATCAAATTTAACTTAAAGATTTAAATATCAAAAATGCTTACTGCAGTAACTATATCACTGATATGATTCTTTGCTTTGCTGCACCAGACATATTCACCGTACTTGCTGCATCCAAATGTCGGTTGCTTCACATGGTGTTAACTTAAAGATTTAAATATCAAAAATGCTTACTGCAGTAACTATATCACTGATATGATTCTTTGCTTTGCTGCACCAGACATATTCACCGTACTTGCTGCATCCAAATGTCGGTTGCTTCACATGGTGTTAACTACTTCTTTAAATATCGGTATGTATCTTTATCTGCGTTTGGATAGGGTGATAGCTTTGCACCCAAACGGGTTACACCGTTCTTCTCAGGGCTACAATCAAAATTATCAATAGGTTCTTAAATCGATTGCTGTTTCATTTTATCTGTACTTGTGAAAAGTTTTACTTTGTTCAGCATCAGCCAAGAACTCAACCCATTTCTGCTTAAACTCGACCTCTTCGGTCTCCTTCATATCTTCATGGTCAATCTAATAAAAAGTAATAAGTTAATAGGGGATAAAGAACATCGTTTACTATCAGCTTGCCTTTTGTTTCTTGCTATCTCTCTCGCTTGTCTCATTTATTGTTATATCTCTACCAGCCTATTACCTAATTCAGCAAATAATACAAATAATCAATATTTAAATCCTTACGTTGTAATAATTTCCTTTCACCTAAAGATAAAATATACAAGTCAATAAACATGATATTATGAACACATATTTACATACTGTGATATTGTTAACAACCGACGAGCTGGGTGTACTCGAAGAAGAATTAAAAGGCTCCAATAATTTATCAATGTGCCGATGGACGATTGTAGAAACGTTTTTAGAGTCTTCTTTAACAGTTTGTAAATTCTTATAAAGTCTTTTGATTTTTTCAGCATCTTGGTCATGGAAAATATTTTTTGTATGATTTAAATGTCCAGTCTAAAGTCGGTTTATCACAAAAGTACCTCAAGTACTTGTTATTTGTTTTGAAAGTTGCTTATACGTGGCTAAATCTGACATGTGGAAAAAAAAATTTTTTATGAAAGAGACTAGAGGCCTTCACACCAAGACCGTCCAGACGGTTTTAAGGAAAATTGAGCCAAAATGGTTTTCAGGTGTGACTGGGTTTTTCTAGAGCTAGATAATAACTGGGGTATTTGTTGACTTAATTTTTTCTCGAACTTTCTTTCATTTCTAATAATGACTCATTCTGATACCCGGATCATTTTCTAAAATGCCCGCAGGCTTTTGCTTTTAATTCATTTTTAGGTAGGAATCTGATTTACCGCGGGAAAACATTTATCCGGGAAATATCTGCTGATAGATTTTTATATGGGACTTCCCACTGTAAATGGCAAATTTTGTTTTGCCATCTGTAAAAAAGTTTGTGTGAAAGAAAAATATCGGGCTCTATTAGTTTATGAAGAACTCTCTAATAAAGAACATAATAGAGCCGGATTTCTGATACATAATAAATTCATCGAGGAGATAGCGTTTTTTTTTTTTTTTTTTGGATATCAGAGCCAAAAATTGTTCATTATAAAATAGATGCACTGTATAAACTTTAACTCTGGTTTTACAAATTGATTTGGTTTTTCATTTTAACAAGTACGGACGAATTTATTTTAGAAAAAAAAAAAATAACAATCGCTTTCAGGCGAGCTTTTAAGGTGCTCTTTTGCAAAGTTTAGGCCGTGAGTGTTGAAACTTAATTTAAAAATTCTTGGACATATTATGTCCGAAAGAAGAACTACTTGGCTGCTATTTTCACTGTCATAATACTTCTCATTTTCCTCATGTTGGCTTTTTAAAACAGCAATAGTCTTCAGTGTCTCGTCAAGAAGGTCCTAAACAATTAACCAGACTTGTTATTATTTTTCTTCCCAATTATTTGAGATTAGAAATATACCTTCAGGTTTCTAAAATGAAGCGCAGGGCTGCTTCGGCTTTGAATGAATAAAAAAGAAAATGATTTAAAAACTGTTGAGGTACTATGGCAAATCAGAATCTACTATTACAGTTGAATAATGTCACCCTGTCGTTTGTTTTTTGAATTTCTAATTTTTGTTTAATATACAGAAAGGGGAATGAGGTTATGGAAACATTTGATCTAATTATTCACACGCTTGTACTTGGAATTAGCAAGATTTCGAGGTTCTTTCACACAAATATAGACTAATTCTCTTTTGGCATCCAGGTCTTCTAACTGAATACATTTGTTATAAAGGGGCATCATATCACGCAATTTAGGTGGGTGCATTGTAGCTGATCTACGTAATTCACTTGATAATATACTAAGAGCATTCTTCAGATCGTTAGATCTCGCAAGTGTATTAGCCATCAAAGCTGCCATCTTTTGTTGTTGTAAGCCAGTCCAACCTTCTTTGATCGCTAGCGCATTTTTTTCCGAATCTTTTGTCTTTTGTTCAATGATAGTACCCGTCTTAGAATCGTCTCGTCTAGCTTCCAAAAAATCTTGATAATCTTCCCATACTTTCCAAGCCATTTTGCTGTCCTTATTGTTATAGCTGTACTGGAGCATATGTTGGAACACAAATGCATCTTTCTGAATATCAAATTTTTCAAATAAATCTGTATAAATGTCTATGGATTTGCTGGTTTGTTTTTGAGAGATATGCAAGGCTAAATAAGCGGTCAACAAAGCCGGTGTCGCTTTAATTCCGAGATCTGGTAACTGGCTAAAAATCCATTGTGCTTCTTTCACTACCTTGGATCGTTTATTAGGTAAGTCCAAAGGTAATGACTGACGCTGTGTCGACATTTCTACGCCTGTAGTAGCTGTTACCGGACTGTTGATCTGTGCTGATCCAGAAGGGATGTAACTAGCATAACACCAAAACAAGTTCGTAAAGGTTTGACTATCTGGTGCTAACAATGATTGTGATCCATTCTTTTCGACATCGCTCCACATTGTTCGTAAAATATTTCTGGCTTGACCCAAATCCTTTTTTCTAGCACATGCGGTCAGCAGGGTATTATAGGTGATTCCATCCGGTTGAAAGCCGTAGGTTTCTTGCATCTGATCCAATAAATTGAAAGCCTCATTGTAGTAATCAGGACGCTTGGCACACGCATTGATTAAAACATTAAATGTAACATCAGTAGGGTAAAGCTGATAGCCGGCCATATCCTCAAATAAATTCAATGCTCTCTCAACTTCTCCCCTCTAAAAATATATTTTAAATCTCTCTTTTCAACCAATACTTTTCTTCTTCTTTCTGATTTACCTTAGCACAAGCATGAAGCATCAATGTAAAGCTAACCTCATCAGGTTGATGGAAAGATAATCTCATGGAATCAAAAATCTCCCATGCCTTATTAACTTTGTTTGCCTTCAAGCATCCACTAATCAAATTTGCAAAGATTGGCTGAGAAAATCTTGTTAAATATCAATTACAGTATATACATAGTTTATCAGCATTTACCTGGGAGGGGATCATAGATGTTTTTTTCATCTTTTCGAAAATAACAAGGGCGTCATCCAATCTCTTATTAGCTACAAATGCCTTAACAAGTGATCCATAACTGAAAATATCGGGCTTTAACTTCAACTGGTCCAGTTTTTTGTAAGTGGCAATAGTTTGTTCAAGGTCGTTACAGTTCGCATAGGCATCCATTAAGTGATTGACGGATCTAACGCTTGGTGTGACATTGTATTTCTAATGCAAGTATTAATAAAAAGAGGGAGATAGAGGGAAGAAGGGAAATGAAATATACCTCCATCAAGTTAAAAGCTTGATCAGCCTCGATTGGTCGTTTTGCTAAAGCGTTGGCATAAATCAATTGCTCGAAATCTATCAAAGTCAAATCTTGTAACCCTGTTGGGGCAGGCACGTTATCGTCCGTTTGAGTAACTGAATTTCCAGAAGTCAACTGCGCAACTGCGACAGGTGTTTCTAACTGCTCGTTACTACGAGTATCTAAGAATTTGATTTTCAGTTTTTCTAAATAGTCAGAACTGATCTTTGGGCGGATAGGCATAGGGGCAGCTAATTCGTTATAAATTAAAGCAATGTCTTGTTCATCGATTCTTTCAAAGGAAGCATTTTTCTACAAGCCACTTAATAAAATGTTTTTATACGTCTTTTTCTTTGACCTACAGTTTTCAATTTTGATTCGAGATCGTATTCCAGCTTTTTGATTTCTTCAATGACCTTTTTTGTGCGATCTTCTTGAAGACCCCTTTTTTTTAAAAAAAAAAAAAGAAAGATGTCAGTTCTTGTCTATAGGTAAACCTGGAGGTAAATTACCTTGCACCATAAGATCGAAGTATAATTTTCTGCTGTTGGCAGATCCTTGTAGATCTTTTTAAAATAGAAAGCATTTCGTCAAGTCAGATCTATAAGCGAGTGAAAAGAAAGACAGGGACGGATTTTCTTTTTTTTTCTTTTTTACCCCAGCAAGGCTATTCCCGCCGGGTATTGAATTTATAATGAAAGGTTACAGTGTTGTTACTTCAAATTCAGACAAATGCAAATTATTTTTGGACAAACTTATATTTGTTTTCAGACAGGCTTATAATTGTTTTCAGACAAACAGAAATATATTTCGGACAGTCGTAAAAAGATTTTCAGACACATGTAAAAGATAATCAGACAAGATATCCATCCCAGTCAATACAATCTTTTGTGTCGATAATGTTACAAAGAATTTAAAGAGGACATCAAATTATTTTCTACCAACACTTCACGATTTAAGTGAGAAAAAGGTTCCTACACTTGTGCAGATAATTGGCATGATCTACCTGTGATGTAATGATAGAGGCGGGATGTTATTTGGGTAGGACATAGCGGAGGAAAAGATAATGATAGAGAATATGACATAGAAAAACGTACGGCGGTGAAAAACAACGGGTAAGTGATCCTAGATTATGACTACGCGCACTTTACCGGTCCTAAAGAAAAGCGTAATCATAATAATCTATTTAATCAAACTTTGAGACAGCCAAAACTCACTCAACAAAGTTTGTTTAATACGACTTATATTATAAATGAATAAAGTGATTTACATGCCTACAATTATCATACCCAGCCTACTACAAATAACCTCACTTCATAGCATATAGATACAATCTGATATAAAAAATAATAACTTTGGTTTGTACAAATACTTTGATAAATTAATAATAAGCAGCGGTCACATCAAATATATATATATCAGCCTGATGTCGATTTCAACAACAATTATGTCCTTTTCTTTCTAATATCTAAAACGGGATGCGTACACCAATTTATCCTGAAATTGAAGCTTTTATACAAACGAAAAAGTTGAAAAAATATGAAAGCCAACAACAGGAAACTGCTAGTGAAACCATTAACAAACCAAGTAAAAGAAAGAAAGGTAATATAAAAGCTTTCTTCAATGTGTTGTAATAACTAAATCTTCTCAAAGGTGTAAAAAGAAAAGATACCCCAGAAGAGAAAAAGGCAAAAAGTGATGCAAAAAGAGCTAGAAATGTTGTCACAAATACATCGAGTCTAGTATGTAAGTCCTGCGGTCAAAATGGCCATGCATCTGCTAGGTCCAGAGAGTGCCTGAATTATAATTATACAGTAAAAGAATTGATTCAACAAAATCTGGGTTCTCAAAATCAAAGATATACAGTCTCCATACCTCTCAAGTCATTCATGTCTTCAGTAGATGAGAATGCGAATAACACTGCGGTTGAAAAAATCAAAAGTCTTTCAATGTTTTTGCGAAAAGTCGCCTACAACGCTCAGCTTTTTGTCAACTTTTATATTTTGAAACATCCAAACAGTTTGCCTAATGAACTATTGAAACAAAACTTTTGGTATAGCGTATGTAGAGTGGTTTACCAAAATTTATCAGTTCAAAATTTTCAATCACAATATCCACTTATTCCCCACCTCGCCGAAGTATGGGATGAGCTTAACGGTGTTGAAGGCGTCAACTTGACAGTTGATAAAGGAAATTTAACTCTTTACGGCCAAGTGGTTTCATCCGCTTGTGAATCTATAGCTACTTGTTATAACAACTATTATATAGAGAACTTTGAAAATATTATTGCAAACTACTTTATATACATGATCCGTCAAGCATTTCATGTAAGTGTAAAGCCTTGTTAAATATATATATTAAAAACTTGACATCAATTATTATTTTTTTAAAAGGACATAAAAATGCCCATAGTAAAACATATAGTATACGAACATGTGCTCAATGTACTATTTTCGCCAGGACTGGGAGCCATCAATTCTGACAATATTTCCACTTCTTTGAACAGTAAAGAGCAAGAAAACATTTGTACGTTTTTAAACCCATTGATATTGGAGATCAAGAATCGTATACCAGCATTTCTTGTGACAAAGGCAACTCTAAATAATGCCCCATTCAGCATTATGCCAGTACTTAAGCACATTCTGGAGAAATATGAGTCCTTAATTGTGGAAGCACCGCTACCTGTTCCTGTCTCTCAATTGGAAATCATCTCACAAGAACAATCAGACGAGACCGATCAAGTAAATAAAAGACCAAGAAAAAAGAAGAAAGTAAAAAAAAACAAAAACGACAACAACAGCGTAAAAAGAGATTTCCAGCCGCCTCGTCTCTTCAGTCTATTCCCGAACCCTGGCTTGCATTGGCGTTTCGTTAAAATAGATAGCCAAAATTTGACTGGTCTGTTTCCGACGGCTTCAATGGAACGGTTAGAGGAAGAAACAGTTTTTGAATACACCCAAAGATATTTTTTTGCCCGTTTTAATTTTGCTAAGATAAACATAAATACGTAGGTACATACGTTTTTAGCAACAAATAAACCTGCTAATTTTCAACTTGTATAGCTTTGAAAAATTAAAAAATTTACCTCAACAAAAAGGAAAGATGTTTATTAATAGCCTGTACACAGATGGGTACACTTGTAGGATTTCTTTTTGCCGAAAGAGATACGCAGAATCTCCTGTGAATGAAACTGCTTTGGAGCTGCAAGATTTCAATAGTGAAGAAATCGATCGTTATTTTAGACCTTGCACAGTAGATCCCAACAGGAAAGATGCTTTTGTGTCATTTCATGGTAACACGGATGTTAGGCGGCTTTCATCTGCCGAATATTACAACATGAATGGAAGTGCCAATCGTCTGAAGTTGGAGCAAGACAGGAAGAAAGAACAAGGAGTGCAAACAATCGAGACAAACATACCTTCTGTAAAGTCAGCAGTTGCAGATAAATATATTACGCATGTGAAATACATGATGCAACATAAGGACACACTATTTAATTTTTACAATTTTCAAACAGCAAGAGTCAAATGGTGTAATTACATTGGAAAACAGCGTGCCCTCCAGGATGCTGTAAATATCCTAATTAACGGATCAAAGAAGTACAATAAAGGACGATGGAAGAAAACAAGAAAAAACAAGAGAAAAAGAAGCAAGACAGCTGCAAAGTATCAAAGCAACACCCCTCAAGCCGGATCAAGACAAAGAAAAAGCGCATCCAGGTATTACTCACATATCCATGGATGTTGTTCCTCTTCTAATTTTTTTTTCTTTTTTAAAAAAAAAAAGAAGCCACAAAGAGAAATTTGAGGAGGGTGACAAAAGTAAAATGCCATTGATAATTTTTGGGGACGGTTTGAAGAATAAAAGTCACGTAAAGATCAGTGGGATTAGGCATGGCGTCTCTGAAATGATATACAGACAGTTGAAGCTGCGGGAAAAACTTGGAGAGTTATTGCTACTTGACATAGATGAATATAAAACATCAAAGGTGAAAGATATACGTGTCTATAACATGTAATTACTAATACAATGTCATTTCTTTCTTAGAACTGCAATAACTGCCTAGAAAGTAGTCTAGAAAACTTAAAGTATAAATGTGGAACGGACAACCGATCAATCCATCAAATATTCTTCTGCAAAAAATGTAATATTCGTTGGAATCGTGACGTTATGGCTACTAAAAACATGTACACCATTGCCACCTCAATTTGGAGAGGTGATGGCCGACCCGATGTCTTTAAAAGACAAAGCGCCACCTACAATGTGGTTGCCACGCCCTCACCGGCGATGGCTTAAAGATACCTACAGGTAAAAAAAAAAAAAAAAAAAAAAAGTCTAACACTAAATCTGAATTTCCATTTTTATATCGTCTGAAAAAGGTCAGCAAATGTTTGAAAGTGAATTTTTATTTGTCTGAAAAAAAACTGATGTTGTCTGAATTTGAAGTGTAAACACTGTAAGATGAATGGGTTTTTATTGAATAAAAACATTTGCTTGGTTCACAGTGTTCATACTCGATATAATTACAAGCATCGTAGAGTGTATTATTAGGATGAAGTATATTGAAAGATAAGCTGTAGACAAAAGATGTAGATACATGAATAAAACAAAAAAAGGGGGAGGGGTGCTGCTGACTGTAGTAAGTGTGAGTACTCTTGTTGTATAGGTTATAACGACTCCTCTCTTTGTAAGTTTTCGTATTCCTTTTTTTTGTCTAATAACATGGCAAGTCTCTTCTCCTAAAGATTGAAAAATTCATTTGTATTTTTTCCGGTTGTAATTTCGTAATGAATATTACCTTCGACTTAATTTTGTACATTTCCAAGACATAAAATCCGCCTGCGCCGCCAGCTAAAGCACCAAAAGAAACAGCTAATGCTTTCCAGATTTTTGACATCTTGTAAACGGGAAGACAAAGTGGAAAGCCAAAAAGGAGGAGGGGAGGGGAAACCGCACAAACCAAAATAAAAGTTTTGTGACTTGACATTTTACTCTCAGTTTCTGTTTCCTGGATTGAATGAGATGAGAAAGGGGTTGGCATTTTCTACCATTATGCGTATATAAAAGCATGAAAATGCTCTTTAATCCCTTCCTTCATTTTTTTCTCATTACATTCACTGTCCCCTTGTTATCATGAAATTCATATTATTTGCTAGTCTCCTTTTGGTAGTGGTCCAAGCTTTTCCCTTAAATAAACGTGGTACAGGTGCTAGTATCAGTGTTAATTCAAGTCAAGATTTTTGCTCGTATTTGCCGCCTGGCCCAGGAAAAAGCGTTTCTGCCACTGAGAGAGACGCTACACCTTTTTGTACAAATTCGACTACCTATGCCGATGCTTTTCCTCCTGGCTTTATCAAGTCAGCTCATTTTCTTCGTACACCTACCTATGTTCAAGTTACGGGTAGAATCAACCATACTGTTTATGACATTTTAGTTGAAGATGGTGGAGGCCAATACGATGTTAAAGTGAGTAATTTTTAAAAATTATTTGAAGTTTAACTGACTTATGCTATAAATTAGAATCTGCCACAAGGCACCTGCAATGGTCTAAAGCATTGGGTCAATTTAATCGAACCTGATAGTGAGCAGTTTTGCATCAGATGCTGTCAAATCAAAACTGATTGTAACATTGGTCTATCAACTTATGGATGTCGCCGTATTGTACCTGGTGATTACAGCTAGTCTAACCAATCCCACTTTTATCTCATCCACTCATTAATATCATATATCTCAATATACTCTCAAGCATTTTAATAATAAATCTAAATAACAAATATTAGCCATCGTTCAATTTTAATGCATGTCGAAACAAGAATGCCTAAAAAGAAGGGATTTTTTTTATAACGATTACCCTGCATAAAAAACCCGCATTACCCAGAGGGCAAAATTTAGTCGTCATTGCCGCATAAGATTGTGCGCCATCCCAAGTAGTGGATGGTTACAATCACATTTTATTTAAAAAATTAATTCTCGTAAAATTACAATAGATGTGCCTAATTATCTTAGAATACATCCATTAACGTCATTAAGGACGCCCATTAAGACCAAGACAAAGTCAAAAGTCCACCAGAGGCCAGCAAGACCACCCGTCAAAAGCTTTACGATGCCTACAGTAACATATCCAAGATAAAACCGGTCGGCGGCTAGTTATATAAATAAATAAAAAAAAGGATGGTTAGAATGCATTATAAATAAAAATTAGGTTAACATTTATTACCAGCTGCCCCAAAAAATAAAGAAAGAATTATAGTAGATGTTTTATCGCGGTCTGAAGTGCATTGATTGGGATCAATGGAGTCCAGCTTTTCGTAATTTAAAAAGTAAGCAATAGCTGCGGTAGTGAGAATAGCAAGAATCCATGCACCACCAATATGGAATCGATACTTATTACGAAAACGTTTGAAAATAGCCTCACAGGATTCAGACTGATTAATGTTCAAGAGAGGAGAAGATTCATGACTTTGGTGTTGGTTGATTGATTTATTAGCTTGAGACATGATATTTGGTTTGATATGTAAATTAATAAAAAAACAAAAGGAACAAAAACCTACTTTATATACCAAGCCATTGGTACGAAAAATTCTGTGTATCCCGGGTCCGAAACCAGAAAGGATCAGCAGGTGGCTGTGGAATGAGTCAAAAATAAAAACTGCGGAAACCTCTGAAGATGATATTTTTAAAACATTCTATAAACATCTGTAACTGATAAACGAGCCTTTTAAACAGCCTTGATGGATACTTACTTGGAGTTAGTATACACCTGTTTATCACATATATTATCTTCAATACACAGAAACAGATCGTAGAAAAACGTACATCTATATATAAACTTTAATTGATAAATTTGACGAAAGGGTAATAGAAGGCATTATAGAATAACTTTATGCTATTTTAGTCCTCTGATTTTAGAATCACATGTTCGATAATCATTGTCTGAAAACGTTCATACGTGGAACGGATAGGCCATTAACGGAATTATGTAGCGTACTAAAGCATTTGGTGTTTAGCATAAAACTGTAACATTTCAACATAGCACATGTTTAATTAGGCTTCGAAAAGTATTATTTATTGCTACCTGTATTATACGGGTGAAGAACAGCATCCCTTTGATCTTGCAAAGTAGGCTCATGTAAGGCCGTGGTTTTCTGCCTTTTATGTTCCAAACGGGAGTTCTGATGATTTTTTTACCGCAATACTTGTTAAAATGAATACAAGTACCCACATCTATCAGAGTTCAAACTGGAAAAGAAGGTCTCGATTTTAAGTTTCAGGCTTAGTTGTCGGAGGCTATTGAAAAAACAAGGGTTAATTTTTTGGGTGGATTATCCTGAAAATTACATCAGTAAATCATGTTACAGACATTAATTCAATAACATGATGATAGATTAAAAATTAGCACAATTTCATCAGTTCTGCTAAGAAATTAAAACAGCTTATTTTTTTTTTTGAACAGCTATTTCTGTCATGTAAGCACCTACTTGCGCTGCCATGTGCAACGTGTTTTCTATTAAAGCATCTTTGATTATTTGAAAAAAAAATGATAACGACACTTCGTCCTCTCATTTGGTGTTCTATAAAGAGCTATCAATCTCAACTCTGAGAACTATTTGTTTTATCCCTCTTAATTGTCCCTCGATTTGTATATATTGAATAAAACACGAGATCAGTAGCTTTCAACACCAAACAATGTAGCGATTAAAGATATTATGTGAATCAGGTAAAACTGTATCTTGGAGACGTCATAACATTTGAAAAGAAGATTATACATGTCAAGCATAATCAATATGGTCAAATAGGTAGTACGACATATATCATTCATGGCATCCGAAGGTAAATATCGTCATCTGCTGTAATAACTAGCTGTGCGGGAAAGTTACACTATAAAAAAAATCAGTTTGCTATTGAAATATTGCATCTGCTTAAGACAAAATCAAACGAATTTATCAGTCGAGACAAAATCCAGCATTATTTTACAATAACCTTATACAAGCTGTTTGTTTGAGTTTGAATGAGGTACGTCGCACACCATTGTCACACAGATATGATTTGATTTTTAGTTTCAAATGATTTTAAGCCATCTTTTTTTTTTCCTTTTTTTTCCTCTCTTTAATTTTGGCTGTTTGTTGATCAAATAAATGGACGACGACTTCGATTATTACCAATACAACTATTGTCTTGTTTTGTGTAAGTTATATCAGCAATACACCCGCAAATGCCAGATATTGAACGCTTTCCATAGACTTTGGAAATCAGTGTGCTCATATCAAATTTATCTTTAACAGACAAAGAAACTTTCCACATTCTTTTGCCATCCGGTAAGTAATAATGTGTCTTATATGCACCCTAGAAGAAACTACTCACCTGAAGAGATATGGCAGAGAAGCAACATGCATAGCCTACAACAAGGAGCGGAACAAGGTTGTAGCTTGGGGAGACAAAGCGCTGGACTACCAAACTAATGATGACTTTGTATATATGGACAATTTAATGAAAGAATTGTATCGTGTCTACCCCAAGTACAAAATAAACAAGAATGACAAAGACGCTCTTTGGGTGATACAAAGTGTCACGGACTTTCTTCTAAATTTGCTAATCGATTTAAGGGTGAGGAGTTCTGAAGTGTTCGAATTTAGAAATATTCACTTTGTATTTGTGGTACCTACTGAATGGGACGAAGGAATTCAAGAGGTTATGCTTAGACCTATTTTTATAGCAACAGGAATTATATCTGAAAAGGATCACCCTAATCGGCTTCTATTTTATACAAAGCTAGAATCGGTTCTGCAACTCATCCGACATCCACGATTTGGAATTCATGATCGAATAAAAAAAAGTGTGCAGTATCTGATATGCGGAATAGTAGAAGCAAAGGATTACGTATCCATCAATACGAATGCATTTGAATTTAAAGATAGCTTGGTAGATTCGCATATAAAATTCACATTATCATCCAGGGTGTCAAAATCACAACTTGTAACTGTGGATTACAAAGATTTAAGAAGGGGAATTCAGCTTCTTATGTTCAACAAGGGTTTCCGTATAGCAGAATCAATTAAAACCACGGATATATTACAGACGGTGACAGATTATTTATTGAATCTGTATTTGGGAAAGGTATAAGATTCCAGAGTTCTTTGTCTCTATTGTTTTTTTTTTAAATTATTTGCAATTTATAGTTTAGCAGGAATAATAACTCCTATTGTTGCAAGGGTGGACACCATTACCAAAAGATCAATTGGTTTGATCTTAATCGTAGGCAAACTCGAATTATTAAATCAATCGCAGCAAGTGAAGTTTATGAAGCTGCTTTTTCTGCTGTAGCTAAACGCATCAGTAACAGTATACAAAGCATTTCATCACATGATTTCACAAAAATAAGATCCCTTATTATATTGAGGGAGTCTATATACGAAAAACGAACCGCACTTCCTTACTTGTTCAACTGGTTAATTCATGTTTTAGACGAAGTTGGACAGCAGTTAGACTTCGATATTTTGACTTCTCAAGATAACCATCGATCATTTATTAAACTAAGCTCGGGGAATGTGAGTGAAGGCGCTGGGCGTAAAATACTAGAGAAAATTAAAATAGCCGATATTATGATGGCACCCAAATTGATTCATAGAACTGCCTCAAATGAAGAAGACTCTTCCTCGACTATTTTTTCTGACATAAACCCAAATATTATTGTGTCAATCGGTAAGCAGGGATTGTATAAAAATGCTCAGATTTGATCTTAATTCTACATAACAAGATATTTCTTTTAAAAATGTATTATATTCATGTATTCAAGTGGATGCTGACGGTGTTAAAGAAGTTGTTAGTAATAGCTATACATTGAGGTATGTCAGAGAAAATAGTAATTATAAAAATAGGCACAATTATTTATAATTTTAAAAAGCTTGCAGCCACTCGAAATTTTCTTTAGCAGGCTAAGACCATTAACTTTGAAAGTAGGAGAAAAGTAAGCACCACAAATTAAGGTGACATATGCCAAGACATACATCGCTAATGATATATTAGTACCATACAATTTCTGGGACGTCATTTTAATTCGGCACTTGCTTTCTTCTCTAAATACGACCGTCGCTTTAAACTCGGGACGCCAAAGAAAACAGAATGTTGTAACGACATTGAGGCATGCAGTCTAGAACAGTGTGAAGGGCCGAGCAAATCCAAAGTTTGCGAAACTGATGATTTTTTTTCAAGTCAAAAACAAGATCTTTTGCTCGAGATAAAAGAAATTTTAAATTCAGCGGATGGTACATTCGAGACGCAACAACAGAGGTATATTAAGACGTTCCTGGTCCTTTACTTGGGATATATAAACACACTTGCAATAGACCAGTTAAAAACGCATTTTGGAGATCTTGAGTCCCGAAAAATAGGGTTTGTTTTGTCTTTGGAAAAAAAATTATTGCATGATGTATTTGGAAGCAAGATAGATTTTCGGGAGCTTTTATTCGCAAGTGGTATTCTTAAAAATCACGATACTTCCAGGAAAGTGCAAATCATTACTCGAGGAGAAAGCTTGTTACCGGCACTTGTACAGGAGTCAAACCTAGATCTTCCTCTTAAATCATATTACGCATTAGCCCAACTTCATACAACATATATCCAGATGACGTTACACCAAGTAGTCAAACTTGCGACCACTGAAGAGGAAGCAGCATCTATCACCATTCAAGATGAATTTTTACAAATTGAAAATGTATACGATTCGTTGACAAAGAAAATTTGGAATTGTATAAAGTTGAACAAAAGTCTAATGACCTACTGCTCTTTACACGAAGACAGTTATTTATCGTTGAGCAACTATAAAGAGTTCACGATCAAAATGAACCAATGTATATCCGAAAAGGTAATTGTAAAATCTTTTAAAGTCTTTCAATTTTTTTTTTAATTCTTTGTGTAGCTTGCATGTCATGATTTCGGTTCTGTCGCGGTAGATGAAAAAGAAAGGATATCAGTAAATGACAACTGCAGCTGTGCCATCTACCTATCGATACACGACATTGTGGATTTAGCTTTCAGGCCCGTCATAGCTCGTATTGCATCTACTGTTTCTTCGGTACTTGCAAATGAAAATCAGTTTGGCCAATACTATATCAGAAACCAATTTATACTGGGTGATATTTACAACTTTTTACATGATTCCCTATTACACCAGAAAATATCACAAATACTTCAAGAAGCAGCTGATGCGAGCATCCAAAACAAAGAATTAGGGACGTTTAGTCATGTGATGTTGAAATCGACCGATTGCCTTTTTCAGCCGAGAATTGGAGATCGGCATTTTTTGCACGAGAGTTTCCGAAAAGGTTGTTTACATCAAGTATCTCGTGAGAATTACGGGCTCGATTTTTATTTGGGTAGGACACAAGATGACTTAAAGGTATCTTACAATGATGGTGCCATAGAAAATACCATAGAGCCAAACGAAATCATGGTGATTCTGCAAAGGGGTCAATCCATAACAAACGAAGGCGTCACAGTTACATTTTCCGTGCAGTTGAAAAGCACTCGACATAAAGAACAAGTTCATATCCGTAAGTTCGAATCCTGTTTTTTTTATTTTTATCTTTCATTAAGTTTTTTTTTTTTTTTATGAAGGGTTGTTAAGGTTTGATCATTTGACAGAGACCACTAATTGCGCAGATATTATTTCCTTGGATACCGTTTTGGCCAACTCTTTACAAACATTCAAGCTCGAAAAAAGTAATACGCATTCGACATTTTACATCATGATCAAAATGAGACCCAAAAACCACTTTTCTTCGCTTCATTTTTCAGCCAAGATTGTTGGGGAAGCCGATAACAGTAAGGAATCAGGCACGTATGTTTATTTGGGAGAACAACTAACGGTAGCCTATTTTTAACTACGAGGGGGTGAGAATCTCCGCCATAAATAAATAAAGCTTTTCTTTGTTATGTGATCTTCATGATATATGATGAGTACGTCAAAACGATTCAGTTGAACATTCTTGTTGCACAATCATTCAGATTATATTAAAAAAAAAAAAAAGAAAGATCCTTTCTGTCACATACGTATACATATATTAAATGCGAATTTCGTTATTGCCCATTAATTTTATACGTGCACAACTTTTAGGTACTACATTTGATAGCCAAATCTGCGGCAAGTGCATAACGGGAAAACCTAATCCAAACTTGTAAGACAAACATTACCGGTGGATTTCAAATAAATAGTTTGTTCAACAAATACCAATTCTTACGCACAGCTGCGCAGAAAGAAAGAAAAGAAGAAGAAAATAAAAAAAGCTGTCAGTTTTTAGTGTTTCGGCGCACTGTAGCAATTTAAGACAATTCTAAACTCAAGAACGGCAGAATCTAGAGTAACGGAGACGGGTCGGGGGGTTATCCGGTTCTGAGGGCGGAACCAAACCATAATTTACCCCTTTCATTGTTGAGTGAAAAGGTCACAAATATAGTGACTGCTACCACAGCATAAAGAAAAAAAAAAACTCAAATGTTATCGAGATACCAAAAGATTTTTCAAAGAGATCGATCATAAAAAGACACCATGTCCGAACCAGTAAAGCAAGTTGAAAAGAAGACTGTTGTCAAGAAGACAGTTGTAGCAAAAGTACCTGCTGTCAAAAAGACTATTGAAAAAAAGACACCTGCCGTTAAAAAGACTAATGCAAAGACAGTTGTCAAAGCAGACGACAAAACTAAGACGGCCGAGGCTGCCAAAGACACCAAGCCAAAGTTGACACAGGGACAAAAGTTATTAAAAAGCATGACAGCACAAAAGGCAGCTAGAAAGGCCTTGATGAAGGGCGTTGCTACGACTCATGTGTCCTTTGATGATGAAGGAAACGAAGCTAAAGTAGAAACTGTCATTCAAAAGACCGAAACACCAGCAGTTACAAGAAAAACAAATAAGAGCAGACCTGCTGTTAAGAAGCCTGCACCCAAGAAACGTAAGGCTGGAGAGGAAGTGGGAGAAGAGGAGGAACTTTTGTTAGTGGAGGAAAAGGTCGAGAAAAAGGTGGATGATAATAAGAAACCACCCAAGAAGGCAAAGAAGGCAAAAAAGAGTAAAATAGAGATTGAAGAGACCAAGAAGGATTCCAAGCAAGAAGAAGCACTTGCTTATGTTCGTACTTTTGTCAATGATCGTGATGCTTGGAAGTTTAAAAAGGTTCAACAAATCTGGCTTCTTTCTAATTTATATGAGGTAAGTAAAAGAAGAAGAAGAAAAAAAAAGAAACTTATAAGGGAACTGATCAAATATGATAGATCCCTGAAGAAGATTTTAGCAATGTATTGGAGTATTTAAAGGATCTTCAAGGATCAGCACGTGAGGTAAGATAAGCCAAAATATATATATATATATATAAAAATGTGTAAATAAGTATATATTTTTTTAATCATGGATGATTATAGAAAGCTAAAAAGGAGGCACAAGAAAAGCTTCCCCAAAAGGAAGAAGTTAAAAGCAACACTTTGACAGGCTATGCTAATGTAGCTGGTAACGATGATGATTTTGATGCAGAAAAGTTATTAGCGCAAGCTTCCATGGCACCCGTTGTTGTTGAGGAAGAGATAGAGGATGAGGATGAAACAGCAGAAATTAAGCGTGCAAAATTAATTATTAACGTTCTTGGATAAATATAATAATAAACAACAATGAATATAAATCGAAGCACTTGTTTATTTATTAGGGAGGTCATGTTTATTTTCTCCTTATTTTAGTACTTTTTTTTTTTTTTTTATTATTTTATTTGAAAACGGCTTCCTCTTCTTTTTATATATTTTCATACCTCTTTCCCCTTTTCTTTTATTCTTTTAAAATGTCTATGAACAAACAACAACTGGATGCATCGTGTCACGAGTGCAGCACAATTGTAGATGGCAGTGATAGTCTTAATGATGAATTATTACAGACAACATTTAAATGGATGTTCTGGTCACCACATCATCTTGTAAAGGATGATGTGTTCTTTGCACCTTCATCGCCTTCCTGTATTATTGATAATAACAGTTGGGTACCTACCCCTTGTTTGTCGCCCGTGACTTCCCCTTCCGACTTCTTGTACGACCGAGAACCATTATTTGATGGTATTGATTATTACTATGGTGGTGCTGAAGAAGATAAAACCGATCACTGTACCGATTCACCAGTAAATAACTCAATAATTATGCATCAAACACCTGATGATGATGATGATTGGTCAGCCTTATTTAACGGTGATAATTATGACTTTTTACCATTAACACCATCCTCTACTGAAGAAGAAGGCCAAGAAACATTATCAGAAGATGACGAAGAAGATCAAGAATATTTAGATGAATCTCCTCCTATACAGGTTATGAACGGGACTACAGAATCAAAACAACATAATCCCTTAAAAAGAACAATTGAAGAATCATCTTTATTATTTACACCTTCAAAAAAATCAAAATCTTCGACTGTCTTTGAAAATCTCACTAAATTGGGCATCGACTGGTGTAGATACTGTGGTACAACAGAAGGTGTTAATTGGAGGCCAGGCCCATGGGGTAAAAGAACATTATGCAAGTAAGTCTATATACCAATTAAGTCATTTACCATACCCTAATACCCTCTTACCTGTAGTAAACATGGTTGTGATTATAAAGGCTACGGTCTGGCTAGTAGGTTACCAAGACTGGATCTGTCTGCATTTGCTAAAGAAAGGCTACAAGATCGTCAAAGGCCAATAGTGCAGCAATTTTGTGTTATTTGTCAATCCCCTGAAAAGACGCTAGATAAACTGATCCCATGTCAAGGTGGCTGTTCTCGCGCATATCATCAATATTGCCACTCTATTAAAAATACTTCTTCGGCATGGTACTGTAGTACTCAATGTCAAGAAAACAAGTTAAAGAATAAGGTCGTTGTTGACCTGCCAAGAAAATACCTGCCTTTGATGCGTTTACAGCAACAAAAGCATCATTTATAACCCCCACCACCACCACCGCCATTTCATTTTTATATATTTTCTCTTGTTTATACGCACATACTATACATAAAAAAATAAATATATCTTCCGGTAATATAAGGGAATGCATATTCCAACTTATTTACTTTTAAACTAATACAAAAATAATAACAATACCTTTAAAGTAATCCTTTTATAAATTCGTCTTTTTTTTTCGTTTTTTTTCCCCCTTCCTCCTCTCTAGAAATGACCAAGTTCCGATCTGGAGTGATAGTTTTAATAGGTACTCATATATAATAACGTTGTAAACAACAGGTTTTTATTAACTCCAATCAATTAGCATCTTTATTTGCTTATGCTAATGTAGCAAGCGCTGTAGAAGAAGGTTTTTTACTCCCTAATTTTTTTTTTAAAGGGGTTTATATCTAATTTATTTATCCCAGGAACCATGCTTTTACCCGTATGGAATCATCCTACAGAAGTCATCGAAGGAGCTCCTGCACCCCAAGCTACTGCGTGTGCCAACCCTGGTCAGATCGCTGTTACTTATGTAAGTCTCCATCTAACCATATAAAAATAAAATTTCCTAAAAACAATACATAGAACGAGGGCCCAAGTGATGTAACAGCAAAAGTATTAAACGGTTTAAAAGCATCGCAAGCTAAAGCAAATTTCTTTGTCAATGCAACTTGGTAATTACTCTTTTTTTTTTTCGTTTGACTTCTGTATTTATAAACTTAACATAGGCTGTATACTCAACAATATGCCATGATATTACAGCGTGCATACAATGATGGCCATTTTATCGGGATGACCTATCGTTCTCCAGGTGATACTTCAGAAGGATTGACAGACGAGCAAATTAAAACTGATGTGACTAATACTGCCAAAATCATCGAAACACTTATTGGTGTCGCACCCAAATATATCCGTCTTCATTATTCACAGCCTGAAGATATTCGTTTAGAAAACATCATTCGTAACTTGGGCTATACGCTGGTTGCTTACAATTTGGACACAATGGATTATAATTACAAAGGAAACCCAGATGGTATTGCAGAGCTTTACAAGTCTGTTTTCGCCAAACAAATCGATACATATGATTCCAAGGGTTCTTTTATTTCCGTTCAATATGATATTCCCGATACTGGTTCTTATGAGGCAATTTACGATGTCGTTAAGACAATCAACGAAGCAGGTTATACCATGGTGCGTCTGGATGGATGTTTAAATGATAAATCGCCATATAAGGAGCATGCCAACTCGATGAAATTTATTAGCGATAAACATTCTTTAGGACAAGCAAACTATAAAGCAGGTCAAATCACACCAGAAAAGCCCGCCAGTACTTCATCTCCAGCCGTCAATGCTCAGGCTGTGGATGCGGCTACGTTAGAGGAAGAAGCTTTGTTGAAAAAAGTTTCAGGTTCAGTGATGAATTCCTTTGACTGGAGCACTCTTGTGATTGGCACCATTGCGATGCTTTGCACTTGGGCATTTTAAATAATAACAATAATAATAAAAAAACTTACCAGTCGTATTTAAATTTCGCATATTTTACATTTTCTTCTCCTAAACCCTAATTGTATTTAACATTGCCCTTTATCCTTTTAATTTTAAAACTCAAGTATGTGTAAAAAAAACAACAGTGCTGATCATTTGATAAAAAAAAAGTTTTTACTGGATGAAACACAAATAATAATTACAACCTAATGAGGACAAGCCAAAGCACCCATGGGATCATAGGCAGGTAAAACAGTAGGCTTTGTATCTAAGAGTGCTACCAACTTCTTGGGGATATCAGTCTTCTCAAGCACAATCTAAAATAAATACTGTTAATACGCTGAAAAGAAAAAAGAGGGAGGGGGGTTTTAGCTCACCTGATAAACGAAACTTGAAAACCAGTCATCAGACATTACCCAGAATCCCTTTTCACCATTTGACTCTGCACCCCATGAATTCTCCACACGCCAGCGTACAGGACGTCCTTCCTTATCAAGATGAACGCCGGTGAAAACCATGGCGTGAGTCATCAAACTTTCCTTGTACAATAATCTCTCTTCCTTTGTCAAGTTGAAATCAACATTAAATGCTAAACTGTAATCATAAATTTCCGTATCCATAGCACCAATCTTGTTATTACTGAATTGTCCAACATCACAGCCAAACCAGACGGGGTTACCAGATTTTAAAACATTCACGGCCAATTGTTTCTGGACTTCAGAAGTTGTGTTGACATAACGAATAGGCTTACCACCGACGACGTTACCAAGACGATCTACAGTGTAAAGTGCATTGATGGGATTACGAGGATCATTAATAAGCGACAAAGTTTCAGAAATCTACAATAACGTAATAGCATGAATATTTAAGTTTTTTTCTTCCCTCAATATTTACGCATGAAAAAAAAAACAAATATATACTTACAGGATATCCCACGACCTCACGGAAGAACTTTTTAGGAGTCAAATGATGGATTCCAATGTACTTTCCATTTTTATCAGTTGTCTCCCAATCGAATTGAGATGGGGGCTCACCAAGTGAGATGACCAAGATACGGTAAATGTCTTCCAGCATTTTTTCCTTGAGGAAACGTACGGCTTGTGCAGAAACACCTTGATCAATAGACTTGCGAATCTCGGCAGCAAATTCTCTCAATTTGACAGTGACTAACCAATTCAAACGACGAGAGTTTGAGCTAGAATAAGTCTCGGGGAAAGCGGATTTGGGTACAACACCATATTTCTCTACGATGTTTACCAACATATCATACTGTCCACCATCACTGACGGGATCAGTCAATAAATATTGAACAATACGGTCATCGATATCCTTATGAGCAAGATCAATCATATTTTCAAGGAACCAGTTAGACTTTTCAAGCTTATCATAAAAGAACAAGAAACTTTGAGACAACTCGAAATCATCTGCTAATTTGTATTTGCTAATTACAGCAAGACGCATGACATTTGTACCAGCAAAAAGCCAACAACGACCACTTGATTTTTGGTTTGTGGCGGAACCTTCCAAGTTTAACTTGATGTTAAAGATATGTTGATCATGTAAGGCAGAATTGGGGTTCAAGAGAACAGAGGTGGGATCACTACCAAAAATAGCGTTACGAGCCAACGCGTTCTTGGGATCTTGAGCAAAACTTTTAGAGTACTTGGCAAGGCTATCGGCAGATAATGTAGCTGGGAATCTAGCATTAAATTCTTCAGGGGAAAGATTTAATTGGCCGAGTTGGTCAGAAAGACGTGACATATCGCTCACACGCTTCTCTCCTTCTTTCTCGGCATAAAACACCTCTTCCTTTGATGATTGAGCTCCCATAATGATGTATTTATTGAATAAAGAAAAAGAAAAAGAAAAAAAAAAGTAAAAAAGAAAATAAAATTATACTTTTTTTGATTGGTGTTTTTGTTCCCTTATCGCATTTTTTAAAGTATGGTCATGAGTTGAGTTAAAACAAGGTCACATGGGAAACAGCGTTTGAATGATTGTCTATTGCGTTATTGATTACAGCAACAACAAAAATATATAATATGTACGGCATTTAAAACTTGTACAACATGATACGTAATTGAATTTCTATCAAAATTGTAATGGTGTCACTGTTCTTATCAAAACGCTTCCCTTGACCAGACTTTATTTATGGCAATTTATACCTCAAAAAAAAATATTCTGACCCCGAGCCTCCGGGTGTCATTCATAGTCTGGCTTGTATACCAACTGTGATTGAGACACAAATGTAACTATAATATATGCATGCAAATAACTCTAAGGGTAAATAACTATCTAGTTACATTTGAGCAGAAGACAACGGTATACTATATGATAACTACTTTATTTTTTATAGATAATGAAATGATGTTTATGTCAGTACTTGGTATGAAACAGCAATACGGGGGCTTGCTTGTAAACGAACCACTTTTTTTTTTAAAAAGGAAAAAAAAAAAATAAGCTTTGAAATTAAGTTTCTCGTGAGCTACGTGGGAACAGTGACCCTTATTTAGAAAAATAGGCTTGATCAGGCTACCAACAAGTCTGTACAGCGCTCACGGTACCAATTATCTATGATTGCTTGCTTTAAAAATGTTTGAAAGCTTCGCATTTTTTTTTTTTTTTTTTTTTGTAACTGAGACCCCTTAATGTAAAAACCTGATGGGCATTTCTAACGATTTGAGACCCCTCTATTTGTAATTGATACCTTTCGGGTTATTTAGCGTAGATTCAGGACGAAATTCTGGGGTCTTATAGATCGTATGGTGAAGCTAACTATCTTTCTTCTGTGCTTAACCTTGTTTTTTGTGCTTGCCTCACTTTGTAGCTTTTGTGCTTTTTTTTTAACCCTTCCCTTCAACTTATGGTGGATATCTAAAGATGATGGATAGTGTGTTTGGTGTATCTAGTGATTGCGCGTAATGTCTTGGGTGTTGGACGGTATCCTTGGTGTTGCAATTTGTGTTTGTACGCGATATTGGCATTCGTATCAGTCCGTGATATCCGGATATATATTCACTGTCAAACCAAGAATATGCCAATCTAAAAGTAATTTTTCAATACAATACTAATCTTTTTTGACAGTTAATCATGCAATTGGCCGCATTGAGGTTTTTATGTCATATCTTATGCCATTACTTGCCAGTACCAGTTTCAAAGTATGAAACGCCATTCAACTGTGAAAAGTGCGGTTGCACTTACCAAAGCAAATTTCTCTCTTTTTCTACCCTTTTATTCCTTCCAGATCTTTACTCTGCTATAATATATAAAATAATTTGTTTATTTCTCTTTTTTGAATTGAACAGCAATGTTGCTGATACCAACGGGCTCGCCAGACTAATACCCAAAGTTAGTATTCTCTTTTAACGACTAGATTTTCCTCCCAATCAGTTATACCTTTTCATCATATTCAGCCCATTCATCCTCACAAAGATCGATATCCTCAAAAACAGTGCCGGACTCTACACCTTTAGCGGTCCATGAATCCTAAGAACAAATAACTTCAATATTGCACAGCCCAAGAGGTTCTTATTACAACTTACTCTAGGTTGAAAATCAACCAACTCTAAACCACGACAATCAAACTGAGCAATTTGTTGGAATTTACCGTTTTGTTCAGCATCGTACTTTCTAATCTTGAAGGAAGGTTCGAATTCTATTCAACAAGTAGACAGTGTCAACATTACAATACACAGACTGTAAAAAAAAAAAACTTACGGGCAGTGAGATCACGCTTACAAAACTTACAACGCATTACCAAATTGGCAACACCTCTTGAGGAATTCATGTCATAGGTATCCTTTTTTTTATATGAATAAACAAGGAAGATAATCAATTGGTTATCTTCTTTTTACCTGTTGGTTGAAAGAGATCCAGGAATCATCTACTTCGTGACAACTTGTACATTCAATCTATGACTTGGAATGTAAGATGATTTGTGTTTTTTTAGTTCCAAGTTTTTCTTGTTACCTTGAAGTGCCACTCGTAATCCTCGACAGGAACAAGATCAGTCACGTTCTCGAGATCTGCCTTGATGTATAATCCTAATTTCTAGAGTGCAACCGAGTTAAAAGAGATAGAATGTAGTCTATTTAGTTTAAAACACGTACAACCATGATATTTTGCAAATTGAAAGAAAAGGACGAAAAAAGAGTTTTTCTTTGGGTTTTTGAAGCTTTCAAAAATCCAACCCCCGCGTCATGGATCAGAATTGCTTATCAACCCCCATCAGACAACGTTAAGAATAATTTAAAAGGAGAGAGTTTATAAATGAATAATGAAAGTAAGATTTTCTAGTATTTATATTAATGGTCTAATTTTATGATTTTATTTATCTAATGTAATAATGCAGAAGCAAGGCTTTTTTTTTTTCTAGAAGAAAATGAAGCAAAAGGTCGTTCATTTTAAAGAAGTATTAGATTACTGATAATAAAAGGGTGCAGTCAAGAGAGAAGGGGCAGCCATGTCAGTAGGCTGAGTTAGACACTCTGATGAATCAATCGTGGTAGTATAAAGGAACTGATGCTGTTGATCAAGTTCATAGAATTGGTTATCGAATAGATTGATATGAGATGGTACGGAATAAGAGGGGGTCACAGGTTGAACAAAGCCGTAATTTTCCCCGTAGACTTGTTGATAGTTGACTTCATTCTCGGGGTAATAGTAACCTGCAGAGTATGGACTGGAGGAAGCGGAATAGGCTGAGGGAACAGTTGATCCAGTTGCATACATCATATCATTAATAGGAGGATATAACAATCCTGTACTATAGTCGAAACAATTGTAAGATGGAACACTTAAAAGGTTTGCTGTCTGATAAATGTCAGTATCGCCTGAAGGGTAAGCAAGATAGATTTCTTCTTTCTGCTGTTCAACTACTGGCTGCTGTTCGACTACTGGCTGCTGTTCGACTACTGGCTCCATTTTCAACTTCTGTTCATTGCCTACTTTTTTTGGCTGGATATCCAAAAGACACTCTGTGTTGTCGATATCCGCGACTTTTCCATCATGATAGAGCGAGAAAAGCTGATGCTTGTTTTGATAATCGCGAGCTGTGAATTCGTTTTCAGGGCGTTTTTTGTAGGGTCTCGTTTTCAAAGTCTTCTTTTGAGGACGATACTTGTAATTAGGGTATCTTTTTTGATGATGATGAAATAGGTTAGTTTTTATGTTTTTTAAATTAAAAACGTCTGATCTTACTGTTCCAAGTGTTTGATTTTGGCAATAGCTGCCTTGACGCGGTAAGGTTCCTTTTTGTCATCAGGAATATCTCTCCACCATTTAGCAACAATTTTTGAAATGTCACGATGATTTGCGCCAGGACATTGGGAGAGGATTTCTCGCTGCTTTTCGACACGAAATGTCATGAAACAGTTCATTGGGCGAGGTATTTTGGCAGCTGTAGGTGAATTCGTCATTATTATTAGAGTTAAAGGAATGTATATAAAAAGAAATGAGTGTATAAAAGCTGGTTTAAAAAAGAGGAAAGAAATGAATGATAAAAAAAAAAAAAAAAAATCTGTCATTTACGGTTCCTTCTTTTTATACAAGAAAAAAAGAAAGTATTCGTTATGGTCTATTGATGAGTGTTTTTCCAATCTGATTTTGATTATTCTTTTTCACTGGGAGTCACTGACATTTGTAATAAAAAGTGATGGGTTCATTTTTTTATCCCTGCATGAATTTTCCCTCTTCACTAATCATGCGCATGAAATTCAATACAAGCACAAAGAAAGACGAGAATAAATTTCTTCAGTATGCTATTTTTACCTTCTCTGCAATATCATTTATTAGTTAATATAATAAAACATTAATTGCAATTTGTTAATCCTTCACTCGAGTTTTAAAATACGTAGGATTTCAAGAAGTAAGCTTATTTTGACATGATAGTAAATGCAAGAGCTTATTTTCAACACAGAAGTGGCTAATATTCATTTTTCTTCCAGGCACAACCAGTTAAAAAAACAGATTTCATTATGTTGCCACCACTTTTTTTTAAGTTTTTGACAACTTGTTTCATTCACGGGTAGATGTCTGTGTTACAAGAAATGTTACGCGAGACATCATCATCTCTCTCTCTTCTATTCCGTTGTTCCTCTCTCTCTCTCTCTCTCTCTCTCTCTTTCATTTACTCTTTTTATTTGTTTCCTTGTTTTAAATCTGATATTCGTTGTTGCTCAAATATTTATTTGTTTATACAAAGATGTGCAATATCTAAGAAAATCAAGCGTTACTATAATGTCTATACACTGATTGTTTTTTAAAATGAGAAAAAATATGTAAACACACGAGTTTAAGGGACAAAAAATAGAGACAACACTGCATGTTTGGTAGCTATGACATAATCAATATAGTTTTTATTTTTCTCATCCCCCATCTCTCTCTCTCTCTCTCTCTCTCGAGAAGAGTAAAGCATATTTACATATCTTTTTTTTTTTAAAGATCAGCGTGACCATGTTTTAGAGTTAAAATAGTCACTTAAATTTTTTTTTTTTTTTTTATCGGGGACAAACCCCCGGGGGGTGTGTGCTAGGGGCGAGGGTATAAATACAGTGTTTTTGACATTAATAGTTATTTTCATCTTGTTTATCACCGAAAAAAATAAAGAAAAGGTAAATATTAAATGTGAAAATAAACATGACAAAGAAAAGAAGAGCAAAAGGAGAGAATGATGATCATTGTCCGAATTATATTCATTCCTGAATTACCATTATGTTGCCCTAAAAAGACATTAAGTTTTCAGCCTTGTCTGACTCCTTTTGTGAAAAAAAAAAATTCTTCTTTTTTCTGTCGTGTTAATTTTGCTAAGGCTGAATCATTTTTAACATGTTTCAACTTTACTGTTGAGAAAAAGAAAGAATAATATCACTAAACTATTTTATTATTTTATAGAACTTTCGCCTCTGGTCTTTGTTCTTTCTCTTTTTAATTTTTGGAGGTGACAAGAAACCATTTTTTAATTGAAATGGTAAGTTTAAATTATTTCTATCCGTATCTTTCAGTGATATATAAAAAGTGTGTCGGATTTGGGGATGATAAAACCGACGGGCGGACAGACTCGAGCCTGTACAGCTCATTTATAGAATGTTGATTGTCTTTGTATCTGAAATTCGATACACTTCTTATTTTGATCTGATTTATTTACGGATTCTCTTTTTAAAAAAACGCCCTTTTTATTAATTACTTTTGTATCATTTAGGTTTTCTTTTGTATATATTTAAAACAATAAAAAAAAAATTTTCAAAAAAAAAAAAAAAAAAAAACTGTCTTATTTTAAATTAATTTGCTCATGCTTGTCAGAAAAATGTTCTTTATTCCAACGTCTGAGGGAGGGAAATATCGATAAAATTCTATAAATGTTCCATAACTTTCTTGTTGCAAGAGAACTGCACGGTGATACATAAGATATATTGGGATTGTCCAAAATATATGGGCGTAATTTACAATCCAGCAACTCACGTTGTCCTCTATAAACCTGATTGTACGTTTTCTCGAGATACGTCGAAATTAGCATAAGCATAACTAATTGGAAATGATTTCCAATTTATTTAATGATAGGCCGAAATTAGGAATTCCATTAATTCTTACTACTCTTTTAAAGCTCTCAAAGATTTGATGTTGTTTGGGACCAAACATTCGGTGACTGGGGGGAAGCATAGTATGTTTATAAATGGCTTAATATTTTTTATTGTTTAAAACAGACTACTACCCCAAGGTTGTAATTGCTGATGTTTGGGTGTAGCAGTGTTAAAAGGATTATGACTCGCGCCTGCCATGGGTGCTGCTACCATGATGGTCGAGGGCTGCTGCTGTTGTTGTTGTGGTGATGCTGATGTTGGACTCATAGCAAATGGGTTATTAGTGACATTTTGCATGGGAGTATTTCCCATAGACTGAAATTGTCCGCTGTTATTGAAATAAGGTAATGTAGGCGTTGAAGTGCTCATCTGTGGCATTGTATTGGATCGGAAGGGATTTGCCGTGCCAGTCTGTTGTTGAGGCAGCATACTTGAAGTGGATTGTTGAGGCAGCATGCTTGAGGTGGATTGTTGAGGCATCATGCTAGGCATGGATTGTTGAGGCATCATGCTAGGCATGGATTGTTGTTGAGGTAAGATACTAGACAATGATTGTTGTTGTTGTTGTTGTTGAGGTATCATCATCATATTACTGTTATCGTTCGTTCGAAAAGGATTGTGGCCTGTGGGTTGTGCCATGATGGGTGTGAACATGGGTTGTTGTTGAATCACTGGGTTATAAAAGATATTAACCTTTTCATTTTCGAGACTGGTAAAGAAATCAAGTAATTCCTTTGGCTGCTGCTGCTGTTGCTGTTGCAATTGTTGTTGTTGTTGCGGCTGTTGTTGATTGGGTGTGAAATTCGCGCTTGGTTGGGCAGTGGCTATAAAAGGATTAGAACCCCATGAAAGGCCAAAATAAACTATATTTACCAAAATTGGAAGGAGCTTGTTCTTGAGGTTTTTTGGGTTCGACTTTGGAGGCATCATCGAGATATTCCTGAAGGGCAGCTGCTAATGATAAGGGAGCCTATTATAATGATAATTAGAAAAAGAAAAAAAGAAAGGGAATAAGAAGAGTGGGAGGTACTTGCGTGTTTCACAGAGGGAATGGAAATGTTTAATTCGTGTTGAAGTCTTCTGGCACGGTCCAAAAAGGAGATGGTATCCTCTGTTTGTTTAGCAAAACGTTTATAAATATCGAGACTAGTTCTAGCATCTGTTTTATCCATGGCGAAATAATGTTCCAAAATATTAACGATGGATTCGTTAATTACTTGAAATAACACTAATAAATCCTCTACCAATAATCGAAATGCGTATAAGCTGATATTATTATCCACATCATCCAATATAAACTATAATATTTATTTTTCCTTTCTTTTTTTAGTTTTGTTGTTGTTGTTGATAATGTATATACACAATAAGAACTTACGTTGCATTTCAATAGTGAGCCAATTTGCTTTTGAAGTACAATGGTCTCTTTCAACAAACCATCCTTGACAGATAAATGTCGTAATCTGCCCTCTTTACTGCCCATGGTGTTTTTTACGTAATCGTAACGAAGATGACGGTACGCAATGACTTTTTGCTCTAAATAGGCTGTATATAAATAGATATTCTGGATATGAACCACACCTAATAACAGAATATTATTAAAAAAAATGGGTTGTCTGGCTTTTTTTTTTGCTGTTACCCGAAGATTTCTCCCTTAATTTACTGGTATCCAAAGCAGAAGGTTTTGTCTCGACATAAGCTATTGTTTTGTCACCATCTCCCAGTCTCATTAAGGTGTGAATGGTGATGAGGACTTTAAAGATGATCTTTTTTTTTTGTATTTGTATAAAATGAGAGTCGGGTTATATAAAGAGAAAATTAAAGACTTACGATCCAAGAGTTTTCTCGAAGTCTTTTATCCAAGAGGTCAATGATACTTGCAGCGTTACCAGGACTTTGAAACGTTAAACTAGTCAACGCTATACAGCTTTTTCTATGAGTACTTGATATCGTTTATATTCTGTAAACTCACTTTGTAAATGCTTTTGTTTCGGTGGATTGTAGTCAAGACGAGTTGCTTTTCGAACGGCTGTTTCCATTATTGTTATTATTGTGTGTGTATATATATATGTGTATGTAAGAGAAGAAAGGGAATAAAGGGTAAACAAGGGAGGTTGGTTTAATTGAGTTCTATTTTCAGTCTCAGAAAAAAAAATGCCTGAAAGGTTTCTTAAAAAAGAAAATAATCCGGGGTCCGGCCAGAATATGAACTGTGCACAGTTCCATTTGGGCGATCTCTTTCATGAGAGTGTGAGGAGTGCTATGGGATACAGTCAAACTTAATGCTGTTTGCCCTAAAAGAAGAATTATATAAATGTCGGATTTCCAAAATTGATTGGCTAAAATCACTTTATTGTCTAAATACATAAAATTGGTCATTTATATATTTGGCATTAGAAATTAAATTGGCGCGAGAGACATGTCTGGGGGGACAATCACTCGGAAAATTGAGTCACCGGATCAACCGGACCAACCGACGTAGCCAGACTGGCTTGTTGGTATTTATTTGATAAGTCATACCTTTTAAACGAAATGATGTTAGTATCTGTACAATTATATGTGTTTGCCGTCGCCATACTTATGTGTATTATAAAAGGTACGCCTAAATGGCGGAAGCGGCTGAGCATCGATCGAGACTATGGAAGAAAAACCAATTAACCCAATGTTTTTTGCACCGTTTTGATCACGGTTAATGGTTGTTGATTTTGAAGAGATTCTTCTTGGGCACTTCGAGTTGTTGCAAACTACTGCCCCTTTGAGCCTTTTGATTTTGCCGTTTCTCCTGACAAGTTGCTTACTTGTGCAAGAAAAACATGAGCTGCATGTCACTGTTGACTTGTACTCATCAACCACCGCAAAACTGTCCAATTCTACACTTTTTAGTTGTGTTATAAAAGGGTCTAAGCTTCTTCTAGTATGACCCTTTATGTAAGTCGAAACACCAGACCAGTTTCCCAGAAATGATATGACGCTACGGTTTTTACCAGAGTTACCTAAAAGTCGGAACAGTTTCTGCCTATATGAGGAATGCAGATGCTGGTAATATCTTTTCAGACGAATACTCCTAGTGACTTGACGCTGGTTTAGATACGACGGTGTAAGCTTCTTTTTGTTTTTAATTTTTCTTTGTCTCTGTATCATGTGCTTGGTGTCTAGTATAGCGCTATTTACTCGCTTTGCCGTCAGTTCAAAGGTTACTTCATTTTCGACATCATGGTCACAATTTTCCAGACTTTCCAGTGCGCTATACCTATTAATACTTTGAAACATAGAAGAAGATTTGGTTGCACTGATTGAAGCAGTTGTTACAACACCTGGATCTAAGCCTTGAATAATTGCTTGGCCTGATATGATGCTATTTTGTGATTTTTCAGAAAGACATATACCAGCTGTTGGGGTTGGTTCATTCTGATTATGTATCCCTTTGTTTAAGTAATACATTTCTGAGCTCTTGGTCTTGATTGATTTATTCAGAGAAAGAAGTTGACTGTATACTGCGTTACATTCCTTGCGGATGGTCTTCAAGTTTCGATAGAGGTTTGAATCACAAGTCATTGTACCTAGCTTTTGGTTTTTTCTAAAGGTCTGGCCAAGATCCATTCTAGTATTTTCTATTTCACGAACGTTTTTACTCAGACGGACTTGCAATGCTTTTTCTTCTTTAATTTCTTTGTGAAGACGTTCGACCTTCAGTTTCCTATTTTCTGTATTACTGTCCATGGAGGTGAAACTACTTGTAGAAATAACGTGCGGCACTTCTTCCTTTTGCAAGTTTTTATACCCAAGAAAGTTTAGGCTGTACTTATGACAAAACTTAAATGAATACATTGGGGTTAGTTTTTGTTCCTGGATAATTCTTTCAATCATGTTTAAATTGAAAAAGTTTGAAAAAACCGCCCTCTTGTCCTCTATGGACTTGATTGTTGCCGAACTCGTAAACATATTTACACCATCGAGCTTAAAAATGTTGTACTCTTTAGCAAATAAAAGATATAAGGTCCTGGCATCAACATTGATAGACATCTTTTGCTTTTCTTCGACCTTCTTTGGAAACATTCGATTCTCCTTAAATCTTGTACCCGTCGGACCAACAAACTTGACCAGTGAGTTTCTGATTTTGCGCATCTGAAAAAATCTGAAAGCGTTTTTCTCATCTTTTTTACAACTTATTAGTCGTAACTCGTTGACTATTCTAGCAGAAGTGTCTAATGCATGGGCGGGTATAGATTCTTGCTTATCGTAATAAAGTTGCTTTTTGATATAGGCTGCGTCTACATTTCCTTCGATGGAAGGGGACGTAATCAACATTGTGCATACTGCACACAAAGCTTTAATCTCTTTGGCTGACAGGTCTTTGACATCGTTATCATTGGTATCTAACTCAGTAACATTATCAATTATTACTAAATCTTCGTCATTCTCATTAAAATCTTCGGCGTCTTCTTTGTGTAAAAATTATAAAAACGAAGATTTTTAAAAACAATACGTATGACTGTGTCCCATTAATTATTACCTTCAAATTCGTTGGAATTATCATCTTTATTTACAGGTGGTTCCAAATCTGAACGGCCCCTCTCACAAGAATTGAAAACACCGTCGATAAGTTTCTCCACAACATGTATTTTGTTCAGCTTTCCTGCGTTATATTTTGCAATCGCGTCAAACAAATCTATCATGACCCTTTTTTGGTGTCGCTTTTTAACTGTTTTGAGGGATTTTTGTGAATTTTGTTTCTGCTTCTTTGATGCATGTGGATGGTTCAGACGATGGGATTTCTTCGGACAAAGATGCAAGCGTAAAATAAGGGTAAGTGTGACTCTCAAATCAGAAACAAATCTTTGATAGGTCCACATGTTTGAAAAATTGGTAAAGAACTGTTTACACGCAGAAACTAAAGTTGGTGTGGTTGTAAAGTCACAATAGTTTTCGCTTGATATTTTTCTTGATACGTAGTCAATCACCCTATATGACGAGTAAAATAAGTTAGGAATCACTGCTCTCAATATAATAATTAAGCATATCTACTTACGGGTGTTTATACTCGTGTGGTTTTTTTCTACCTACTGAACTGGAAAGCAATTTCCAAAAGCCTTTAAACGTAAATATATCACTTTGTTTTAAAAATGTTTCATCACTGTCATCTATAATCGCGATTTTCTCTTCGCCAGTTTCAATTTTGAGTGAGGGCAAATCAATGAATTGAAAATCAAAAAAGGTGCGCTCTCTAGAAGGAAAGATATCACCTGATGTAATACCGTCAACCAAAATTTCCGTTGCTTTCGAAAGGCCCGAACAGCATTTATCACAGATCTCTTGCAGATCTTCGAGCTTTTTCAAAAAGATGCCATAGTCCAAGTCTTTATTAATTACTCGTTTTAGGATTCTACTGACTGTTCTGTAATCAATATCTTCTAAATCTTGGTCGTCATTCTCATCGATTACCGTATCTGTATCCTCAGGCGCACTATCTTGTATTGATGATTCTGAGTTTAAACCCATTATAAAGTCACTGATACATTTATCGATGCTGATTTTGCCATTTTGTTTGAGTCGATTAATTTTTTGTTGCACCCACAATGCTGACGTTGGTATATCTTCGAGCTTAACGGTCGGGAAGTGATTTTGCCTGATCAACTGCTCAACCTTTGTTTTTACAATACCAGCAGAGCCTGTTGGAAACTGTTTGGTTGATAAAGTTGATGAAAATCTTTGTATATTTTCAGATAAGGTTTTGTGCTTGTCAATTTTGAACTTGGACCATTTCTTTTGATATAATGTGTTCGTTTCTTCAACAAGCAGCCTAATTATTTCATCATCTATAACAGAGGAGACGCTTTGTCTCTTTGCTCTAGGTTTTTTGTCGTCTGAGGCTCGTTTTTTAGCTACGATATTCTTGGGAATTCTATTGGTGGGGGTGGTATCATCTGACATGTCTTTGGGTCTGTTTTTGAGTTCCAATCCAAACCATTCAACAGTACCAGTATACGAATTAATTGATTTTAATACACCTAAGTACGGTAAAGAGCGGTCTTGACGGTGCTTGTTGTTGGGATGAATTATTGCTGGTTTGGACCTACTTGAAAAGCAGTAGATTGTATACCCATAGACTTGACTAAAAGCGTAAAGCAATAGCATGTCTTTTGGAATAACAGTGAGATTTGGATGCCTATCTGAATGCAACACAAACTTATTCTCCAATTTTCCATTAAGAACCCCAACCAAGTATTGTATGGGTGAAGTAACCATCATTATGTTGATATTTTCGTCCATTTTTTTACGAACTACATGTATTTTATGTTTCTTCAGAAACTTGACAGTGCTCTTAATACTTTCATTAAAACTATGCGTATAGTTGTTCATTGCATTAAGAATTATATCACGAAAACTATTATCAATAGGTATGATAGGAGAAGTAATGTTTATGTCAACATCTTGGCAAGAAAAACGAAGCAGCTGCTCATCTAGTTGCCCTAATCATAGACGCATTATGAAAAACAGAAAATTATAGGTAAATGAAAATTTTATGTACCTTCTCTACCCTTTCTCTTGTCCAACCGCTTTGTTACGGAGGATGCTTTAATTGTTTTAGGTCAGTCATCTATTGCTTTACTAGGAGCTAGTATCTACTTACGTTCTCCTGTGCTATTGTCGGATGGTGAATGTTTACGCTTCATTAACGAGAAGAGCACGAAAGAGAAACAATACATTGGCAACTTTGGGTTTTTTCATTAAAAAAACCAGTCTCCATTATTCATTTTATTGGTTCATACGAATGAATCTTTCCATCAGTATCAGTATCGTAGCCAATCGTAAAATGTTATATTTTTTATATTATTACGATGCCTTTGTACAAATTACCAGATATACACATGTATAAAAATACGGAAAAACGTATGTGTGGTAAATCGCATATGGATTAGATACAAAAAACAAATTCATATCTCGATATAGTTGATAACCGCATATAACTATTATCAAGCCCATAGGAAACTGCTAAAATACGGTCAGTAATTTAGGGTTTCACTGTAAAAGAGCAACCCGGGTAGATGAGGACTATATGTCATTGGCATCATTAGGCAGCCAAGGGTAAATATAACAACTATATATTATGCGAATCATTTCATCAATCAAAGCTACTGGCTAGACACCTTCATTTAATGACTCGAATACAACACTTCCAAAAAACGCTTCACCACCTTTTACGTGATCCGAATAAAGCGCAATTGTCATTTCATATCCATAATCATCTTTTGGCTATCTAAATTTCTGGTAGGAGTGTTTCTAATACTGAAAATTTTCGTTTCTCTTCTTGTATTCAGAAAGCAGATATTCAGGTTCAATTGTATCATGATGAAGTACGTGAAGCTCGCGAAGTATCTTTTGAACTCTCTCTGGACCAAGTTTCAGAAGGTCTGCAAATACTTTTGACACTCTTCCTCAGTAAAGAAGAACAACATAAACTCAACTTAAATTCAAGAGGGAGCTGTCCAATGATTTCTGGATCATGTGCATTATATGAAGCATCACATTTTGAGTCACAGCATCTATATTGCATTGATTTATAAAGCTAAAACAACTAGCATTTCAAATAAAAGAAGGGGGGGGGGCGATTTAGCATACACAAGGTATAAAAAACCTTTTCCTGCAACACCTGAACATATCCACAATTCTTCGAGCGTGAGGCTTTTTATTGTAGCCTTTTGTTCCAAGCTTCTTAATACAATTGTTTCTAAAACATCAATCCTCCCAAACCTTTGCGGGTAATCCAAAGAAATACTCGTGGTCTACATAAATAATTATATTTTTTCTTCAGGAAAGAAAAAAACGACACCAGCCCTATCCAAAAAATACCATTGTTTTATTCAGAAGAATATCGTTCGTTTATTAAACTTTGAAAGATCTCAAGATACTCGATCAGTACACTGTTGTCAGCCATCTTCCCCCGGTTGAATCTTTATATGAAACCTCAACTAGATTCTTGACTAAATCTTCAATCAATTCATCGACTGGTTCTTAGACCAAATGTGACAGTGACATTCTTAAATTTTTTTTCAACTACGAACTATTCCATATTTCTCGAAAAATTAAGAGCACTTAGGCAACTGGATTTGTACTTATGATTGCGTCGTTTAAACTGTTGACAATTCTGTTTAATGTGGGTTTTTTTCTGTCAAATCGTTTTGCGGAAAAGAAACTTCGGGGCTTTGTAGGTTTTTCCAACTTTTCGCTTGGCCATTTAAAATTATTTTAGAGGAATCGACATTTAGTAAAAGTGTAAAACACCAGGAGTTTTTTATATAAAAGCCGGTAATTTCACTGTATCCAATTATATTGTTTTTTTACTAGCGAAGCAGTCCCCCCAGACATGTCTCTCGCGCCATTAAATTTTTATTTAATTGTGATATACATACTAAATATCAGAGACAGAATACGGTTTAACATATGAAATATATTCGTCAACATCAATAATTGTTTCTTTCGACGCGTTTTTTCCCTTCTTTATACATCATTTACGAAAAAAAAAAATCACCGGAGGAAGCATTTACTCTCCATCGTCTTTGAGCTGACTGTTTGTTCTCTGCTATTATCGACTCGATGTTATTAATCAATAACTAGTGATATAAAATGAAAAATATTATACGAAAAAAAAAAAACCAAAACGAAAAGCTAAGTAGAGGCCCTCCAAAGTAATTTCCTTCGATTAAACTAAGAATGCTCGAAGTAATTCCTTCCTGACCTCGCGTATCGTGCATGGATAATTAAATGTCACTAGTAATTGAATGGTATAAATTTTCTTATCAGTAAGGCTCATACCATACACATTGCAAGATAGGCCCATGATTTGAACAAAAGAAAGGAATGAAACGTTCAATGGCCAAAGGTGGGATGTAAGGCATACGTTTTAACGCAGCGTTTAAATGAGCCTTGGTTGTAATTAAAGCTGACTTTAAGAAGTCGAAGTAAAGTTTTTGGAGGCCCTATCGCAGATTAGCGAGTAAATTCTCCCGTTACACAATGTCTTGAAGACTTTTCAATGACATCGCTGACTATTATTCTAAAGTCTAGGTTGAATACAAGTCCAACAACAACAAATGTGGAGACGTTGTATCGCCCCCTATATGAGTAACTTTCATTGGCGTATATAAATTTGGCTGTTGAGTGCAATGTATAACTTATTACACCGAAAAAAAAAGTATTGATTCAAATTAAAAAAAAGAATCCAATGGACCCACGAAATGGGTATTTTGTCTAGATGTATTGCTGACCGAAGGGAAGGTTTCAGCCGATTTTTTTGTTGTACCAACAGTGGGCATTTACATGATCCCTTTGAAGTACCCGACGGTAGGCACTTTCGAGGTTAGAAAATAACCATCACTCATAGATCACTTGCAGTAGAAAGTAAGGCTGTAAATAACCTACTATACGTGTTGGGTTGTATTGTGGTTGAAGCTGACCCAAGGGAGCCAAAGGACTCTGTCAAAAATGACATTTCAGAAAACTTGTTTTGGGGGAGCCGGAGTGAATAGATTAACGTATTTGCAAATTGATCTGGTAGAAGTGATCCAGCTTCACAGATTACATGTGGGCGTATATCATCTTTATTCCCCTTTCAGAATCATTGTTACACTCAAGTTTTATAACTACATCCTTTGATATTCTTTTTCAAGACGGTCTGACTATGGGCCTAGAACGTGTATTTAGTTTTATACGAGCTTATTTCTATTACCTTACAATATTGATTACTTCGATACTAAAAAAAAAAAGAGAGAGGGGAAAGAAAAAGGAAGAAAAACAAAGTGTGTGAACGTGTCTTATTTATAGGATGATAAACAAGGACTGGTGGTTATGTCAGGATGATTTTACAAGAAAAAAAGTGTGTGAATTAGACTGCTAAACAAGAGCTTATGTCAGGATGTTTTTGTTTACAGTGTTTGGGCCTTTACTTAAAATGGAAACTTTTGCAAATAGCCCCCAATCTGACATACAAGCAATTCCGAACTTTATTTTATACAACAACAACAACAACAAAAAAATTCGATCAATTAGCTTATGAAGTTTAGAAAGAGTCAAGATGAAATGGCACCTCTGAACATTGTAATATTCGTTGTTATAGCAAATCATGTATTATTCTTTCTCTTTGGAACAAGCTTATTATCTTTTCAAAGTCGTATTTAAGATCGGCCCTTTGAATTTACTCTACAACATCATCAATGAATTTAGTTTTATCTACTTTATTATTTTATTGCATTCCACTTTAATTCCAAATACCATCAAATCGTCTTTAAATCCACTCTATCTCCTTATTTACTTTTCATCATCTTGTAATTAGATAGAATAATAAAAGTTATTATTATTTGGCTCGATTTATTTATCTTTTTTTTTTTTAAAAAAAAAGAGACTGCTCTTATATAAAGATCAGAAAGCTTTTATATCGTCTTCTTAGAGCTTTATCAAATTAAATAGTTCGAATTTCAACCTATTGCGTAGTATTCGCTATAACCGTTTACAATTACACTTCAAAATTCTATGGGTTTGACTGTACACGCGCCACGCGGCATTGTTTTTCGGGATCTATTGACCAAAAATGGGATTTTTATTGTTGTTTTTGTCTGTGGGTGCATGTAGGCCAATAAGAATTAGTAGAGGCTGTTTTCAATAGATGATGACAACATTTTAAATTGTTTCATCAGCTAACCTTTTTTCTGATGCCATTTCATCATAAACGTTTTAATACAAGACGCATATGCAATAACATCATCATCTTTTTTATTATTCTTATTCTGACAGGACAATAAACACCTTTTTTTTTTAATTATTTAATAGCTATAAAAAGGTCGATACGCCGATAGATCCGACAGATCCGGGTGAGGGTGCAGTGGTTAAATCTCTGTTGACAAGCAAGTATTAGATGTGTTTCTTTCTTTCGGGTCTCTCTTTTAACAAATGTAAATATCTATTTGTGTAGCCATAGGCAAGAGGGAAAGAGACAGGCAAGGGCTAGACCCTGAGTGAGTATAGGCCCACTTCCATTGCAGGTATTATTATTTAACACGGCGATTCAAGGTTTATCAGATCATAAAAAAATAAGCTAGAAATACTCACCTCATCTTTCCTTCGCCTTTCACCTTTTTTTATCCTTCAATTTTTTGTTACGGTGTGATGACTCTATTTAAAAGTTTTTTCTCTTGTAAAAGAAAAAGAAAGAACAACAATAGAAATGGTGATACAAGCCCAGGATATAGGTTTGTGCGATGCGAAATTGAAAAACCGTCCTTTGCAGCGTACAATGTTCATGAGGCGAGCATGTATCGTCATCGACGTCAAGTAGGTGTCAATCTAGGCTCGATCTTTATTTTAGACAAGAAATTCTCACCGGCTAGTCTTCGTTCATGTGTGGTGAATGGGACATGGGAAAGCGAGCTGGATTTCTTACGTGCCTGTATGACTTTAGAACAGGCAGAAGAAGCATTGGAGGATCATTGGAGCACCTTTGTCACCGAAAAAGATTTTCAGTACCTTTCGTCCATTGGAATTAACTCGGTTCGAATACCCATTGGTTACTGGATTGTCGATATTGAACATGGACCCTTCAAGAAATACAGAGAAGTCTACAAGTCCGCATGGCGATGGTTTTTACACATGATCCATTTAGCTGCCCAATACAAGATGGGTGTGCTCGTTGATCTGCACGGTGCACCCGGTGGACAAAACCCTCTCTCTCATTCGGGTACTTCTTCACACCGTGTTCAATTTTACAAGGGGGATAACCAAGAGCATACACTGAAAGTCTTGCAGAAACTAACTACAGCGTTGGCTCCCATCAATAATGTGATTGGACTCAGTTTATTAAACGAACCGATAGATGATGCCCTTTTACCTAATTTCTATCTTTCAGCCTATCATCTTGTTCGACAAGCCTCAGATATCATGCTTCCCATCTATATCAGTGATGTAGGTCATAGACGAAAATACATGGATTTTATCCAACAAAACCATATGAAGTTTGTCATTCTCGATACCCATTTTCCCTTGACGCGCAATGTGAATACGAAAGAAACAGCGCATCCAGCGGAAGAGCAAGAACTAAAGAAAGACTACGCACACATGCATGGTAATTTGATCATAGGCGAATGGTCTGCCATACCACAGGATGGTTATCGAAGGGAGGAAGCGTTTAGTGAGACACAGTTAGCGATTTATACCCAAAGCAGTGCTGGTCATTATTTTTGGAACTATCGCACAAGTGATGATGCGGATGGATGGAGTTTTCTGTACTGTCACAAAAATCGTATTTTACCGGCCGTGTTTAAAGGGGGGAAAATGACGACGACGTGTGTAGAGGGAGCTTACTTGTTGGCTAAATCGAGATATGAAATGTATAGGAAGAGTGCACATCAACATTATCTAAGTATGCGTCCCAAAGGGCATGAGTATGATGTGGATGGATATACGTGTGGATTCAGGGAAGGATATGGTGTAGCGATGAATTACTTACGAGAGTATCAAAGTCGTGTAGGGTTCAAACATCAATTAGCACATGGGTATGCTAAAAATGGAAAGTCGATCGAATATGAGCAGGCGTTTATTCGTGCTTTATTTATTGTGGATCAATTAATTGCAGAGTTCATTTGTACATAAACATTTTTATTTTTAATATTAATAAGGGCGTTAAGAGTGTAAATATAAACATTAATTTAAAAAAAGAAAAAAAAATTGCATGGGAGAGAGAGGTAAAAAAAAAAAAGGAGATGAAAAGAGGAGAAAAGAAAAAGCGCAGCCAATTAAATACATAGATTGTTTGAATCAAGGATCAACCTTAATAGAAAAAATAGGAGGAGAAAAAAGATGAGGAGAAGAGGAGGAGGAGGAGGAGGAGGGTATCATAGATAATGTCATAGAGTAAAAAAATAAGGATTGTAATAGATATAAGAAAGAGATAATTAGACCACGAGTGTTGTCAGCATGGAAGTGAGGATGGAAGAATCGCTTGTTTGTTGTTTTTCTTGTTTTTCAGTGTTCTGGATGCGTTGTTGCCAAATGGCAGGAGAAGTAGAACGCGATCGATTGGATGGAGTAGCGGGTGGAGAAGGAGGTAATTCGACGGGAATAGTCTTTCGTTTTTGCTGTTGTCTTTTAAACTGTTGTTGTACTGTGTGTTCCCAACGATCAACTTCGGCGGTACGTGTAAAATATTTACAATTGCGAATCTTTTCTTTTAATTCGCTCAAGGTGATACGACGTGCTGGATCGATACAAAAGATACGCTTTAAGATACGATTGAGTTCGCGTGAGATGGGTAAGATGCTTAAAAGGAAGTCAGGGTCTGCTAAAAAGGCTCGAAATGTTTCGTCCTTTAATGAAGCTTGTTTCCATGGATTTCTTCCGGTTGCCAAGTTAATTAAGATCACACCCAAGGCCCACACGTCATTAGGGCCAGTGGCATATCCAGCCACACGCTCAGTTGTAGTCTGAAACAAATCCCCTTGGCACTCTAAAAAAGGTTGGGGGAGTGGTTAGTCTAAAGTATATAAATAATAGCAGAATTGAACATACCAGGAGAGTAGTAAAAGGTAGATCCACAGCCAAAATCTTGTGAGACAGAGTGCGTGGTTGCGAGACCAAAGTCAGCGAGTTTTACTGTTCTTCCACCATCAAAGACGAGAATGTTCTCGGGTTTGAGGTCCCGATGATAGACGTGATTCTGGTGACAATAGGCCAAAGCGTCAATGAGTTGTAAAAATACTTTTCTGATGAGAGGATGATTTCCAGCATACAAGTCTCTCTCTGTGATGGCAGCAAAGAGATCACCCTCGGGTCCATATTCGAGAACGACGTGAGTCCAAAGGTCAGCATCACGAATGACACGGTGTAATGCAATGATATTAGGGTGACCTGATAATCGTGCATGAAGACCAATCTCCATTCTTTCGAGTGCTCTGTGTTTATTTGTGTGCTGAAGTGACTTGATTGCGTACATTTCTTTCTTTTCTTCGTGTCGGCCAAGATATACTTGTCCATACGCTCCTTTACCGAGAATATCCACGATGCGAAGATTGTCAATTAAGGTTCCATTTGGTAAAGTCAACATTTTGTTGTTGTATTAATGTATTAGTAAGTAAGCTAAGCTGATAAAAAGGAAAGAATAAAAGAATGAGATTATAATTTTTTTTTTAATTTATATATAAAAAAAAATAAAAAAATAAGGGGCAGTGTATAGTGTGTGTGTGTGGGGGGGGGGAGTAATAACTATACTGTGGGCGTAGGGGGGAAGATTTCATATAGAAAAAAAAAAAAAGTAAATTCATAGGCTCTCTCTCTCTCTTTCTCTCTTCTCTCTTTCCCCTCTTTTTTAACTCCCCCTTCTTTTGGAGTACAAAAAGGCTAAAAAAACTTTGTTTTCTGCGTCGGCGCCTTCCTTCCCCCCCTTTTTTTCTCCAAAGAGTGAAATAGACGGCGCAGAAGATTTTCGAACCAATTTCAGTAATTGTTTAAAAAAGAGAGGGACTGGTTGAGATTATAAAGAAACCAGCTGATACTGTGTGTATCTAAGCAACTTTTTATAAAGTTTTGATTCTCCCGGACTTTTTATATATTTTCCCCCCTCTTTTTTTTTTGTCGCCACCCCTTATTTTCACAAAGAATGCTTTTATACATGTAATTGAATTAAGGCGTTTGTTGTTGTTGTTGTTGTTGTTGTAAACAAATAGTTTATCAGCATCCCATAAATAAGAGTGATCAGTCAGTTCAAATGAAAGCTATTTTCCCCATTCCTCAAATGTATTTAGTTATCTGCCGTGACCCTTTTTGTACAGATGTATGCAAGGGATTATTTCTTTTTTGGTGTATGTATCATATAATTTGGGTTAAAGACAGAGAGAGAGACTTATTGGATCGACAGGCTTTATTGTTCAAGGGGATTGTAGCCTTATTTGGGGGGAGTGTACAGAAAAATAATGTACTAATAGAGTATGACAATGATCATCGCAAGAATAAATTAAGGAGTTACAAGAGATGCATTTGTATTAAATCTGCCACTTTCTAAATCTGTCCTTTACCGTCTACACACCTACTCTTTCATGATCGATTTCAACAGTTGAAACCTTGCCAACACGAAATAACCCATTTAAAGTCGGTGCTTTGATGTTTTTCTCGTCTCTCCTTACTCATCGGCAAACATGACTTATTAGGTAAACACTCACTCTTTAATTGCCCCCTCTCTCTTTTTTAAATCACGCCTATTTTTATAATAATTTTCCCCTTCTCATCTAAAAACACACACACACACACACACACAAATACACACACACGCACACATTATTTATCATGACGATCCCCACTTGTCTAAATAGTAAAAAAGTACAGGGGAGTGGCGTATTTCTTTTGACTTGATCGATGAACGCCATTTCGTTTTCTTATAGAAAATGTCTTCTTCATGTGATACCCTTTTTAATTTAATGCAGCTCAACTAAAATGTACACACTACACTTTTTTTTTTGCAGTACGCCATTTTATGTATCACATTATTCGTGCAACAGATCCCCTTTTTATTTATTCATGCCGCATTTATGAGCGCATCCTACATTTTTTTTTCTTCTCTCTCTGCTGGGATGACAGGATAATAGGCTCAATGAAAGGTTCCCACATCGGGTTCATGTATATCAGATATCATGCATATGCAATATTTCCCCGGTGAATATTACAATCTACCCTTTACGCACACACACAAGAAAGAAAAAAGCGGGAAAAGAAAATACTGCTGCTAGTAACAAAGGGCTGAGTCCGGCTATTTCTACGGTTCTGTCACACGAATTGACACGCCATGAGACTATTTTTATTAAAGATTTGTTTTAAATAGGGTATATGATGATGAGCAAAGTGTGAGTGATACTAGATTATGCCATTCGTCGTACGAAATAAATTTGAAAGGGCTTATATATAGCAACACTCATCACCCAGCCCTTCTCTTTTACATCTATAATAAAAATGTTTAAAAAGATACTCATCACTACTACTGCCTTAGTTTGTTCAGTACAGGCGGCATGGGTGCTGCAAACAACATCCGCTGGGTCCAACTTCATCAATGCATTTGATTATTTCACAGAGGCAGACCCTACGCATGGTTTTGTTCAGTATGTTGATGGAGCCACGGCAGTCAACAAGCGTTTGATCTATACTGTGAATGACCAAGTAGTGATCAAGGCTGATAATGCGACTGTCTCTCCCAATGGAAGACCGTCTGTGCGTATTGTTTCTAAAAACGCTTATAACAGGGGCTTGTTTCTGATGGACCTGGAGCATATGCCAACAGGCTGTGGTACATGGCCTGCTTACTGGATGGTGGGCGATAATTGGCCAAACCAGGGTGAGATCGATGTAAGGGAACTCTCATGTGTCTATACACATATTAAATAATCACACTTTAAATTAATAATAAAATTTATACAGATTCTAGAGGGTGTGAATAAGCAGACCTCAAATTCGGTCACGTTGCATACTAGCGCAGGATGCACAATGGAAGGTGTACCACGTACGCAAACAGGAACTGTCACTAGTGCCAATTGTGATGTACAAGCACCGGGTCAAGGTGCTAATGTGGGCTGTGGAGTCTCTTCGGGCAATACAAATACGTACGGCACGGGGTTCAATGGGAATAAGGGAGGTATCTATGCTACACAATGGACTGCAGAAGAAGGTATCAAGGTCTGGTTCTTTCCACGTAATGCGATCCCTGGAGATATCCATAGTAACACACCCAATCCTCAAGGGTGGGGAGTGCCTATGGCTAGTTTTCCATTCGGAGCTAATTGTGCTGCCTCTAAATTTCGAGACTTACGTATTGTGATGAATCTGACGTTTTGTGGAGATTGGGCAGGCAGCGTATATGGTAATTCAGGGTGTCCATCCAATTGTGTGGATTACGTCAAGAACACACCTTCTGCATTTAATGAAGCTTATTGGAAGATCAATTCTCTTCGTATTTATCAATAATAATAATAATAAAAAAGAGACTGAAACAGACACACCCCCGGGGAATAATTTTTATTTTAGCATGAATTTTTAAATTGTAAAACTCTCCTACCTCCTTCACAACCCATTTTTTTTTCTTTCTTTCTGTTTTTTTAGTTTTATTAGCTGCCTTTTTTTAAAAAAAGTATCATATCAATGTCTACAGCAGCAGTGACAAAGGAAAATAACTTGCGTCATTCACCACCTACTTCACCCATGATTCCATCTCAAACTATACATCCTTACATGAAGGACGATGTTCCAAGTAAGCCCCACACCTATTTTATAAACCTTTATTATATGCCTAAAAAAAATCTTGTGCGATTGTAGTAGGTCCACTGGAAAAGAACAAACGTAGTCGAGACGAAGATGTTGAATCCAAGGAAACTTGTATAAAATTCCGTAAATAGTAAAAAAAAAAAAAAAGAGACGCGTGTGACTGTGATTGAACCCTGACGTAAAACAAAAAAATTAGAACAATTAACTTGTGATTCGTTTCCACAATCACCACCACAAACACCGTTAGGGTCCGTTTCAAAGAATAACGGGAAGGACGATTTAGCAGAAGTTTCGACGCATGTGGATTTATCTGAACCCAGCGAAAACCCAGTGGTGCCAGTGGAGAGAAATGCAAAGCGAAGGTCGTCTGTCGAATTAAATTTAAAGAATTTCACATTGATCAGGACGTTGGGCACAGGGTCATTTGGTCGGGTGCATCTAGCGAGATCAAATATGAACCAACGATTCTATGCAATTAAAGTGTTACGGAAGATTGATATCGTCAGGTTGAAACAGGTCGAACACACCAAGCATGAACGAGCCATCTTGTCCAGTGTCAAATATACGTTTATTGTGAATCTATGGGGTACTTTTCAAGACGATGGTAATCTTTACATGGTGTTGGATTATGTTCCTGGTGGTGAATTATTCACCTTTATGAGAAAGTGCATCGTAAGGTCTTTTTTTATTTTAGCTCGAAAGAAAAGAGGTGCTAAAAATTATTATATAATAGAAACTACAGGAAGACGTAGCTAAATTCTACGCCGCCGAGGTTTTATTGACCATTGCTTATCTTCATACTCAGAACGTAATTTACCGCGATTTAAAACCAGAAAATATCTTGCTTGATGCACAGGGTCACATTAAAATTACGGATTTTGGGTTTGCTAAAATTGTCCCGGATATCACTTGGACATTGTGTGGCACACCAGACTACCTCGGTAAGTTTGACAATGTTGCATATTTTATATACTCTGTTCTCTAATGTGTAAAGGATAGCACCGGAAATCATTCAATCCAAGGGGTACGGCAAGGCAGTGGATTACTGGGCACTTGGTGTTTTAATTTATGAAATGTTGGCTGGGTTCGTTTTTTAATTTTTTATATGTTTACCAGTCCTGTCTAACGTATGTTCAAAATCTTCCCAACTTTTCCCAGTGTCGCACCATTTTATGATGATAATCAATTCAAGTTATATGAAAAGATTGTATCTTGTAAAGTCAGTTATCCTAGTTACTTTAGTGAAGAAGCGGTAGATCTATTGAAGCATTTGCTGACCCCGGACTTGAGTAGGCGGTATGGTAACCTCAAGGGAGGACCCAAAGATGTACTTGATCATCCTTGGTTCAAATCTATTGATTTCCACAAATTAGAAAACAGACAGATAAAAGCACCGTATATTCCAGATGTTAAAGGAGAAGGTGATGCAAGTAATTTTGATAGCTATGAAGAAGTTGCTTCAAAATATGGAGAAAATGAACCCGATCCATATCGTAAATACTTTACGGAGTTCTAATACTTTTTTTTTCTTCTTTACTTCTTAAGCATATGACGATAATTCATCACCTCTTTTTTTTTCTTATTGTTTTATTCCAATGATGGATATTCGTCATGGCTCCCTAATAAATAATAAGAAAAATATTTCATTGGTTAGGTTGTAGAAAAATGATGGATGCATACTGACATCATGGGTATTTCCATAAAAAGTAATTCTTGTGGGTGAACTCCGAATAGCGGTGCTTTCTTTTGTAGTTCCTCTCTAGATTGGAAAATTTTGTACATATTTTTTGAGTGTGCTTATAAATAGAGAATGAGCAAGTGGTGGTAATTTACAGTAACCTACGGGCAAATCCAGGCATTTTTTTTTTTTTTTTACAGAAAACAACATTGGTTTCAAGGAAATAAATAAAAAAGGCCCTTTTCGTATTATAATTTTTTATTGACTGAAACCTTACCTACTTTACAAAGTTAGCCTGTCATTTTTTTCCTGAAAAAAAAAAAAAAAAAAGCCTTTACCCAATTAAAAAAAACTTTTTAAGAACAAAAAAAAAAAAAGTATAAATACTAGAGCCTTAAATTCTACTAGGTTTCTTTATAATTTTTATAAAACATTTTTTTTTTTTTTTTTTTACTTTTTTTACAAACTTTAATTAATCACTTGAATATACATCTATAAATTATGGATTCCCGCGATATAAATTTACCTAAATACATGGTGTATTGCGGTGTTATTGCCAGTATTGGTGCATTCTCCAATGGTTGGACCATTGGTTCACCCAATGTTCCCGGTGAAGTCACACACAACTGTCCTTCAGGCGATTCGCATGTCAACAACCCTGCTTTCCCTGATTGTTTACCAATGGACACCTCCTTATGGTAATAACATCTCCAGAAAATCAAAATAATAATATATAAACATACTAAACATACACATGCTAAATTTTAGGGGTTTTGCTGTTGCTTCTTTCTGTGTGGGTGGTTTGATCGGTAGTGCCATTGGTGGTGCTATTCAAACCAGACTCGGTCGTAAATTGACAATTATTGTTAATAATGCTGGTTTCGTCATTGGTGCTGTCTTAATTGGTTGTTCTGTTCACAGTGCCATGTTTATTATCGGTCGTATCTTTTGTGGTTTATCCTGTGGTCTTGGTTCGCTTGTGATTCCTACTTATCTTGGTGAGATCTCTACTCGAAAGGCAAGAGGTTTGCTCGGTTTCTTCAACCAGTTCTTTGTTGTTACTGGTATTCTTTTATCTTCTGTCATTGGTTTACCTCTTGCTAAAGTCCCACTCTGGCGTCTTGCTTATGCTATTGTTGCTATCCCTGCTGTCTTCCAAATTTTTGCCATGGGTACCTGTGTGGAATCTCCTCGTTGGTTAGTATCTGTAGGTCGTATTGAAGATGCGCTCATCAGTCTTCAAAAGTTGCGTGGTACTGCTGATGTCACTGAGGAATTCTTTGATATTGTCTCTGGCCAGCTCGGTAAGAAGAAGGCTGCTCGTATCTTGAAGGCTAATTCACATGAAAAGAACGTGAAGCCTGTGGATGAAGGTTTTGATAACAATGATGCTGAATTCGATAGCACTCATTACGGTAAGGCTGCTCATGGTGGTAGTGGTTCTGATGATTTAGAAGCTGGAGCAGAAGATGATGATGAACAACGTCCTCCTATGAGTATTGTTCAAATCTTTAGAGACCCCGCTATTCGAAAGATTACCTTGATTGTGTTATTCCATCATATGATTCAACAACTCTCTGGTATGAATGCCGTCATGTATTACTCTACTACTATTTTCGAACAAGCTGTGAGCCATGAAGAAGCACAATACATGGCTATTTATACCACCGTGGTGAATTTCGGTATGTCGATTGTTGCCATGTTGTTTATTGATCGAGTGGGAAGACGATTCTTGTTGATTGCATCTGAACTTGGTACAACTATTTTCTCTATTTTGCTTGTGATTGGTTACCTCTACAATATCCCCAATCTCTTGATTGCTTCCGTCTTTATCTATGTTGCTAGTTTTGCTATTGGTATTGGACCTGTGCCTTGGATGATTACCTCCGAGATGAGTCCTATTGAAGCCTCTAGTAGTGTGGGAGCAGTGGCTACAGCCATGAACTGGGCCATGAACTTTTTGATCGGACAAGTATTCCCCATCATCTTTGCAGCCATTCAAGGATGGTCTTTCCTTATTTTTGCCGTCATTTGCTTCACTTCTGCCTGTGTTACCTTTTTCTTTTTACCTGAAACCAAGGGTAGAGCTATTGAAGATATTGTCGCTGGTTTTACTAAAAAGTAAATTTCGACACCCATCATATCCCCTTTTAATTATCTATCATTAAAAAAAACATCCCTCTCTTTGTAAATATTAATAAATCTATTTTTTTTATCATCGTATAATATTTTTATTCTATTTTGGCTTTCTCCACATTTTTGAAGCACATTTTGTTTAGAGCACATGTGTTTTGTGTCGCAAAGGCTTTTTAATTCTGCTCCCCGCTTTCCCATTGCACCCCACGTTTTTTTTTTTAAAGATAAGCAAATCTTGGGTTTAGATCGATTAAATAGAATTCAGGGGGTGCTCTTTTACTATTTCTATTGGATTACAAGATATGCAAAATAAAAAAGATCACACTATAGTATTTTTTACGGAATAAATTTTACCGTCCCTCGGTTCTTTTTGGGAATCGACGTAATTTAAAAAAAAAAAAAAAAAAACTCTGCGAGGCACCCCCCATTCAGGGATTTTTTACCCTGACTGGAAATTACGTAACTTTTGTTCCCTCCCGTTTTTTTTTTTTTTTTAGTGTCCCAAGCTTGAAATTGATTGGGGCGGGTTTTTCATCCATCAAATTAGTGTCGTTTATATTTTATCACGTTGTAAATAACAACCTGAATTCTTAACAGGTCTCTTGTCATTCAAACATCTGATAAATCAGAAAAATCACTGCTAGGGTAGACAGGCCATTTTTTTAAAACAAAGTATGATGTAGCAGTTAGCGGAAAGACTTTTTGATATCAGAATGGTTATATTAGAGTTGATTCCAAGTACTCGGGTCTGACTTTAGGACCACTGGGTGAGCAAAGATAAACCAATGTCAAATTGAAAACGACAATAAATTGATATTTAGTCTGCTAAAAGCAAGAATTTTTATTATAAAGAGAAAAGAAAATAACGAAGAAAAAAAAAGGGTCTGTGTTAGAGGATTTAAAGTACTCGAACTGACAGCGGCAGCAGCAGCAACAGTTCATACAACGATAAGCTTGCTTATATCGAGTTTTTTTACACTTGTAAACTGGACCAAATGATGGATTGTTTGTCATGTACGATGAAACCCTATTTTTTCTTAATCTCCCTTGATCGTTGATCTGTCAGTGGTATTGTGTTTCATAAAAAAAAAGTATTTAAGCTCCATCGCAAGAGAGAGAGAGGGTCTACTAAGGGGTAACTAAGGGCTGTCCATTTCAACCTCCTTTTTTTCTATTTATTCACTTACTTGACAAGTTTATAATCTCCATGGAAATCTGAATTTTTACAGTCAATCACCGTTCATCGTCAACCTTTTAATTTAAAGGATGATATCCTATTTGCTTATGAATGTAATCCGTTTATCTTTTTCAAGCACTTAAAACGTAACCAATGAAAACTTTTTTTTTAAAATTGTATCCAATTAAACTTTATTTTCTCTCTCTTCCTCTGTTTCTCTCAACGTTATACAAATGACACCTCATTATGACCTCACCACAAAAAAAAAAAAAAAAAAAAAAAAAAAAAAAAAAAAAAAAAAGAGAGACCCTTTGATTGCCGTTGACCTATCGGAAGGGCAATGTCGATTACACGATTCCCCCGAGCCAGATTAAAAAAAAACATGTCCCTTTCATCATCGATCTCCCAAAAAGAGTTTGAGGGATCCTTTTACTAAAAAAGGGAATTCATACTATTTAGAATACAGGAAAAAACTTTCTAGAACAATTTACAAATTACACTTACTCTACCCTACGCGGTCCCTGAAAGTCATCGTAGTAATTGCTCGATCCATTAGATTTTGTACATTTAATGCATTTACTATGGCATCTTTGTCCGATCACTTTCCATCCCCAATCCGAGTTGCTTGACTGGACGTCTAACACAAAGCTATACTACAATAACATTTATATTCTCACGCTAAACAAAAAAGAATTCATCATCATTACCCGTAATATTTATTCTCATTGGAAAAAAAACTTGGTTAGAATTTCCAAACATATGTTATTCTTTTTTTTTACGGCGGGACAAATTTAGAAAAGAATGATGTAATTTATTTTTTTAGGGAGCATTGTGGGAAAAGAAAAAGTGGTCTGTTCATCCAAAATCAAAATAAATAAAAACCTGTCGGAAGTAGTTGTAATTCATGCACTGTAATTATCTTTTTTAGGTTACACGTCCCAGAGAGATGGGACTTGTCATGAGACATGAAAACAAAGGAGTAATAGAATTGAGTGCTAAACTGGAAACAGGGTTAGTTAATCAATATCCAGTGGGGATAACACGCGAGTGATCCCCATTGATGGTATCCTATTTTATCAATCGTATCAGAGTTATTGATGATGTCTTACTGTATCATTGTGTCTTGATTAAAAATAACCGTCATCACAGTGTTGATGGATGAGGATGATACGATTGAAGCGTATAAGCACACAAGTACACCGTCAAGGAGTTGGAGCAAAAATATATGACGCATGGCTGACAAACCTAAAGTGGAATTAATCAATCGACTGTGAAAACTCACATTCTTTTTTCTTCTTCTATTTGTTTCCAATCCTTTTTTCCCCCTTTCCACCATAGATAGCTTTACTAGGTCTACCTTAACTATCATAGCAAGCCTTTACAACAAGGATGCCAGTGTCAGCAAATCAAAAAAAATACACTAAAAATATCCTTGCTCTAGATCTCACTGTACATCAATCCTTCTGTTTTTCAACAGCCATAGTAACAACTACGGCACAACACATACGAATCACCGACTTGAAAAGAACATATAATATATATATATATACATATATATATATAAGAGCAAAATAAGCATCTAATAAAGAATTATCTTATATTTGACTGAAAGTATTGTCTTACAGATATTAGATATTACAGACATATTGGTGTTTTAAGAACCGAAGGGAACCAAACAGAAGTGTTAGTATTTGGCAGAAAAGACACTTGTCAAAAGTCCACTTGGTTACACTATATTGTACTACGCATTGTTGGTAAAGAAAAAATAAAAAATAAATTCTTGTCTGCGCCATCACGTCCGTACTTTTTCTCACATGCACATTCTTGCAGCACCCTTTGAAATTATACTGGAAGTATTTTCTCGTTTGGATAGAGAGAATCTCAGTCACTGTGCACGAATCTGTAAAAGTTTGAATGAAGTGGCATTGAATAACACTTTTATAAAGACTTGCGTTCTGAACAGCATTGATGTCCAGCTTGTAAAATACTGTTTATCAAATAGTCTTGTTAACTGACAATGCTTTTTCAAATACTTGAGCAATGTAAAAGAGCTGACCTTAGCAAAGTCGATACCATATTACTGGAAATGTCTAGAACTCCGTTTTTTTTTCAATCGTTTTTTTTTAGAATCAAGTGATGGTCTACACATAAGTCTTTACGTTGATTGACATGCCATATTGTATAAACTTCATAGGATGATTGATTTCTGTTTTCCATAAAATCTGCTTCACTGTCATTACAAGCTACTACTGGAACGCAGATATGCAACTACCAAGTCTCGATTTGCTTAAGGGGGTTGCATATGTTTCTATTTTAAGACATTATGGATGATGAAACAAGCAATTAAATCATTCTGACATACGCTCTTGTTTATCAGCCTGCAAATAAAGCTGGTTCACACATTTTGTTCTTCCCCTTTTCTTTTCCCTTAACATACTTCTTCTATTGTATGAAAGTAGCCGACAACGTAAAAAGGTTAGTTAGTAATAAATGACTCTTGTTTCTTTCAAAAGACGTTAAATCGAAAAAGATATTATTGCGGTATCGCGGGTGCAGTTAGTCTCTACTATAGGAGGGCCACCTCCTAGGCAGGGTTCTCGAGTTTTTGGAACTCATAGACTGTGAATAACAAGGGTTGCATTGTAAATAGGTTTAATCATACTGGCCTGCTGGTCTTAGCCAGAATTGCTATAAGTGGTATGAAAAAAATACGTTTAAAAAAATACGGAGGTCGGGATCTTTTCGTTAAAAACACTAACAGCAGCAGATATATATTCACCCCAATTCAGTTCGTACAGCTTTTGGAGTATATGCCAAACATTCAATTTTTAAATTTGCGCGCAAGCCACTGGAAAACATATGCGATGTACCTTATTTCCTCGGAATCAACTGATTACATGAATCATATTCAGGCTATAAGGTTACTTGAAGTAAATCCAAGTGTGCAAACGACGATCCCAAACCTATACTTTGTGTTATGTTACAAGTATCGTACAAGTCTAACTGAACTAAAGTTCTAAATTGTTGGAGAGATATGCTGCTATTCGGTGCTCCATACGGTAAAATACTTACTTATGTAAGCCAATTTACAGCATTGAAATCTTTGACTGTACACAACTACGACGATCGGACATTAACATTATTCGATGTTCATGAAGCCTGTCCAAACTTATCAACGCTTGAATTTTATAGCACATGCCATATCCCAGTTTTTTATTTTCACTGCTAAAGCTAGACTTCTCTATATGATGAAGACTTTTCCAATACCCACTGTAGGTATTGTAAGGTTGCATCTTACATTACCAACCACGGCGGGTTGTAATATTTAGAGTGGTAAGCTAGACCAACGAAATAGGGACTAAAATAATATTTCATTATTCCATGCTAACACATCCAAGCTTAAAAGCCTGCTTTGAACACTCTGATTTGCTCATGGTAACCATTTGGCTAGAGACTGCACCGTAACTGAAGCTACTGTTCCACACGAATTTGATCAAAACAAGTTGAAAGTTAATTTGAAACAGATTATTATTGATGCTTTTACTTTACCAGAGAAATATATTGCATAGATCACAAATTACGTATCTAAACAATTACAAAAATTGCATATAAAACTTGGGTTTGATTTGGATCAATAGATAACCGAAATTGGTATGCAAAACGTCTTAAATTTTGTCAAGCGGTTGTCATCAATCAAAAGTTGCATTCTATATTTGAGAAATTACAACGCAAATGGACCATCATGCTTGTCGAATTTTTTTATACTACTTGATACATATAAAGGAGACAGGAATTCATTGTATATGGAATAAAATACGGTAGAAAAACTTCAATACAGAATCATGGCCCATTCGAATGTAGACTAGATCGGTGTGACTACTATCGTCAAGCTGAGGATGGACAACGTGTCATTGAACTTGCTTTACCAGACATCAACTCGTCCATCTTTCTAACAAAAGCTATCAATGAGTTAACATTTCAAATTGATGAAAACAATTCAAGGTTGACAATGGTCTTTTTGAAATATGCGTTATTGAACTACCCGAATCTTTATCAATGTGAAGTCGAAATCATGACAACGCCTGATCCTCAGCTTAGTGAAATTTGTACGTATCAATCTCCCCAGCAACAGTATCAGCCTACTATTCGAAAGAATCAATCAGTACTTATCATCCGAGATTTTATTCCTTCTGAATCAATGCTTGAGGAAATTGTATTTTATGCACCCCATGTTATACATTATGATTTAAGGGACCCTTCAACATCGCAATCAGGGGAATAAACCCAATCTACCTTTTCTAAAAAAAAAAAAAAAAAGACTTTATAGTGAGAATTCCAAACAAAATAAAACCAGCTTGAAAATAGTCAACCATTTTCTGTATGACCAAGTACCAGACCAAGATTTTTTTTAGTTCTCCTTTTACATTCATCTGATGTGTTCGCAAGTGAATATAAATGCTTATACGCAGATGTAGACACATACGCCATTCTATCACTCTTCCGCACTCCAATTGTTAAATGTGATAGTTATTTAAATAATATACACATTGCAATGTCATGTTTAAGATGTGTTCAGCCGATACTGAAAGACATAAAACAATCACTTAATTATAAACTACCACAATTTTTTTTTTCAGAAAAGAAAATGTTTTTATTTATTTTAATTAACAAATCCTAATGTACATAAGTGATATCATATTCATCGAATTTAAAAATAAATCATCGTGTTGTATACGTTCATTCATTTAACGTTCCTAAAGTGGGCCAGTATACAAGGGAATTTGAAAACTAGAAATGATTTAACACCAGATAATGATACTATCAGGGTTGCTGCCATCGACGCTAGTAGGGCAACCCTGGTATTCAGTTTCAGCTTCAGGCTTAGCGACGGGAATAATGGCACAAGAGACAGCGGCAACGTAAGCTAAGGCCAAGATAAGAGTTTGTTTAAGCATTTTTATTTGTATAGAGATGAAGATGTTTTTATTTTCTTTCGAAAAAAAAAGTGTCTTTTATAAGAAAGACACTATACGAGAATAGCTAAAAGCGTGACTTACAACTTTTGGTTATCTTGTATTAACTTCATAACTACAATAATCTCCGGGAAATTTAGGTTGGGTACTTGTTTTCAATATAGAAATACCTGACAAACTTGGATGTATGTGAGCTTGTGACAAGTATGTTAATGTGGTTGACCTGATGTACTTGTAGTACCGCTGAATTGTGTAAGGTATTACCTGTATACATTTATACATAATGTAATGTTTCACTGTTCATCTTTAACATTCACTTAAAGTAAAAACGAAAGAAAAAAAAGGGATCTATAAAGCGAACTGAGAAATCTGGATAGATGAAATGTTATTTTCCAATAGATGTGTCGATACATTTAAAAGTCGCATTCTTATTATTTATCAATCAAAGGTAACATAAATACAAAAAATATCTATCGATTATTACAGGAGCCGAAAAAAAATATTTGTAGTAGGACAATAATCGATGACCATGTCATACTGATAAAGAAGGAAAGTATTTCTGAATTTCTGCCTCAGTCCTGTGTTCCCTTTAAGACTAGTGATTTGTTAATGTTATGTAAAATAAAACCTTAGTAAAACAACGTATGTAACTTTTTTTACTGCTTTGAATACTTTAAATAGAGTATAATAATACAACGATTGGTTATATACGCTCCTTATTTTATGGGCAAACCTTTTTATTATTATCACTGGTGATATACCCTGGGAAGAAATCGGGTTAAAAGGCATATCATCGTTAGCTGGACCAATGTTCCAAAAAGTATGTTATTCAACATGCTTGAACACAAGAAGTTGGAAGCACAATTGAATCTAAAAAGTAAATAAACAGTTTTTTCGTAAAGTTCTTATTTGTAACTCAAGTTACCCATGCTGTATTATGTACCAGTAGTTTGAGGCAGCTTTTTTTTTTTTTTCACCTGCAGTAAAACACAAAGTTAGATGATAGTGCCTGTTTCGTATTCCACAATCAGTCCTTTAAAAAATCCACTATAGCAAATATTTGAGGAGAAAATATAACACAACCAACACCAAGCTTAGTAGGAGAGTATACATGACACCAACTTATTTACATCCGAATTATTTGTATTACATCATGCAATCTCATCTATGAATCTTTTTGTGAATCTTTTCATAAACAGCTTATTGGCACTGAGACGCAGACTAAAAAAATGATTCCATATATGGGTGCTTTCTCATGGCCCCATTTTGCTTTTCATTTAGGTACAAAATCAATAGACCTTTTAAAAAATGACAGACATGTTTCTTGTTTGACCGGGTTAAAGAATGGCCAGATAATACGCACGAGGCTGTGGTACCCACATTTTTGTGCGATTTCGACTTTTTTAAGTTTTCAAAAAGCGTCATTTTTTTTGTTTTTTGTTTTTTTGTTTTTTTGTTTTTGAATGACACAAGATATTCGATGCTGCCACGGTAAAAAGACAGCAACAAATAAAGAAAGTAATATACAGCTAAATTTATTTTATAAATTAAATTAATTAAAGAAAATCCTTCACAGTAAGCATGGTCAAGTTGTTGTGATACCTTGAAGAGTTTATACCGGGGTTTAAATATATCGATGCAGTGTATTGCCTATATTTTGACAGGTTCATGATCTGAGAACGTTGATGTTGTACGCATTGCCCCTCTACTTTAAAATTAAAATAAAATGCATGGGTGTCATTGACATAATGTATTTATAGTAGACATCCAATACTCGGCACACATTACGTTTTGGTGGTCTTACACATAAAATTATGTGGGGTACGATTTTATGTCTGACTTAAACAACTGTTCCGTTTAGGTTTTCTAAAGAAGTTATTCCTAGAAAAAAATATCCCCTAGTTCCTTAAGTAAAAGAGACGTTTCGGTGAGAAGTGCTGGTCTGCTGTGTGATGAAATATAGAAGTCTTCAAATCATATAAAGTTAGTCGTAAAATTGAAATATTCCAAGAAATAAACGGTTAAATTATTTGAGACTAAAACTAGTTATCTTTTTATTAAACGGAAAAGGGGATCCTTTTTATAAGATAGATTGTTATGCGGGAAGTGAATGTTTCATGTTGAAACGAATGTTTCATGTTTAAGTGAATGTTTCTTGTTTCCGTGCTGGGTTGCTATTAAATGTCAAGTAGATTATAGGCTGGATATATAGTGTGTATTTATCAAAAATATTTTGTTTCAAGGGCCTTTGGATATTTAGTCAAGCTATTGTTATAAAGTTTAAAGCTATTGATCAAACATACTTTAATGCACTGTTATGCGACAAATCGAGCGCATTTCCAATTTTTCTTTCTTTTTAAACACCTACTAAAGTGCAATACACCTTTTCGGGTTTGCACCTGTCAAAACTACTTCTTTTCATCTTTTTCTTATCCTCAGATCTGTGACCTCTTAGTAGGCGCAATTACCTCAATCTCTTCTATAAATTTCCCCAATTTCTTTAATTTCAGTGACTGGATTATACGTCCATCACTATAAATAGGCATCCATAAGACCTCTCCTAAATAAAAATCCTCATCTATTATTTTACTCATATTTCAACACTTTGACTTATTAGTTTTATATATTATTCAGCTCTATTATCATTCTGATTGATCCCTTGATTACATTTTTATCATTGTATCTTTTATTTGTAAGCATATAAGCTATACTTAAATCTATTTTCTAACAGTTCAGCTTCTGTTTAAACTAGCTGTGGTGCTCATTCAACTCGCAATTATAAAGACCTTCTTTACTAAACTCTATTTTATTTAAAGAAATATCCTTTATCCCGCCAATACTACTCGCATACTCTTATTTCAGCACTCATTGTAATATACTAAGCCATGTGAACTGTTTTGGTTGCTCGATGTATGTTAGGGCGAATTTCAAAAAACACAAGTGAGTCTCAAATCGTTACTCGTATTTATAGGTATGATCAAGATATTAAAGGGTACGCCAAATCCTAAAGCTTGTCATTGCAAATTTCGCATGTTAAAACATGGTTCGGATTGACGATCTTAATTAGGCTGGTTAACATTGATAGGTATTACATCACAAATAGTGTCTGAGTAGATGTATGTACAAAAATACAGTGTATTACAGGTTAATGATGTATACGATTTTTTGCTCGACTCGATAACCTGGGTCCAGATGTTTCCTTGATATCTGAGCATTTAAAAATGCGTGCAGTCTTTTGTTGTGATATTTGGAAAAGTTGTACATAGTTTTCTCTTCTTTTTTTCATATGAAGTCGTATATTGCGTTGTAATGTTAAACATGCCCTCTGAAGAGACTTTCTTTCGTTCATTAATTGTCTCATTGTCAGAATCGGTAGCAGAAAAATTGCAGTATTAGTTGATAAACGTAAATTGCCAATAATTAAGTAGATAATTCAAGAATAGTAACGTATATGTGGGTTGTTTATGTTACAAGCTATAGATTATGCGTTTCAAGTGGGAAAGGTGACGTTACTCAGAACTAATCGACAAGATTTAATATTCCAGCAAAAGCCATTAAACCTGGCATCTTCGGTAATTACCCCAAATGGTGCATAGTATCGAAATACCCAAACAAAGCGAATAATCTGGAATCCAAGATCTGTCCTGTGAATTCAAGTACACTACCAGAAAGCACCACAATAAAGACATTTGGCACGAAGAACAGAAAAGAAAAAAAGACGATTTTGCTTTTAACAAACAGATTGACGTCAGCACCTGCTTGTAAGTCTAAAAAGCACGTTATAATCAAGCATTTTCTCAAAAAGAAAAATGTACTTGACTCTAGAACCGACTTCTTTGGGCAATGAGCGACTGTAGCAGATTATAAGACTGAATCAACTATTGTTTCTTTTGTTGGCCCGTGCGTGTCCCTTGAGCCAGTTTATTATACCATACAACCTATTAAAGAAATGAATTTTTTTTTAACCAAGTGCGTTAAAAGGGAATATCCAAAAAAATGGCCCGGGAGTACAAAAAATAGATTGTTATGCAAGTCACCCTGAGAAAAGACAATTGGCATGTGGGCACCTTTTTATTAAAAATACCAGAAAAGAGTTATGCGTGAATGAAAATATGATGAATTATTCCACAAGATACAATAAAAAATCAGGCACTATTTGTCCTAACTTGGAGTCCCCTCTTCCCACCTAACCTCACCTTTGTTTTATTCTTCTACATTTTGCAACTCAAATATCTTTTTGGATATATTTTCTTTATTGTATTGTTTGTGCTAGTCGGAGATGAATGCTAAAAAATGTCACAAAACACGTTTGGATTTATTTAAATGTGGGTGCACTCCGCTGCATTTATCATATGTTAAAGATCGACATGTATTATGCAAACATTTCCCAAAAAAGATTTTTGTGCGATAAGTACGCTGTGATAGAATAAAAATACATATTATTATTGAATATATTAAAATAAAAAGAATAAGGAGAAATAATATAAGAGTAATAAAGAAAAAATATAGAAATTAAAGATAGCAATAGGAATAATTAAGTAGTGTTATGGCAAAAAGGAGATAGAGAGAGAAATAAGTAATAAATTATATGGATATATTACATTGGAGGGCGCATTATATGTTACAAGTGCACTCGTGAATTAGAATTTAAACTATGTCCAGATATAGTGAGCATAACGCTTGGTTTCATAAGTAAGGATGTTTTAAGAAAAGAAGCCAGTTCTAATAAAGAAATTAGCATTGTTATCTTTATAAAAAACCATTTTCCGATAGTTATGTATTACCTGTTTCTTGACATGAAAGTTTTAGTCAATAATTGTAAAGTTTTTGATACGCTGAGCTTGATATACTCCAGATCTAGCATTGTAACGCCATCCTGTTGCTGTTTTTTTAAAGAAAAGTTAGAAAATATGTCACCTTATTTTTAAATCGAACATGCTTACCTTTTCCAATAAATCATCCAACTTTAAATCGATTTCCAAAACGGGCTTATCACGACCTTTATAGTGGAGTGAAATGATGAAAGTACCAGGAATAGGAGAAGAGACTGTTAAAAATATATTCTGTCGTCTAACCTCAGGCACTTCTGTCTCGACAATAATTCCATCTTTCTCCAGTTGTTGATGTGTGAATTTAAAAGGACCTTGTACAACAGGAGCCTTGATTGCCCTTTTACCTGGTCTGGTATCTACAACTTCTACTCCAATACCAACTACCTGCTTTTTAGATGCAGAAGATCCAGCCCCAATACCACTTTGCATTCTGACATTTTGAAGGTAGGCTTTATAACTTTCCAACTGGCTCTTGAGATAATTGTTGTGATCGAGAATGGTCTTGAAAACGCTTTCAAGCGAGTCCAATTCCTCCATGACTTTGAGTTTCAAATCACCTAAATGAACAAGCTCGTTGCTGATTTCCTCCGCCAAAAACTGATGATTATCACGCTTATCAATCACACCGGCCTCTTCTAGTTCCCTAATCATTTCCTTTACTTTGATACCCTTATGAACAAGTTGAGCATCCTTCCCTGTGCCGGCTGTTTCCGCAATATAATGTAGCTTTAATGGGGGTCGGCCAAGGTATGGCAGGGAACGGATGATCTGAACGAAAATAGATTTGGCTTCCATGTACAAAATATCATATTGAGTAATGTTATTTTCAGACATGAGGGACATAGTTAGATCTTGAATAGGCATTTCCCATCGACTAAATAAAGGCAATTCAATTGCTTTATTTTCTTTTCGTGGCACTTGTGCGGGAGCAGGACCTACTTCGCCTACAAGTATACGCAAATGATCGGTCTCTTGTGGTGCAATAATATTAATGTGTTGTTGTAATAATGATAAAGTACTGTAAATTTCATTCGGTGTTATATTGATCATGATATCCTTCTTACTGAGAGCCATATACTGATCCATTTCCAGTTGTTCATAAAAATCGACTACTTCACAAAGGTCGTTCAAAAATTTATTTGTACGTTGTTTATTGTGTTCTACGAATGGGTTTGTTGGGATCATGTATGTTTCTTTGGCATAAGATGGTTTGTTTGCTAAATTCTGAAGCATTTTTGCCAACTATGGAAATAAAGAGTGTTACTTAATCTAAATTTGGATTGAGTAAGAAAAAAAAAAGAAAATCTTACCAGAGTTAATGTCGTACGTGAATTATTTCCTGGAATACCATCCACAAGCATGTAAGCCTGTGGGGTAACAATAGCAGGATTCACAAACCTTAAAAAGAAAAATCCACCAATCAAGGACGAAATAGCATGATCAGTGGCATCAGGGTATTTTCTCTTTGTCAGAGAGCGAATCTGTTTACAAATCCAACGAATACCATAAGGTACTTGATCCAGTGAATTGATGATTGTTGATAGAAATGAATTTGCAATATCCATTAACGTTTTAAGTCTGGGGCGAATTATAGCTTGTATAGTGGGATTTGATTGTGCGACTTCTGCTGTAACACCCCTTGGAAATCCATCAGGTAGTCCACCCTGTTCCATTTCCATTTTTTCCACAAGTTCGTCATATACTTTCAATGGATTGATTTGAAGATTTAAATCTTTGTGCTCTAATAAATTATTGATTTTCTCGGATAAAACAGACTTGAGATAGGATTGACCGGGACCACGACGAGTATATGTTGTCATCATTCGTGAAACGGGTGTATTAGCACGTAAAAGTGAACTGAACTCTGTGGTGGTTTCGAACTGGGCAGCTAGTACGTTCTAATTCATAAAGTTTAATAAAACCTTTTTTTTTTTTATAAAACCTTTTGTACCTGAAACATTGTTAAAAGTAAGTGTTCTTCACGGCTTTCATATTGATTACCATATAGTGTAAACATGACTGTTTGTAATAACGTATCAATTTCTGCTAAACTAACTAATCGACATAATATCGCAATATGACGTGGTTCGCTTTGTAACAAATAAAATAGATTTCCATACTGTTGCATACGGCGATCATCAGGGTAATGATCAACTTCATCATCATCGTGATCTTCTAAACGAGAAGCTACTTCGTGTTGCTAAAATAATCACAAGTTAATTCGCCTTTTTTTTTACATGACTGAAAAATAATAATAAAAAACTCACTTCATCCAATGCCATTCTGTTTTGAATTAATAAGCCGATCCGAGCGTCAAGAAATCGCACATCTCTTTCTCGCATAAAATTCTTCTTGGATTGTGTTGAAATCTTAGTCTTTAGTTCACGTAAACGTCTTTGGGCTATTAAAAATAAGGTTTTATTGTACAAATTTAATTTAGGATCTTTAACTTTTTTTTACCTTTTGCCAACTCATCTTCTACTTCGACATCTTGTTCTGCAGCCATAGAATAGAATACAGACACAGAGTACCGTTTAGAGTTTCTGCCTCTATTACGGCTAGAATGATGATTATTAGCTGCAGCTGCAGCTACTGCTCGACTCACAATCGAGCTATTTTGTGGATATCCAAACGATTGAACCATCCCACTTCGTCGGTCAGTCATATTATTATAATGTAAAATAAGAAAAAAGAAGCAAAAGAAAAGGATATTTAATTTAAAGTTCCCTTTCAATCAATAGCACCGTAGCACAAACTATTATTTGATTCTCTCGGTATTTTAAAATAGAGTATTTGAGTATGATACATCCCATATTTATTTATAAAATGATCGCCCGTTTTAGATGCACAATCAAATTTAAGGTATCTCACACCACAGTAATGATTATTAGCTATGAGCATACAAAAATGAAAGGGCACATTGTACTAAATAGAAGGGTCATACAAGTACGTGTAAAGTTCTAATTATCTTTCAGAAGATCATACAACAATACATATCACATGTTGAACCATGGACGCTAGCGCGTAGCATTCACGATTAATGAGTTGTATTATACCATCTCTTCTAAAAATTTTTAGTATCTAACTTCCAGTTATTATTTATATATATAATGACGATCAACACAGACATCATATACACTTCGATACCAACAAACGAGTCGACGCAGGTCTTTTATGCGCATGACAATTTCACTAATTCATAGTCAGCGGGTTAAAAATAAATCTACTTGTTCTATAAACCTCTTCTGGTTTGAGGTATAAGTGGGAACGGAAACATGCCGTCAGCTATTCAAGTGTAAAATATGGTGTACATATAAAACTTTGGATACGTAGTGTAGCTGTAGCTCATTTGAAGAAGCTTGATTCGGATTAGCACTGTCATAAACTAAAATCTCGACCTTATAATCGTCTAAATTTATTCGTGTAACATTGTGTTTTTTGTTCAATGTGGCTAATTCATACGTATTTAATTAAATCTGGTGACTACAGATGGTAAAATACTACGCGGATGGATTAATGTGTATTATACCCGCACACATACGCATCACATCATTTTTCATACATCTATTTCATAATTAAAAATGAAAGTTAGAAAGTGTCATCATCAAATGTTGCCCTTTGGCAAAATCTTGGCAACATTAATTTGATTGCTGCAGTAGGCCATTAAGCTCTTAACAGATGCGAATTCCAGCTCATAATTCTGAATACGATCTATCTCCTTCGTTTGAGAATTGTATAACAACTTTTTTAGACAAGTATTTCTACTTTTCCTTTAGCTCCTAGAAACATTTAATAACGAGAGTGGTAGTCATATTGAGATCAGTTTATCCACTGAAAAAGGTATGAGGCATTTGGACCGTCTGGAGCTGCTGACAACAAAAAGAATACCTCAAATCACTTTTCAAAGCTGCGTATGGATTGCTATCTATGCTGCATGCTATCGCGTACCAGTTTAACTATGCCGATATCACGTTGTTCAAGAAAATGAAGGTTCTATTTGTTCATGCTGCTAAAAAAAAAGACTTTGGACTTTCAATATTGCAACTCCCAAAATGTATTGTTTAAATCATCAAAGAAGCTATTAAGTCCCAACAACCCACGTGAACAGCAGAAGTCAAGTAGTAGACGTCATAAACATGATGTGGTAGCTACAGAGTTGATTTATATATCATGATAAGTTGCTGTATATAGTTTTATATTCTTTTTTTTTCCGTTGTCAGGAAGCGGTAATCGAGTCTTCTGCTTTTTTGGAATCGATCCAAAGATCCTATGATAGAAATAAGACGGACGAAGGTAACTAACACCATATTACACCCGTATCTTGGGGAGTCTGTTGATGTCAAGCTACCTTGTGATCCTAATATCAGAGGAGCTCGAATCCCCATGTTGACTACTTCACAGGTTGAAATTGTTCCAATAATAGCATGGCTGATCGCTCGTGCTGATGGGCTGGTAAATGACAGAAGTTCTTTATACTGATCTAATAGTATTGCTATCAAAGGCACTCTCTTCAATAAAATACAATTTTAAATGGATTGATATTGATCTTGGGCCAAGTCTCCCCCAATTTACATCTCTCTTTGATCTTTGCGCTTTGAATTCTTGCTATTTAGTGATCGAAAATGTCCCAACCAGGATTATTTTTAGGTTTCTTACCCAAATCCTGACCAATACGACCATCAATCGCCACTACTGCAGCATTTAAAAGCTTTAGCCGCAACTAATATACAAACAATGTTTTTGACTATCGGAATAGTTTGCAAATTTCTTTCTAGGTATGGTTCTACAGCTTATAGTCTTTTCTGACTGAACCATTCTATCAGGCAGTTTAGGGTCTGCTATATTGAGATACAATGGTTGTTTACCAGAATATTGAGTAAAAATTGCTTAAATTTTCTATGTTAGGGGATTGTTTTCTTCCCGGTTCACACTAATTTAAACACATTTACTTATTATATGATAAGTATTGTATCATTTGTCTGCACTATCATTTACAAAAATTACAACGACATATGTGTAGATAAGATTCTAATTAATGTTAATGTCACTCGATCCATCTTCGTTTACAAACCTTAAGCCAAGACATAAACCAGAAAACAGGTCGGTTATCAAATACTTGTATTTCAATCTTCAGCATACTGGATGCAGATTTATGTTTAAACCGTAGATAATTATACAGGTGGTTCTTAGATATGATTATTTTGTAATAACCAACTACAATGAAAATATCGCTGTCCATATATTCTTTAAAATTTTAATCTGGGCTGCCTATTTGGATTCCAAGTCAGACAAATGCATGCCTAAATTAAAGTGAAGCCTGACAATCAATAAGATGGACCTAATTTTTCTAAAATTTCCAAAGTAATGAACAATGCAATACCAGACAGAGAATATGTCCACTAAAAATTGGCGTCATATAGAGTAAACATTACGGAGTACCAAGTCAGATGCAAAAGTGCCGAAGTGATTTTGTATTTTTTTTTTTTTTTTTTTTTTTTTTTTTTTCGTTGGCGTACAAAACTGTCAAAGGTCAAGAAAAGTGATGCACGTTTTATGGTTTTATTTTACCGACTTTTGGCTGATCTCCAGTGCTTGCGTATTGTTTACAATAAAAATAGATGCTGTAGAAACAAACTATATCCTCATGATGCATTCCTCTGTTTACGATGTACATCATGAGAAGACTGCCTTTTTGTTATGCAAAGATTCACCCCCTTTTACTTATTTGTTTATGTTTCTCAAACTAGAAACGACTACTTTGTACTAATTTAATAGAGATGATCGTGGTAAGAGTACTGTTTTGGTAGCACTGCTGCGCATTTATATCACACGCAGCTATGATGAGAAGAACATATATTCATTATTTACTATTTATCGTCATTCTTTTGCCGGTAAGAAACCTATAATGTATGGGAAAATAAAAAGAGCATCAGATGGTGAATCATGGGCGTGTGAGCACAACTTAAAAGTCTGGTTATATATATTTTTTTTTCATATGAAAATCACATGATGAAATCCATATATTTGTGTCACCATTCATCAAGTGGATACATAACATCACCCTTTCTTTTTCTTTTTCTCTTCTTTCTTCCCTCCGTATTTATACATTTTTTATTTTATTTTTCCCCAAATCCCCAAATACTTTGTTTCTTTTCACATGGTATCAAAAAATATCCCGACTGTATTCATTGTACGCCATGGAGAAAGATTAGGTAAAAATCAAAAGGGAGCCTTCATGTATAATTTATCTGACACATTCATTAGATCATACTGATAAACTATGGCAACCAGATCCATCACTTGGAATTTGGGATCCTCCAATCACACCCAAAGTAAGTTGTATACACAAGTAACGAGCCTTATTTCTAACAATTCTTATGAACAGGGATTCAAACAAGCAGAAAAGACCGGTTCCACAATACTTGAAATGTTGCGTCAACAAACTATTGATATAAAAAACGCAAATATTGTTATTTATTCATCACCATTCCAACGCTGCATCGACACAAGTATTGGTGTTGTGAAAGGATTACGAAAATCTAAAAATATAACAAAGACACCAACTTTAAGGATCGATATTGGCTTAGGCGAGTGGATGTGTGAACGCTTTTTTGATTCCGTGTGTCCTGCGCAATATCTAATGTCACGACAGCAAGAAAAGCTAGCTCGTCAACAAGCATTTTCTTATTCAATGTTGGCAAAAAAGAGCTTTATCACTCCTGAAGAAGAAGAGGGTATGCTACCGGCTTTGACAATTGATTATGCATACAATAATCCCAATCAATCTGAATTTGATTATCCTGAGCGTTATACAGACATGATTCACAGATTTGAAGACACACGTTTAAATTGTTTGGAGTCTTGTCTAAAATTGGGTAATAAAAAGGGACAAAAAGATGAACAGCAACCCACTGTGGTTATATTTGTAACACATGCGGTAGGTGTGAACGCACTATTGGACGGTTTTAGAAATAGGGTGACAATACCACTCGAATCTAATTATTGCAGCATATCATGTGTACGTCACTATAATTCAACAGTCATTGCTGACTCAAGTGACCAAAGCGATGAAGACTGTGAATATATGCAGGATCATGATGACGGATTTAACTCTCCGTCAAAACCAACATGGCTAATTGACACTGTCATGTATGACAGACATTTACTATAGACCCCCACTCCACCGCCATTATCTTGTACATATTACCACACTTACTGTTCATATTTTATTATCATTTATGTGCATACATGAACCACTTCAATGAAAGGTTCTTTCTATCATTTCATTAAACACTTTTTTACTCATGATTGTTTGTACAACCTGTCAATATATTGGAGCCCCGTCCCAATCACAATGATCAGTCAGGATGAGTTAATTGTTTAATCATCCAACATAATGTTGAAAACTTTAATTAAAATAGAAACATTTGCAAATAACCCAAGTAAGTAGGAACTTGGTAGTTGTCCATCAACGTTTCAGTAGTAGCATGTACTAGTAGTGAAGCATATTTTATACAAAACAAAAATTGTTCCAAGTTAAGATGATATGGCATGTCAATCGACGTAAACACTTCTTTTAGATATGTGTATAGACCATCACTTGATTCCAAATAACCCGAATGACCATACGTTTGTTAAAAATACTGACCTCTAGACATTTCCTAATATCCATGTAAAAAAAAAAAAAAGATCACGTGAACCCAAAAAGACGAGGAGGACGTACGTAGAAAAATTAAACGGACTTAAGTATGGACATTCTTGAACACCGTCCTTGTTTTTTTTACATTACGTAGGCAATATCCAGAAAACATCATAAATCATCCAAAAAATGGTTTTCTTTTCAATTTTAAACCAAGATGCTGTAGTCAATCATCTAATGAATTAAATTCTCACTGCTATGAGCAATCCCCTTCAAATAAAAACCCTATTTAATAACCAACAACTTTAATCAATTGTGCATAAATAATATCTGTGTGTGTGTGTGTGTGTGTGTGTGTGTGTGGACTCTATTGTGCCACTAGGTTTTAATAAATCCTTAACTGTAAAAAGGGTCCCATTCTTTGAACTCCGTTGACAGTGTAATTAAAAAGGGATAAAGTCTAGAGTAGGAGACAAAACCGCATAATATAAAATAATCCCAGAATATTAATCTCCTCTTCTCTTTTTCTTTATTTTTACTATTTACAATGGAAAGTATTCGATTCTTTAATGCATGCGTTGTTTGGACAAGAAGTATCGTGTTGATACTTTCCATAATTATCGTCATTTCGTCACTCAGTATATACAATTATGATGCCATTCCTGTGTTCTTACTACTCGAGGAAGATGCATCTTCAATAGTTTTAAAGGGACACGAAATAATTTATGACATGATTCAAGACCGCAGATTAATTGCAACACTTGTAGCAGCACAAGCATCCATCTTTTGTCCTCTATTCTTACTAATGAGCGCTTCATCAACAGCACCAAGTATATGCCAAACAACAGCAGATATATGGCGTACCGTAATTGAACAGTTCTGTCAATTTTTAATGCCGCTTGGCTTAGCATTGAGCTGGATATTCTGCATCACGTTCGACACGAGAACTCAAGCTGCCTTAATGGATCAAAACATGAAATTTCAACTCGACCAGGATCATTATACTGCACTCGCTACCTATATCGGTAATAGCCTGAAATATGTAATTATTGTAATTTTGCTGTTGGAAGTTGTGACAATTTGGGTATCTTCATTTAAATATGCCACCATACTATTTATTTCTCATCACCAACAAGCAATAAGACTGCAGGATGACGATTCGATGTACACAAGTTTAGATAACAATGAAGAAGAACAACAATTAGAGTATTATAGCAGTAATGAAGAAAAGATATTGTTCATATAACGAATTCACTTTTTTTTAATAAACCAAACAAAGTTAAACCTTTTTAATTCAAAAAAAAACAGCCTCTGCTATAGCTTTTATAAATTTGTGTTGCACACATTTTCATTGGTTCATAAAAACGTTGCATTAGCCATTGGAATGTTTATGATGGCCTATTTGTTTGTGTTGTTTTTGATTTGTTTGTGCCTTAAAATCTAATTTTGACTTTCAGAAGTCTAAGCTAAGGCATGGTATAACACATGAAGAGATAAACTAAAGCATAAATCCAGAATTAAGAAATTATTTATTAATCCAAAGAGAACCGGTAATTCAACTGTTTAAATATATCTTACTGGGTAATAAGGATACTCAATAGTTTATTGCAATACTAATAGATGGCCCTTTTAAATGTTCTGCTTCCTTTCAATCGCAATTGGCCATTGTTAAGGGTATGTGTGCCTTCTTTAAGCTTTCGGTAAATGTCTGTATACGCGGAGAGTAGCACATCTGGAATATCATAACTGTATGCATCCTTGGCAAGACAGTTTTCATCGTCCTAAAGTTTTTAAGGTTAGTTAAAATAGTTGTTGGACATGTTACGAATAAAAAAATCAAGTGTAACCTGATATGCGTTGGCAACGTCTCTCAAGAGGAGATTTGCCAACTCAGGGCGCGAAAGAATCCTAAGCTGCGCCCAATTTTTGGTCAGTAAAGCCAGACCGACATTAAACAAGAAGTTGGTGCCCTCCAACAAGACGAGATCGAATATGCGGTAAACAACTTTTATATTACTTTGGTTACCAAACATGCCTAAAAACCATGGAGTAATAAACATTTTTGTATTCATCCTTTGAAGTTTAAAATGAATATGTAATCCTTTGGTATAGTGTATCATCAGTTGACCGAATTGAAAGATACGTATGTTCAATCCTGATAGATCACAATCAAATTGTGTACGGAACTCTGCTTGTTTCATGAGCGAAGTTAAAACACAAAAGGCTTCTTCGTCAGACAGCTATAAAGAATGCAGTTAATATATATTATCCAATAGTCTTGTCTTTAATTTACATGAAGCAGTAATATTCCAACCACAAAATTCAGGCCTTGGCAGTATCCAACTTCAGGTTCATATAAACTGTAAGCCTTCAGAACGTTAAAAAGACGCTGTTGACCTTCTCCGTTTATATTTTTGAAATATTCAATTGTCGGAAAAGACCTATGCAAGTCCTTTTTGATTTCGTCCTCATAAGGACTTAGTTGCTGTAGCAGATCATGATATACCTTCTCGATAGACTCAAACCCTCCTTCAGGTTTGCAGAAGGCTAGCCAAATTAATCCTCTAGAAGAGGAGGGCAAACCATTCGTAATAGCCATTCGAATCTGATTGCTACGCTCGATATCTTTATAATTAGTTAGCACTGATGCCCATATTTCTAATTATAAAAAGAAAAAAAAATTAATTCCCTGTATAAATTGTTCTAAGCATCCTTATTACCCCAGTCTAAATTCTCTTCATCTGCTGTCGATCTATCTTTTAGCAACTTCAAGTTTTTAGAGTAAACGTCGCCTGAGCTATTCACAGAATCTTGTCTTTCCCCTTCTATGCTATTCAGACTATCGAAGAAAATATCCTCTGCGTCACTTTCCTCAAAAACGGATGGAACGGTATCTCCAACTTCAGCAACAGGTAAATCAACGACTTGAGTATCGAACAACATGATTGGTTCATAGTTCGCAAAATCAGACTTCGTAACATCAAAGTTTCTATTATCCAACTTTTTAGCGGTATTTTTTTGGTTTATATGGAAGCGATAGCATGGATTCAAGATAAAACTGCCTAAACACCAGACAGCAATGTAAACTAATGAGTTGAAGAAACGGCTTAGCAATAATTCTGAGTCATACATATATTAAGAAGAGCTTACATAAAAGAAGGAGGTTAAACCTTTCGTTTGTATCGTCCTTAAATTGTCCATATCCTGCTTGATCCTTTCCAGTTTGGAATCCAACATCGGTGCCTGGAGTTAACAAATCATAAAAAATTAAAGACTGTTTGTCGAACGTTTGTGCGATATAACACATGGCAGCATATTTTATTTTTGACGAAATCTCAATTATCCTAGCGTTGAAATGTGCATTCAATTTGATATAAATTGGATACGCATACAAATGCAAATGAGCTAGGTGGGACGAATAAAGACCGACAGTCATTTGTGGCTACGAAGAATGTTTGTAGAAGTGAATATATAATGATCAAGGACAGGTTTTGTATCCGCATATATATATATATTAACTATAACAATGGAAGTATGTCTTATTGTTGAGACAGCTGCAACGTTTTGCACAGTTTGTAGCTTTTGCAATACACATACTATATTTATCTCAATGTGTAGTTTTTTTTTTGATAGTATACGGTTTCAATATGCTTGTATACTACCCTGGATCATTTTAGTATCAACATTTGCGGTTCATGAGAATGTATCAAAGGCAAATTTATAAATCAACAAATACTTCTATCTATTTTTTTAAGATCTACATAATGAGCATAATATATCGTAATCCAGTCATGAGAAGAAAAAAATGTCAACTGGAACTCATGCATACAGCTTGATCAAGGTTTCATTGTGTAGAAACTGATAGAATAATCGATCAGGTGTAGTTGTGTCTAAAACACTCTATATCAGAATAAACAACGAGACCTTAGTTTTATGAACACCAAAAACAATAAAAGTTGATACCCACATGTCCAACAATATGAAGCAAAAATGACACCATACAGATGTGAGCTTGTTTTTTAAAAATTACACCATATTTGTTTAAACCTCCGTCATCTGCTATTATTTTATTTCTACTGATGGTATATTTTTTTACAATTTGGAGAGGACAGCTTCAGCTCCAGAAGAAGTAACACCGCGTTCAGTCTCGATACCAACATACTTTACAACCAAATCATCAACAACAATTGCGAATCGCTTGGAGCGAATGCCCATACCGTTGGCGGTTAAATCTTGAGCAAGACCAAGAGAGTCGGTGAAGGCGTGACTACCATCACCAGCCATAATAACCTTATCTCCAGCTTTGTATGCTTTAGCAAAAGCATTCATTACAAATCCATCGACAACAGAGATGCAGATGACTTCACTAACACCCTTGGATTGAAGAGCCTCATGGGCCGAGATAAAACCAGGTACGTGAGATTCGGAGCATGTTGGGGTAAAGGGGCCTATCGTATATTAATATGCCTAGTTGAAGCATGGATGAAATTTTAAATTACCTGGGATAGCGAAAATAACAGCCTTTTTTCCCTTCAACTTTTCATGAATCTTGTAGGCGATAGGACTATGAAACATCAATCAAGTGTAAGTGCTGATCAAGAATACTTTCTTACCGAGGACAGGCCGTGATATCTTCCTTGGGATCAAAGGGAACATAGTGAAGAACACCATCGGGGATCTACCTACATGCATAAGTAAAAAGAGCACGGTAACATGATGTTTACTCACAATATCGCCAACTTGAATAGACTATTAAGATAAATAAGTTTTTTTTTCAGTCATGATGTACTATTGTAATTTACCATTTTTTAAATTAAAAGAGAGAAAAAGATGATTCCCAAAAAGTCGCCATGATTTGTAATTTATTTCATTTTTTTTGTCGACGTCAATTAAGGTTTTGGTGCACAGAGTCCGGATAAACCAGATTCCATGTGAGTTCAATTTCTTTACATTACTGAATTCCAAGACAATTTTCGATGACTACAACTATAAATATAGAAGCATACAAAGTAAATAAATGCACAAAACTGTCATATGTATATCTCAGGTACGATAAAGATCAACGGATACATGTTAGACGAGTAAAGTTATTGCAGGCGGGCATTAACTTGACAATTGATGATACAAAACGTTAGTATACTTTCAGATTCGGAAGCTTGATGTCAAGTTCCTGATTGCGATACCTAGAATGAATATCAAATAAAATAAAACAAAAAAAAACGTGCATCATTAAAAATATTTCAATCTTTTATTGGTAGCCCGACCTCGGCATAAAGTAGACTAAGGAAAACTTCACACACACCTTTTCAACCTTAAACATGTACAAGATTACCATCCGACATTTAGGAGTCGCTTGCAAGAAACGACTTTTTCATTCCAGTCCCAACTTTAATAAAGCCATTCGACCGGGTTTTTTTAATTCGTTTCTATCCAACGATACAGAACAATCGAAAGAAGCACTGGTTGCATATCCTATCAAAACAAGTAAAGATACCTATAATTATGACATACCGCCAGTTGCGTCTAGAATGCTTGTGCGTGACTTTATTGATGACTCGCTTTACAACCCTCAATACGGCTTTTATTCGAAAAATAACACGTCTGCTTTGTCCGAATATGAGGAAATGGAACAAGAGGAAGATCAAATTCAATACCTGAGACGAGTTGTCAAATCGCGTGGACGTGTTCATCATCACCATATTCATCAATTGAGGTATACTTTAACAGAACTGTTTAAGGTAAGCAGAGGACAGTGCAAGGCCGAGAAAGAATAAATTTTAGATAGTAACGTGATTATAGCCTTGGTATGGTCATGCTATTGCAAAATATATGGTGTCCGAGTATAAATTAAGTCTATACCCGCACAAGGATTTGATCATTTACGAAATGGGAGGAGGCAACGGTAGATTGATGCCGCATATATTGGACTACATCAAACGTTATGAGCCGTCTGTATATAAAAGAACGCAGTACAACATGATTGAATTGTCAGAACGTGTCGTATCACCGTCTTTTATGGGAAATATGCCTCAACACGACTGCGTACAAGTACTCAATGAGAACATATTTGATTGGAACACACTGGTATCTGAACAGTGTTTCTTTTTAGGCATGGAAGTGATTGTAAGTACTGGCAAATGGTCATTCTACCCGAAAGCTAATACTCCATCGTATAGAACCACTTTGCTCATGATGTGATACGGTATGATTTGGATCAATTAAAACCTCACCAAGGATACGTGTGCGTGGATGAAAAGAGAAACTACCATGAAGTATTTGAGCCCATTGGTACAGATTCAACTATTTCACGTTATTTAGCACTACGAAAAAAAATTGGATCCAAACCTCATCATACACAGCACATGTTATGGCACAAAATACAACGATTCTTTAAGCCATCTTCTTCCAACCTGACACAGCCCGAATATATTCCAACCAAATTATTTCAATTTATGGAGATTTTAAACACTTATTTTCCTCGACATCGACTTGTACTGACGGATTTCAATTCGCTGTCGAATACAGTGCCTGGAGTCAATGCACCACTAGTACAGACAGCGTATAAGGGGCTGATGGTACCCTGCCCAACTTACTTATTACCTCCAGGATGGTATGATATTGTGTTTCCAGTCAACTTTGATATGTTGAGAGATATGTATCTTCTAACTTGTCGTGGATCCACCGCTGGTAACGAAAAAAATGCTAAGATCGTCCAATACAATGATTTCCTGGACCGTTACGGTGATGTTGAAAAATCAAGAACCAAAAAGGGGACTCCATTAAGCCTTATGCACCAATCAAACGTCAAAGTTTTCTTGACGTAAATAAAAAAGCATAAAGTAATGCAAATTTCACGCATTCCGTGTGAATGTCGGTTGTTTGATTTTTCCCTGACTGAGTTTGGTAGTTTACGCCTTTGTCAGCGTCAACCATGTGAAATTTATATTCGGGTATAAAAAAAAAAAAAAAAAATTCGTGAATGAGACCCCTTTTATTAGTATTATTCACTTCTGCAATAAAGTATTTGACATGTCCGACTTCCCATTAGCTATTCCCAGCAAAGAGAACCACTTGATGACCCTTTCTCAAGAAGGTCCACTTTTCATTCTTCATTTGCACAACAAGGACAATCGTTTCACGACTGAATTCTGTTCCGCTATTCTTGACGCACTTCTTATTGTCGAAAACATCTTTTTGGCTTCGGAGGATCCTGTGGATATGGCTTTAGTAACTATCGGAAACGATAAGATTTACAGCAATGGATTGGATCTGATGCATGTTTTAAGCACTGTTAACTTTATGGATGTCTTTCAAACCATGCTTAAACGTTTTGTCAAGTTCTGTATCCCCACAGTTGCTGCTCTCAACGGGTATGTTTTCTTAAACATTCAGAAATGCATGCAATAATAATTTATATCTTTTCTTTTTTCTGTTATCTAGTCACGCTTTTGCTGGTGGATGTATGCTCGCTATGGCTCATGGTAAAGAAATAAACTAAAGCTTAGATTTAATTTGATTTAATCATTATTGAATTCCTCCTTAGATTACCGTGTTATGCGCTCTGATCGTGGATACGTTTGTATGAACGAAGTCGACCTTCCTTCTCCCATTTCTCAAGGCATGGCTGCTCTTTTACGTGAGAAAATGGGATCTAAGACATACCGTGATATGATGTTGCAAGGACATCGTTTCACCGCTCAACAAGCTTTGGATGCTGAGATTGTAGATATTATCTGTCCTGGTAATGAAGTCTTGGATAAATCCAAGGAGCTTGCATTGAAATGGGCGCCCAAGGCCAAATCAGGCATTGTTTACGCACAATTGAAGGACGAAGTAAGCCAAAAGATCAGACTTTTTTTTTAGTATGATATTAATCAGATATATTTTCTATAGATGTATAGTGGCATTATTTCCGGTTTGAGCATGCCTTATCATCGTCTTGCTCCTAAGTTGTAAATAAATAAAAGCAATCATTGATCTGACGTATATTTTTAAGACGATGGGGGAGGGAGGGAAACAATAGCCACAGTAACAGATCCTTCAAAGAATAAGGTCATGGTGGGGATAGGGGAAATTAATAGATGAGGAGTTAGGATCCAAATTTTGTAGTTATGTATAAATTCAATTGCCAATTTATACTTTTATGTGCATGTGTGGTTCAACTTTATTTCGGCTCTCCCTATTTTAACATCTTGTTTTTCAAACCGTATCTATCTTTCTCTTTCTCTTTCTCTTTCCTTTCGCTGCATTTTTAATTCTCTTCTATCAAGAAAACATGATTGAAATCGATACGCTTAAAGCGTCCAATCACCATTATAGCAAACTTTGCTATGATGATACGGATAGTTCAGAACCCGATACCGCCTTAAATACACCCACAGGTAGTTTGACAGACTCTTTCAGCAGACGATACTCGTCCTCATCCTCTACTTCCTCATTTAAATATGGTACACAACGCAAGCCGTCTTTCACGCCGAGATCACCGGAATTCAATCCCCAACAACAACATACAGAAGTCCTAGAGAAACGCATTCAGGCGCTGGAACATGATATCACCGAGCATGTGAAAAGAGAGGCAGATTTACAAAGTCAAGTCTTAATGCTGACCGAAAAGCATAAAGGGGCTCCCACCCGTCAGTATAAATCCACCCTAACTCGGATAAGTAAACAAATAGACCAATTTTTGGTGTCGCACGACAAGGCAAAAAAAAGTGTTTGTTGGAGTGATGAGGATTGGACAGGCAACGAAATCCCCACTCTCTACGGTGAAGAGGTCTCCGATATTCCCTCTACACCCAATATGTCTATACCGATGGTTTTAATATTTCGTCTGAAATCCATGCTGGATGCGGCGCAACCTGAACTTTGTACCGAAATTTACCGCTCATTAAACTCGTGGCAGGAATTTTATCATAACAAGTTGGTGACAGATAAGGAAATAAAGGCGCATGAACAATCCCGAGTCTCAAGGTTGTTAGAAGCGCTCCAGAAAAGTCTGTTGCGAAATAAATTACTGAAACAGGATCATGCCTTGCTGGAGGAGAAATACAAACATGATATTACAAACCTTCTTAATGACATTAATTGTAAACAGGTTGTAAATAAAGAACAACAAAACGATGGATCCGAAAAGTCTTTCTCTCAAACAAAAAAGTTGTTAGAATCTCATATACATAAACTGGAAAAGCAATTGTTTGAATGCCAAGATGAACGTGATGAATATGAAACGACGCTGGAAATGGTGAGACGAGAGATGGAAACTATGCTGGAAGAACTCGAAGATACAAGGCAGCAACGTCTCAGATACAAGACACAAGCAAGTCGCTTAAGAGCTGGGTTAGAAGCAATCCAAAAAAGACAATCTAAAGAGGACGACAGCCGTAGCACTGACGAAGATGAGGATGAAGAAGAAGACGAAGGGAAAGAGGCAATTCGGCTCATGTATAACGAAGCAGAAAGGCAGGCGATAGATTTAGACCGAGAATGTAAGCGACAAGCATTAACATTAAATGGTATACGCCAAGAATTGAAATCCACCGAAGAGAGATATCAATCCATCAAAACGGAAAAAAACAGGGACCTTAAGAACTTGCAGCGTACCAATCAAAAGCTTATTCGGGATCTTGAGATAGTTCAGCTTGAAAAACTGGAAATGGCCCAAAGCGTGTCTAAAGCGGAAGAGGACGAGGAAAGATTTGCATTACAGGTCAACCTAAAAGCAGCAAAATCCGATGCAGTGATTCAGCGCACAAAAATATCGCAATTGGAACGGCAATCATCCCTGGCGGATCTTAATAATAGTTTTGTAGCTGGTCTGCAGGATTTGTTTCAAAAGGAACTTAAGGCTGTGTCAGGTCAAAGCGATGAAATAATGAAGGAAATGGCAAATATTATTGAAACCGAACAAAAGGTGTGGAAAAATGAAAGCTTGAAAACTTTTCAAAAGCAATTTGATATTGATTTGTTAAGAGTCAATCGAGAATTGCGATTTCTTTCTTGTAAATTAAATGATGTGGAAGAGGAAACCCGTGTATTAAAAGCAAGGCATTTGGAAGAGCTGTCGCTCTTGAAATATCAATCCAATTCCGAATTTCAAAAGAAATTCCACCAAATTACGACACACCATCAGCTCAGAGAGCAAGAGCTTAAGAACCAGCTGGAAAGCCTGTTTCAAAAAAATCAGACGCTACAAGATGAGTCGGTTATCTTATACGGTCGAAATATGTTGATGGCCCACAAGTTAGGAAAAATTGACAGATTGCCGGAGAAATAACATACCTTCTATATATAAAACTACAATAATAATAATAATAATAATATTGAAAAAATCTACTTCTTTCCTCTTCTTTTGCTTTCTATTACTGTCTAATGCCCCCTATTGTAAAATCAGGTTCACCACTCACGTTAAGTATGATTGTACACACTACACCGACACATGGTCTTATTAGTCCTGCTGTTCAGGGATTATCACCCTATATATTGCAAAATTCTTCTGAAGTTAGTACGGAGCAATCTTACCATGCTGTGCAAATGGCATCTAGGAACTATTGCTTTGCTCATAACACTTATTATGTAGTTAGCTGGTGTCCAAGCTGTAGATTCAAGATTTGAAATATAATAAAAAAATCAAAGGTCCGCTTTCATTCCATTATTTTTTTTCAATCCCACCCTGTCACTAGTAGTTTGCCACCCCTCACTCTCTCTCTCTCATTTTACTATTTTAAAGAAAGCTCATTGTAATGTTGAAAGGAATCAGCCAACATGTTTTGAAATGTGGCACAATAAAAAGAAGCTTCAGTACTCAGACCAATGTCAGGCCTGGTTTAAATAAAAAGGTTATTATGGGTGGAGTGATAATAGCAGCAGCAGCAGGTGGTTATTTCTGCTGGGAAAAATATAAAACGGGAGCACAAATGCTTGATGTAGAAAGATATGTCCCATTAAAGGTTGTGACAAAAGAACAAATATCACCTGATTCTTACCGCTTACGACTGTCAACAAAACAAATTGACAAAGAATTTCCTGTTCCGTCATGCCTGTACATTAAGGATGATACAATCCAAGTCATGCGTGCCTACACACCTATTAATTCCAACCCATATAAGGACGGTTTTGTTGATTTGGTAGTAAAACGCTATCCAAATGGCTCAGTCTCTCGCACATTAAGTGGCTTTGAACCCCAGGACGATGTTCACGTGCGCGGTCCAATGATAGAAGAATATGAGTACAAGGAAAATACTTTAGACCAAGTTGGCATGGTAAAATTTGATAATTTTTTTTTTTTGACAGCTTACACAGAAATTAACTGTTTTTGACTACCAGATTGCAGGAGGTACAGGTATCGCACCCATGTTTCAATTAATATGCCGAATCTTGGAAAATCCAAACGACAAAACCAGTATTTGGCTTGTATACGGAAACAAAAAATTAGATGACATCTTATTGAAGTCAGAATTAGATCAGCTCCAGAAATCATACCCGGATAGATTAAAAATTAAGTACGTGCTTGAGTCTCCTCCTAACGATCAATATGAGAAGGGATACATCACCAAAGAAATCGTTCAGGACATGTTGACAGATAAAACAGATAATCGAAAGATCTTTGTGTGCGGACCTAGTAAATTGTTGGAGTTAGTATGCGGAGAAAGAGCAAGAGATTATTCACAAGGACAAGTGACCGGTATATTATCTCATTTAGGGCTTTCCTCTAATGAGGTATGGAAGTTTCAATAATAAAATCCCCTCTCCTCATCATTCCTTCCTTTTACCTTTTTTTTTTCCTAATTTTTTTTTCTTCTTTACTTAATGATTACTATTAATTCACAAACAAACTCTGGTGTAACTGGTGTATCACCTCCATCGCCTACATTATCTTGCGCTTCAGTTGTCTCTTCAAAATCCTGGATGCAGAAGAATCCAAATGAACTCATTCCTATGCTCAAGAATGCATATGACATTTTAAAAGACAAGGAAAGAGGTTTGTAAATATTCTTACCCTTGACAAAATTACACACGTACACATTTAAAAGACTCTCACACACACACACGCACCTGAAATAGATTTAAGGTTGGCGGCAGAAATTGGGAGATCATTGTTGGAGAACAATAAGGCTTTAAAGTCCAACTACGAAGATTTATTGAATACACCTTACCCGACACCCACTAATTCCTCGTCGCTTATTGAAACTAAAATTGATGATGAAAAAATGACGGGAGAGGCGTACGAGTATGTTCCTGCCAACCGAACAAGAGAAGCAATGCTAGAGATTCTAGAATACCAGAATTCGGATTTATCACAGCAATTAGAGACCGCCTTACTAAAACAAGAAAATCTCGACCGTAAAAACTCCAAAAAAGCACGTCAGTTAGAAATGGAAGTCAAATTCCTCCAAACCAGCCTTGATCATGCTACGCAGAAAATACAAGAATTAGAAGAGGCCAGGATAAGGAAAACATTGACTTATAAAGACGGTAACACGGTAGATGAAACAAATCAACAAAAATGGATTGATGAAAATTGCGTATCCAAACAAGTTGATCTGCTAAAAGCTGAAAATGATCAGTTGAGTCAAGCCAAGACCGAAATGGAAAAAAAGCTCTGTGCTTCACTAAACGAGTTGCATCTGCTACAACAACAATATGAACAATTCCAATTTACAACCAAGGACTATGAAAAATTAAAACAAGCTTTTGAGACTCAAAATATACATATTCAAGAATTAAAAAGCAGCTTAGAGGAACACCGCCATATTGTTTCCAAATTAAGAGATCGTGGTATCTATATTCCTTCCTCCTCCTCTACTACGTCAAGTGAAACACATAAAAGAAAAGTGCATCATGACACCAATAAGAATAATCTATTAACCGAATTGGAAAATGCCTGGTTTAAACATCAGTCTCCTCCTAGATCAAGGCAAACATCAATTTCAAGCTACATTCAGCCTTCACAACCTATTTATCCATCACTCAATGTAGACTCCGCTCTAGAATCCATCATTCTGAAAGCTGGCGTTGTTGAAAAAGACGCATTAGACGATGCACTGAGTTTGCTGGGACGCTTAGAAGACGAATATGATCATGAAAAGTTCTTGCAAGAAAAAAGACATATATATTACAAACAAGACAATGAAGAAAAAGTCCAAGTAAAAGAAGAAAGCATTTATTCCTATTATTATGAAGAAGAACCAGAGTATGTAGTACAAGTACGACCCACACCCAGTGGTATCATTGGTTATGCTAAATATGCCATCGAATCCATTATCCAGTTGATTTGGCGTTGGGTTCGTTTCACCTTGGTCATGATGATCGCGGTCTTCATTAGCCTAAAAGAAGGCCCTGATGGCTTATAATTTTTTTTTACATGCACTTATGCCCTTTATTTTAATAAAAATTTGAAAGAACACAGCCAATCATACACAAAGTTGGGCTGAACGAAAAATAAAAAATAACAATAATTTTTGTGCCTCAGGTTATCTTTCTTTTTCCCTCCATCACAATTTAGTAAAAGATGCGAAAAGTTTTTTTCGGTTTGCTTGCACTTGGTTGTGTTGCTTACACGACATTAGCACAAACCGGTAAGCTACAACCTGTCTCTGCGAGAAAGAAACCTGCTAATCTCTATTTTTCTGTGTTCAGCTGAAGAGTATAAAGTAACATCTCTACCTGGTATTGACCTCGAAACATTGAACTTTACACAATATGCAGGGTAATTGGATAAGATTCATTATCACTGTAGATAGCTAACACACCTTGTTTCACAGACACATTGAAATAGCAAGTGAAACCAACTCAAACATATTCTTTTGGATGATTGAAGGGGAAGAAAAAGTAGAGCAAGAGAAATTAGTAAGACGAATATGAACGGGATTTGGATGTACTATGCGTACGACTCATATTCTTTCGCACTTTAGATTATTTGGCTAAATGGTGGCCCAGGCTGCTCAAGGTAAAAAAAAAAAGAGTTTGCAGAAAAGTTAATAGCGTAGGGGTTTTAATTAATGGTATTTTAGTATGGATGGTCTGTTTTTAGAAAATGGTCCCTTCAGAGTCCAAACGGATTTAACGTTAACGATTAATCCGGGAGGGTGGCAGAATTATGCAACCAATGTATATGGTTAGTTTGTAAATAATATACTCACAAATTCAAATTTTAACGTCTTATGACTAGTGGATCAGCCTGTAGGAACTGGGTTTAGTTTTGCTAACACAGATAGTTACATGCATAATATGAATCAGGTAACAATTCGCCCCCATAAGTCTGGCTTTGCTTCATTTCCCTTAACACTCATAAATAGATTACAGATGAGTTTATTTTGTTTATCGACAAACTTTTTGTGACGTTTCCTCATCTTGCAAAACAAGACTTTTATATTGCTGGTGAAAGTTATGCTGGTACATATATTCCTTATTTTACTGCAAAATTATTAGAGTTGAACAAGAAGGAGAAGAAGGTAATACTGAGCTATAAAAGCAAATAACATTGTCTCATCCATGTCATAGTACAATGTGCAAGGTATTGCTATAGGAAACGGCTGGATATCTGCGCAACATCAATATGATGCATATTACGATTATAGTGTTGCAAACAACTTAATATCTCCTGATCGCATGGTAAAAACTAAATAGAGAGCATAAATACGTATATCAATCAATTTACATTTATTTTGCTTTACGCCATAGCCTTTAATTTCCACCCATCTTAAATCGTGTAAAGAAGAGCTCAAGACAAAAGACACAATTCATGTAAGCACCTGTGAAAGAATCTTGACAGATGTTATTGACAGCAGTACTCATGAGTATGTACATCGGCACATGATTTTTTCCCCACCCTCCATGACTAAACACATTATAGTGACGAGAACGGCGAGAGAAGATGTTTAAATATATATGACATTCGATCCAAGGAAGAGCCATCACCCGAATGTGGATTAAGCTGGCCTTATGAATTAAGCGACGTTACAAACTATTTACGAGTAAGTTTCGGCATTCATTTTCTCTCTTTCTGTACCTTGATTTAACCGCAACCAATCAGCAACCCGAAGTCAAAAAGGCTGTTCATGCAGAAAAACAAATTTTAGGTTGGAAAGAATGTACTTCGCTTGTCTCCATTGAATTACATGGAGATGACAGTAAGCCCTCATATAGTGTAAGTAATACTAACACAGAATTAATGGTCAACTTTGCTAAATGTAAAAATATAGCTTTTGCCCGACATCTTGAAAGAAATTCCCATCTTGCTCTTTAGTGGAGAATACGATTTAATTTGTAATTATATTGGTACCGAATATTTGATTGGTAACATGACATGGAATGGATCCAGAGGATTTGGAAAGAAGACGAAAAAGGAAGATTGGAAAATTGACGACAAGGTAGTGGGTTACTATACGCAGGAGAGAAATTTGACCTATGTTTTAATCAACGATGGAAGTCATATGGTGCCTTACGACAGACCCATTGAATGTCTTGACATGATCAATCGATTTATGAATGTTGGTAACAATAAGGTGAAAGGGCTCAAAAGTCAAGTTGGCGATCGATTACCTGTCATCCCTACCCCTGATCAACCTACTAATGGTACACAAAACGACGAGGGTAAAAAAGAAGGTACAAATGAGGGCAAAAAGGAAAGTACAAATGACGGTAAAACCGAAAGTGATACCAAGGGTGGTGATGAGACCACGGAAGGAGTCACGGTGGATGATGAATGGAGTAAATACTATAGTTGGGGAACTACAACATTAGTTATTGTGATATTATTTGCCCTTACCTTATGCTGTTGCTGGTGCCGTGGCAATAAGCGACCTTCTGCTTCTGCTTTGGATGAATTTGGCGGCGCTCCTCAACGCGAACGCGAAGGTGTGAAAAAGGCTGGGTTATTTGGATATATCCAAAACTTTTTCAAGTCAAACAAAACAGACGAAAGAAGAAAGTTTCGTCTTGATGATAATGATGAGTCAAATGAATTGTAAGTAAAACCTACCCCCTTCTTTTTAATTACTTTATTGGCATATTATACTAACAAATGGTTTCAAGGGATGAGCTTGTTATAGAGACACCCACCTTGTTTGAAGCTGAAGAAGGCGATTCAGATCGTGAAGCTCAACCACATCGATTTGCTATTGACGATGACGAAACTGATGATGATTTCGAAGACTTTGCTGATTTTGACGATGGCGAGGCTTTAACCAACTCCAAAAAATCAAAAAGAAGGGATTAATTAGCCCAAAAAAATAAATAAAAAACGTTAATTAAAAAAAAAATAACTCTATTTATTTAAATGGCTTTCCCGAAGCTGCTTTTTTCATGCGAGACATTAGGTTTTTACCAAATGAAATTTTGGAGGAGGAAGCAGGTGAAATTGCTTCTTCTGGTATAAAACTTGTTTCCAAAGAAAAGCGGCTGGGCCGTTCAATGATAGGATCTTGATTAGGTACAGGTGCAAACGGACTACCAACAATAGGTTTAGATCCTTCCTCATGTTCTTCGTCTTCCTGTGGAGAGGATGATGTGAACGAAACAGGTCTAGGACGTAAAGAAGGAGACCTGGATGATAAAATAGAGGATAGCAAATCTTCTTCACTAAACCGATACGACGAAATATCTTCATCATCTAGCAATGTGTCGCTTTCCATCATCATAGACAATGGTGAAATTGTTGGTGTAATTCCAGCTGATTTTTCTCTACTATTGTAATGACTATAGTCATGATTATGTTGATGATAATCCTCTTCTTTTTCATTGTGAAGATCATGATGATTTATGGGTACCGACTCTATCCCAGTGCCTTGCCATGGCTGCACTTCTGGCAATTTCTTTGAGGGTGTGCTATATAATTTAGGAGTAGGCGATGCGGATGGAAAAACCACGGGCGAAGGGGTGTTATATTGACTACCGTGATAAAACTGTCTATTATCCATATTTGACACAGAAAAAAAAAGTAAGAGAGAGAGAGAGAAAAATGTTAACCATCATCTAATTTATTATATACGTACAAATGACCCGTTTGATCATATGAATACAGTGCAAGGTAGTACTTTGGCAAAAAGAAATCTTTTTTAAAGATGGTTACACACCTTTTTCGCTTTTGCTTCCAATGTCAATTCCGATAACACCGTAAAAAAAAGGGCGTACTACCTGGAACGTATTGATTTATTTGTTTTTTTTAATCCGCTAATGCTGTCGATCGTGAGCCACCCTGTTGTATAAGTCGTCAATTGAAATAACATGTGATTGCAATGTCTTCTTGTAATAATTAGAGCAAAATGTATTACGGTTGTGCAAAATAGCAGCATGGATACGTAACAATACAATCATCTTTTTCCGTAAATAAAGTATTACCCGTTTACTCCCACACAAGTGATAAATTTACATAGTCATTTCTTATTTTATGCGTGATATTAGTTAGAAATAGAAACCTTTTAGCGAGATCCAGGCTGTGCAAGTGTTAAACGTGATACAGAAAAAAAAGTAAACTGAGCCCTAAAAGTTTCGTTTGACGGTATACTAAAAGAAACAATCAGAAACAGTTCTGCCATATTGACAAAAGGGTTTTGTGGGCAGATAAACTTTCATCGAGCAACCGAAACTTAGGGTTTTTATTTATTTATAAATCATCAGATGGTGCGAGTATGAGCCTGTATGAGAAAGTAACCTTGCATTATTACATGGGAGCAAAAGCATGACCCATCTATTCTTATAACAAGTTTCAATACTACCCCGAGTTTGACAAATGATAACATAAATTTTAAGTTAAACGTTTACTGTAATATCTATGTTTCGCTATTGCCTTTAAAACTATTCCGGTGTTTATGTTGCAAATGACGCAACCGTCTGTTTCTACATAGAATTGATTTTCATTTTCATTATCTAGCAGATTTATAAAATACTAATTTTCGCAAATATAATTTCGCCCTCTGAACATTTTTTTCCTTGTCAATATGAAGTGTATTTCCATTGCACTTTCTGTTTCTGCTCTCATATTATTTCCTTCCGTTATTGTGGCTTCCGGTATGGCTTGTGAGGGGGAGGGGGTACCCAGTTAGTACTGTGCCGAAAATCATCGCCATTGCTGTCCTGGATATGTGTGCGACGCTTACAATAAATGTATACCTCTCTGAATATTTTTAATCAATTACTTTTAATAAAGTGCCTAATTGTATCATCTATGTTTGTTATCGCTTGGGAAAAAAGGGTACTTATCAACTTATGATGACACTATGCCCAATTATAACATTTCCTTAACAGTCCATACAACAAATTTAACATCTGGTCACACAATGTGTTCATAAACCCCATTGAGCGTATGATGTATTTCAAAGTCGTACATAAGATTATGTCAAATACAAAAAAAGACCTCTGAACTTACTTAACACTTTTTTTCTTTTTCGAATGATGACATTGCATAATCAGTTATGTTACCTATGGCTACAGCGATATCATTGATGTCGTGTTAAAATGAAAGGATTCCCGTTTAAGTATCTCTTTCTACTCTTTCTGTTAACTAAAAAAAAAACTTTAACAATGTGACTACATTGAAGCCAGATTATTTAATTATGGTGGTGTGCTCAGAAGGGATACGACTATAATCGAAGTTAAGTCGGGAATACCATAGCCCATTTATTTATTTGACTCGATCATGCTTTTAAAAGGTGTAAATTTTATGGTCTGTATACAACTGCAAAAATAATGATGAGATGGTTTAAATTGAAGTATAGATCTGGAGAGGGAATCAGTTGGAGACAGAGGCAATAACGTCTACCATACGCGAGAAACTGTTATATCATTTAGCAGCTTCTTGTCGCAAAATAATCTCACAATAACATCTTACAATCAGAGGCTATCAATTTTAAGCCAACATCACACTGTGCAATAGTATAAAAGTTAATAAAACCACAGGCAACTATTAAATTGCCGGATTAGAAAGGGAACTCCCCAGGCAGCCAAAAAAGGACTTGGGTAGCCTAGGTACATTTTATGAAATAACTGTTGTTTTTTGCGGGTGCAATACATATTTGGTAGATGTAATCAACCACCAACATCACTATATTTTCTTCACCTCTAATGACAGATGACGCAAGAAAAGAAAGTGACTATGTTTGACGCCCAGTTTTCTGAGAAAATCGTATTCAATTGAGCAGTTCTGCTTATTAGTAAAACCTGAATTAAGCAAAATAATTATTTGGAAATGAAAGAGATGCTAATAGTTGTTATAATTTAGGAAGCGTGCGCTAGCTTGCATCCGAATGATTTTCAAGGCTTTATTTTTATTCTGCCAAATGCGTTGATAAAGTTTTAAACGACAATAGTCTTGCGAAAACCTTGGAACTCAGATCTTCACTGTCTGTTCACGTGACTAATTGACGTATATGTACTGCGGTTTTTGTGAACTATCTATTTTGTCTGTTCTTTTCATCAGCATTTTTATTCTATCATGATCGAAATCAGTAGAGAGCAGGCTTTATGTATGTTTTTTTATGAAGAGTATAATGAAACAAACGCCGCCAGGTTGTCAAAGCTGATTGATGATTTGGGCAATATCGAAATCTGCTACATTGATGACGATCCAACAGAGCCTTTGTTAATCTCACACAAAAGACTTTACTCCAAACCCTTCACATATTTGAAATATCCTGCTATATTAGAAGGTTATGAAGAGGACAAGGACAAAAATTAAGCCAACAGTTAAAAGAAAACATAATTCATAATTTTTTTTTTTCAAATATGCACAATAAAAAGTCTTTCCTAAGTAATTTGTGGCTTCTTTCTGCGTTAAAGTCGATGTGTATCATTTTATCTTGGATATGTATCTAATGCTAATTTTTTTTATTTTTAGACGATGTCATAATATTTACTAGGTTCAAAGATGCCTGTAGTTGTTTATTGATTCGTTACAAAACGTCAACAAAAGCTACTTTTTTCAACTACACTTAACATCCTTTTTATTAAAAACGTACACCGTGATACTGATAATATTTGATGATAAAAATTCAATTCAATGATTTATTAGTTATTGTTTTAACGAACTTAATTTCTGAGCCTCATGTAGCTTTTGCTTCATAACCTCGTAGTCATTTTCACTTTCAGCGTATTTCAGCTTCATGTCAATCAACACCGATTCTAGTTCAGACAGTCTCTCCTGAAGATCTGAATTAATATCTACCAAATTCGCATTATGCTTTGCCAATTCATCAAACTGCTTCTGACGCTCATTATCCATCGAGTTTCTTATTTTGGTCATTTCATGTTTCATTTGACCCAGATCATGTTTTAGCTGCTGATTTTCAGCAGCCAAACTTGCCATTGACATTTTTGCTTCAATCACTTGTTGTGCTACATCTTGATGTTCGACTTCCAATGTCTTGTATGACTTTTTAAGCTTTCTAACTTGCTCAGATAATTCAAGATTTTCTCTTTTGATACTATCCTCGATCGACTGAATCTTGGCTTCTTTGGCTGCTTCCTGTTGATACTGTTTGGATAGTTTCTGTAATAAGCGCGGTGATATGTCAAAACTGTATGCATCCTGCACAAACTGATGTGCATCGTCCTGTCAATATTTTTCTTAATTGAGAGAAATGAACCCTATTACATAAATCCTTTCAAACAAACCTTGTATGCATCAAAAATTCCTCCAGCAAAGAATTCCAATAAAGACTCAAATTCCAGACTCAGTATCACTTGTTGATTCTTTTTCATCAGTGCCAATGCAAAATTGATAATGATTTGGGATCCCTCTACGAACACAAGATCAAATACGCGATACACAAGTTCAAGGGGACATCTGTAAGCGAAAAGTGTCATGAACCACTGTGAGGCATACATGGTTGGCAGAACACCTTGTGCGTCTAAATGGCGGTGTACCTGCGGTAAGAAAACAAGTAGCAGTTGATTAAATTGAAACATGCGTTCGTGTAAAGTTTCCATCTGAGGTGTAAAGTGTCCTCTTAAACCATACTGGCTCATTAACTTAATGAGTACACAAAACGCAGCTTCATCGGGCATCTAATTTCAAAAGTAAGCCCTGATCTCTCTGCAATGATTTTTCTCTCTTGGTACGTACATGTAGCAATAAAACGCCCACGACAAAATGTAAACCTTGGCAGTATCCCACATGCTTGTCAAACAAACTATAAGCTTTGATCACATTAAAAAGCATTTCCTGACCTTCTCCTCCTTTTTCTTTAAAATACTTTAATGTAGGAAATGTTCTTGATAGGTCCCTCCTTATTAATTTTTCATGTGAACTTGTCTTGTTTAATAATTCTCGATATTCATTTTCAATCAGATCACTGTTGTATTTTGAATTTGCAAATATCTGCCAAAGCATACCTCTTAAAGAGGAAGGTATACCGATACTTAGCAGCGATCTAAATTTAGCGTGTTCTGTACGATTTACCCGTTCAAAATCAGATATCACAGAAGCCCAAAACTCTAATCATGAAAAAAAAAAAAAAAAAACGGATCAATATTTTGTTCTCAGTTCAATGGTTTTCAAAGTGCGACTAACCCCAATCTGTGTCTTGTTTTTGAGCAGAGGGGGACGATTTCAATAATTCCAGATTATGACTTGTTTCTTTTTTAAGCTGGACCTGTTTAGCAGAATCGCTGTTCCTGGAAAACTTGGCTAATAACATGTCGTAATAGCTAGTTGTACTCTTTAAGGTGGGTGTGTTGGTCACAATTTGCCAATCTTCATTATTAGGACCAGATTCGGGTAACACAGGTTCGTTGACACTTGATGCATCGTTGGTTGGATAACTTTGATTTTTATTTGTACTAGGCGCATCTTCGTAGTCGGAATCGCTTGTATCTTGGTCATATTCATTATCCGTCTTTACTTGTACTCTGAACCCGAAATGGTCAATGTATTCTTCTTTTTCGGGATGCAGCATTGCTTCGTCAACAACATTAAGATCATAGTCATTGAGTACAGGTCGTTCAATATGTACTTGTTCAGGTATTTCGCTTGCAGGCATAGGTTGAGCCATACTGTTTTATTTTATTATACAATAAATGAGAAAAAGAAAAAAAAGAGAAAGGTAGATAAATATACAAATATATAAAAAAAGAAAAAAGAAAAGAAAGACCTTTTTTTCTTCAGGTTTGCATACATATTTGTTATTCGCAAATCTAAAATAGATACAATTAAAATGAAAATCGGTATGACGCAGTGGTCGTAGTGGTAGCGTGTTCTGAGGTCGTAGTGGAAGCATTCTCTGACGTAGTGGTGCTTTCCTCTGATGTTGTTGTAATATCCTTTGAAGTTGTGGTGGGACCCTCTGTAGAACTTGAAATAAAAGGAGGAGGATCTCTCTCATCAAAATATTGCCATAATCCACAATCATCGCACTCTTTTTCTTCTTCACATACTGGCATAGGGAATTCGTCAGGCTTTAACAAGATGCCATCAATGACATCACGTACTCGATGAGATCGAATATCCACTCTCCAACCTTTGTCCTTAACAGTGTCCCACACGCAGACCTTGCCTGTGTGACATCTTGTTTCCATAGCATAGCCTCCGTACCAGCAACTACTTACAGGACCCTGTGATGATACATATAAACGTAAATTCCATTGTCCTATTTGCTAATATTAGCCCGAAACTTACAGTGCATACACCGACAAAAATCGGATCCGCCGTGTGACCAAAATGCCAAATGGGTGAACGGGCTCCAGGGGGATGGGGTAAATGTAATCTTGCGGCGGCTAATCTGTCACCTGGTACTTCAAATGTAACCGTTGGGACACCAAACGTGATTCCCACCAAACTAGCTACTGCTCCTCCTAAAGAATGTCCAGTCAACCATATCGTACTGTTCGGGTACTGGTTATACACTTGATTGAATATTGCCTTTTTATTTGTTATTTATCCATGTTTCATGTATTTATAAGGTTTGGTAGCTTACTAGTGCGTTATCATAATATAGATCAGTCTGTGAGATATTCTTTTCCAAGCATTTACTTTCACATCTATATTCGTTGCCTTGATAACAATTACAGACAGGTGTCCACGCTCTACTAATCCGAGCACAGCAACAAGAGAACAACATATTGTCCTAAATGATCGTGTTAGTCCCTCACCTAAACTGAGTACGAATTCCATCTTGTATCTTACATTGATCTTATCCTTCTCTCCTGTAGGTCCACCAGTCCATAGGCCAGCACTTGTGCCTTTTATACTGACCACAATTAAAGAATCGTCTTCGCTGGCAAATATATGACCACGAATACCATCTGTTTCCCAACCAAATGATTTGTTCTATACCATTACGGATCAGATGTGACACACACACACACACACACACAATTCCAACTTACCAAATGCCAAGCAGCGCCAAGATCATACCACTCAGTGTTATTCAAATCAATATCTAAATAAGCATTATATGTCATCATGGCTAAAGATAGAACGGAAGGGCGATGTGTAACATCAGGCACAACGCCTATGGTTGATTCTAGATGCATTGCCCTGTATTGCTGTTCTGATGTAAGTGTGTTCCATCTGACCAGCTTATCTCTCGAGTTGTTTATCTCCAATAATAAATCGTCCCTGTCTGCTGCAGACGGTCTATCCATCATACTAAGCTTGCTCTTTATATCATAAATATGTTTATGCTGTTGATTGACACTCAATAATTCTTGATCGACGTCTAGTTTTCTAAAAAGTTTGGGAATGGGTCCATTAGCTGAGGCATGGTGGTATATGGTTTTCAGTTTTAGTGTGTTCTGTTGTTCTTGGAGTTTGTGGTGATCTAGGAAAAATGGCACCTGCAAGTTGACTGAATAAATTGGAACAGCCAACAATATTAAAAATAATAAAGTGTACATGGTCTCAATAAACGGTAAGACAAGAGGGAAACAGGAGAATAAAATAGAAAATGAGAAATATTTTCGCTTTTCATGCCTCACAACATTGTTAAAACCCCGATGGTCATTAGTGATGTCCAGAATCTCTCAGGCTGAGATAACATCCTGGGGGGTTACTCAGACCTTTGGATTCATCAGAGCTTTGGGTATTTTGTCTCAAATTATTTCTGCGTTTTTGATATTCCTGTTACACATATTCAGAATCAATATGCTCTCAACTTTTAAATCAATCACTTGGTGTCAAAAAGATATTCGAAATTTTGTCAAAAACCATTATAGAATTAAGCAATATTATTCGCTGGAAAGAATTGACAGCAAAATACTATGGCAATGGTAGTGAGCCTCAAGAAACAACAAATCATCATCTAGTATTACCCTCCCTGAAGCTAACTGTGCTAGATGTAAAATTCATTATTTCGGTTACCCTGCTAAAACCTACAAATACATCCCGTCTGATTGTGAAGTAGATACCATAGAAACCATTCCACAGCATATCTGTCTTTAGTGAGGGTTTTTTTTTGGCAATTTAACTTTACCCCCATCACTTCCTTCTTTTAAACTAAAAAAAAGGATGGTTGCCGAGATGACACAAGTACGTGCTGGCGTAATACATTCTTTTTCTTTCTACTTTTTCGCGCGGATAAAATTTACTTAAGTCGCACACGCTTGAGAATTCTTTGCCGCAGATCATGTCTGTAACCAGCACATGTTCACATGAAGATCTATAAGTAAAGAGCTATTGTATATGTATGTAGGTTTTTTTAAGGGTTTGCAATTTGGAAAAGCTTTGAAAATTAATTATGAGTCCAGACGCATTTTTAAAACCAGAAAAAATAGCTTATTGATATATTTCTGCAAAAATGTAAGAATAGTACCCACTAAAAAATTATACACGGAGGGTGAACTTACATTTCTACGCTGTGATTTAAAGATATCATTCGATGTAAGGTCAAATTTTTTAATCAAGTGAATACAATAAATCAAATAAACTGTTCGAAAAAATAATAATAGCATATATGTTGATGTCTAACTAATTGCAATAAAAGATTAACCCGTCATTTTCATTGTTATTCCGCCGTGAAAAGCTGCATAGCTATTGTAGCACAAGAGATTAATGGCATTTTTTCGTGACAAACAACCACAATAGTCAGCATCAGAAAAATTGTGTCGATAAGTGTTGCAATGAACATGGAATACAATAAAACATTGTTTTCTCAAGGAAACGGTTAAAAATGCGTAAAATCAGTCCCTTTAAATGATTAAAAAGGTG